TGTACAAATCAATAATAATAAACTTGACCTAATGGTGTGAAATTAAATTGTATAATCAAAATTCAAGGACAATGAAACACTCAACTTGATGATTAAATCAAATCGATAACAATTATCAACAACAAAAATTAACTAAGTGTTGAAAGTTTACAATTGTTGAAACTTTCTGATTATTATTATAATGATTAAATCACTGAGGAAATAAATTTACAGTTATTTATCATGATAAGGTTTGTTAATTAACATCATCACCAATGACAGTTAATTGTTGGGATGACAATTAACAACAACAAAAAAAATGTTTCCATCAAAAATTTTAACAATCAAAATGAACAATTATTTTGAAATATCAATAAGATGATGAACCAAGCCCATCATCATCATGACATTTCATCATGTTGGGCTTGGTCATCACCTTTATTGTCGTCATCATCTTCATCTCTCTCTCTCTCTCTCTCTCTTGATAAAAAGACAATGTTAATAATAATATTGTGATCATTTTGATTATAACATTGGTGACAGGTAACTTCCTGAAATGTCAGATAAAAGTTCAGTTATTGTCATGATGATAACTGAACTTATTTCAGGGAGTTGACTCCTTGTTAATCAAGTCTTGTTGTAATTTTAATCATTAGATTTTTAAATTAATCATAAAAAAAACAATTTGAATAATATTATTTTTCAAAATCATTTCCTTATCAATTACACCTTCAATATTGTTACATGTTAATCTTAATCCATTTCAGATAAATGATGATCCAGGATATGTTATGATTATAAAGATTTACTTTTTTTTCTGTATTCACAATTACCAATATCAAGGTTATCATCATGTTCATCATGATGATAATATATAAAAAGGGATGAGAACTGATAATCGATGATGAAATTTTTTTCTTCAATTCTCTCTCTCTCTCTCTCTCTCGATCAACGATTACCTTTTATGAGTTTAGACTCTAATATTATACCGATGTTGATGATCATCATGAAAGGTGAGATGATGTGAATATAATGAGAGAGAAAGAGAGAGATATCACTTGGTTATCATCTTCCTCATCTTTTCCATTCGATAGAATGACAATGATATCATGTCTCTCTAATTTTCTTGCATCATTAGCTTTCTATTTATCATCTTACCTGGATAGAGATGATGATGATGATGGTGATGTCTTTTATTCATAATTGAAAGGTATACCCTTTTTTTTCATCTTCATCATCTTCATCATCACCTCATTATATTCCAGGTTAAATTAGGAATTGATGAAAACCCTTTTAACCGTTAATTCTGGTTCATGATAACGTGAATGACAAACACCTCATCTAATGATACTAATAATGAATTCTGACAATACTTCCTGTTGATTATCACTATTATCATCATCATCTTCAAAGTATCATCTTGTATCATCTTGTATTTATCATTAACATGATATGATGACGATTAACAATCTTCCAGATTAAATTGATTAAAACTTTTTCTCGCACATTATTGATTGAATGGTGACTTTTCTTAGCAATTTAGATCTAAATTAAAAGACAATTAACCAAATATTGGAGTGAGAGAATCATGAAAATTGATTAGTTTAAAATTAACTTTGTTGAATATTATTCACTTGGCAATTAAGTTAATTGTTCAAGAGATGCGGAGGATTAGTTACTGAGGAAATTTAAACGCAATTAAATTATCGTCCCAACGAAATCAAGGTTAATGTATAAGAGATTTTTTTTGTTCTTCTTAAATTGATTAATCAATGAGATTAATTGTGATTTAATAAGCACCTCTAATTAACACGATTACGAAAATTTACCAATCAAGTTAATTAATTACAATTAATTATCGTGAATCGTTGTGACATTGAAAGTAAACAAAATTTGATATAAAAAACAAACTTTGCCAAAGGAAAATCAAGTTAATCAAGGTTAATCAATGATTAAAAAGTTTCTAATCAAATTAACGTTGATTACAAAGCAATTAATAGTTGATCATGTTTGTAAGAATCAAAGTTTCTTAATCCAATTGGTCAAATAATTAAGTTAATTGTTATGATATTACATAAGAAAAAGAGGAAATAAAAATTGTTTCATTTTCCTGTTGATCTGTTTTTTTTGTTATAATAATAATTATGTAACCGATAATGATTAACAATCAATACTAATCAGTACAATTAAAAGGGAGTTGATTATATTGAATGGTTGAGAGTTAAATTATTGATAATCAATGAAATTAAACAACTAATCAAATTACCCTGACATAATGAAGGCTTAACCGATAATCAAGGTTATCATCCGTTAATTTGATTTCTCTTTTCATCTTTGATAACAATTTAATCACAATTACGGTTAACTGATTATTATTCATTTATCCTTCCTCATCTTCCTGGCATTTGAATTCATCACCATTAACTATCATCATCATCATCATCATCATCTTCATCATCATCACCAACATCATGTAAGGAAAGAAAAACTTATAACAACAATTACGAACTTAAAATTAATGATTAATACAAGATTGAAGGTAAAATACAATCGCAATTAACGATAATCCTTTCAAGATCAACGTTGAACATTGGGTTGAATTTACAATTGAACATTTAATTGTTGTTGTTTTTTTCGTTGTTCGATTCTCAAAGGACAGCGAACGGCGAAAAGAAACTTTCCTTCACGAAAAAAGTTTCGAAAACTTTTATATTGGTTAATATTAATTTCGAATTTTTTTTCTCTATTGATCTGCTTTTCTTTTCTCTCTCTCTCTCTTTAATGATTGACATTTAATTTGTTTCACTGTTCAACAACAATTAACTTTCCATCAGCTTCTGATTTGTTTGGAAAGATCAAAAAATGGTTAATTGTTGTTAATCGTGCTTTTCATCGTAATCACAATTAAAATCGATGAAAAAAAAACAAGAAGATAATCAATTGGAAGAAAATTTAATTGTGAATAAATCACTTGCCTTTAATTTGTAATGTTCAACCAAACTTTTTGTTCATCTCTCAATGTTATTAGCAATTAACTTGTTAACAATTAAAATGATTAGTGTATTTATGATTAAGTTTAATCATCATCATCAAGCAGCACCAAAGAAAAAGTAAAAAAGTTTCCTGATTTTTTGTTTTCCTTTCAATGGAAACAATTAACAATACTAACAACAATTAAAATCTAAAATATATTAACTTCCTGATGATTTATCCTCTTCCTATGTTAATCACAATTAACCTTTCACAATAACAACAACAATTAAACCATAAACAATCAAGCTCATCATAAATTGTTTTTCTACCCAAAATTATTAATACAATTTAAAGTTTGATGATCATCATCATTAAATCAACCAACTCAATAATTTGAGGACATTTACTAATTAGATAATTTAATTGAAAGAGAGAAACTTTTTTTTTAAAACAATTAACTTAAATTGTTATCATTGAGAGATGAAAATTTTGTAATATTATCATCATTAAGATGATGATGGTTAATCATTTGATCATCACACTGAAGTTACCAAATTGTAATTCAATGTCATGATAAAACAACAATAATAAAACACACACAATTGTAATCAACAATTCCTAATTTAGTTAACTAAATTGTTTGCTGTTAAATCCCACACATTACACTTGATAATAATCAAAGTAATCATAGTGATAATAATAATAATAATAATAACTTTGAACTGACCTTGGTGTGGATTAGATTATTGAGAATCAAGAAAATGATCAAGAATCAGAAATTCAGATGAAATTTCACCAAAAACACACACACACTCACAGAATCAACCACACATCAACCTTGGGGTGTCTTCTTCATGTTGATTAAAGTTAATCATCAACAATCAAACAATTTAAGTCCATTTCAACAATTGACCAATATGAGAAATGTAATCAACAACAATAAAGCTTTTTTCTTGTGGTTAATTGTTACAAAGCAATTAGATAAACTCATACATTGAAAGTAATCAAATCAATTTTCAGTTGATTGTTATAATTAGTTAATTATGTGTATGAATGAGATGAAAAAACTTTGTGTCGTAAGTAATTATCACTCGATGATCAATTTGTTTGCTACAATTATGATTGAAAAATTTTCTCAACCTTTATCAATGATATTTGATTGTCAACAATTAAGTTATGTGAGAGAGAGAGAGGGAAAAAAGTTCAGTACAATGTCAATGATTGGTGATAATGACACTCACCATGAATTTCAGGAAAAAATAAAGTTCATGATAATTTGAAATCTCTCATCATCTGAATCATAATTGTTGGTAAATGTAAATGATAAATCCAATCATCATCATCATCATCATGGTTGAGGTGATGAGGGGGAGGACAGGAAATAATGATGATCACCAATGAATCCCTCAGATTATCATGTTGGGTGGAGTTGATTCAGTGAAACAAGGAAACCAGATCAGGAAGGGAAATAGAAAAGTTCATCGAGTTGTTTACATGATAAAAGGTTCAGAGGTGATGAGGATGAGAGAGAGAGAGAGAGACTATTAATCAAGAGAGATTATTATTATAACTTGTTGGTCAGTTATTGTTTCCATCATCATGTTATCATGAGAGTACAAAAAGATAGAAACAAAAAATTATCTCTTCAAAATGAGTGAAAAAATTGGAACTTTTTTTTTCTCCATGAAAAACAAACCCCGATTGTTGTTGTATCAGGAAAACAAGAGATGAAAACAGGAAGAAGATGAAACTGAATTGTTATCATTAACACTAGAATGTTTTGTTTCCTTATCATCATCATCATCTTCATCATTCTGGTTTCCATCATCATCATGTTTATCTTCAAGTGAATCTCAGGAATCATCATCATCATCAATTCATTTCAACAACAATCAAAGAAACAAGAAAATGATTCATTTAAAGTTTAATTTTTGTATTTCCAAACCTTCAACTTAATCCAAATTGAGGATTACAATTAAAGCCCTTAAGTGATTGATATTTACAATTAATAAATTGTGAGACAATATCAAGCTTGAAAAAAAAGTAAAATTAATAGATTAGAAAGTTAATTAACCATTTTCAAGTTTAATGATGGTAAAAATATATTAATAGCTTCAAGTGATATTCAGTTAATTTCCTGAATCATTAACGTTTCTTGATATTATTATTATTATCATTTGATTGTTGAGCATTATTATCATGATAAATGTTGAACCAGAAAACTTTTCAATTACTGAATTCAGTGGATTCAGTTTCGGATTCTTGATTGTTAATCATAATTGGCTTGATTATGTGAAAAAAAATCCCTCTATGATAATGATGATTTTCAATAGGAAAAAGTAAATTAACCAGAAACCAGTTTCAATATTGATTATGATCAACATCATCAATTTGATAATTTAAAGCATATCTCCTGATCATCATCATCACCACCATGATTAACCTTGTTAGATGACCTTTAAAATGGACTCAAGAGTAAAGGTTATCCTTTTAAGATAATCTAATCATCATTAAGTTTTCACTTTCTTTGATTTTAATTCATATTTTGTATGAATAATAATAATCTCAATCAATTATCTTACAATTACCTGAGTCCAGATGATTGATTATCAATTAATCTTGATCTCTCTTCCACCCCTGATCAATTATGATGAAATCTATTAAATTTGAAACAATTAACCAATTGTTAACTCTAATTTAAGATAAATCATCATCTTCATGAAAAGGTTGGCAAACTTTCAGTACTCATGGTAATTGATATAATCAATTCACTAGATAAGTTCATCATCATCATCATCATTATCATTTCTACCTCCTACTCATCATCTTCTTCATCTTCATCCTCTTAATTGTGAAGATGATGAAGAGGAAGTTTCAAGTTCAAGAAGATTAAAAATTAAAATGAAAAGTTCCAAAAACGTTTATTCAGATTTTCCGAAAAAAAGACCAAGGATAAAGTCATCTCTCTCTCTTTCTTCATCATCATCATCATGATCTTCATCTTCATCTTCATCTTCATCTTCATCATCATTCTCATCTTACTTTCCTCTTTCTTTTCATCTGTGAAAAAGTGAATTGCAAAAAAAACTTTTCTCATTGAGAGAAAATAATTTTCACGATTATGTTTGCACCTTAATTTGATTGCTGATTAAACAAATTTGATTAACTTAAGGTCATTAAGGTGTCTATCATCATCGCCATCATCATCATTGATCAAGTATACAATGAGATTGTAATAACAATTAACAAGAATTGATTTCTCTCCAATTTAACTTGTTCACCTTTCCAAATTTAATCATTAAGATGATGATGATGATGATGATGATGATGGTAATTAACTGATTCAATTGATCTTGTATTTGTATTGATCAAGTAAAAACAAAGCTAATTGATTAGTAATTAAGAAAAATCCTTTGACAATTACGATAAAACTTTGGGTGGAGTTTTCTGTAAATGAGTTTTAATTATTGTGTATCATCAAGACGATAATTAAATTGACTTTGTATTAATTGTAAATTGTTATATTAAAAATCATTGAACGTGAGTGGGAGTCAAGGTTGTAATCAATTTTTCATGATAATGATGATAATCATCATTAAAAAGTGAAAACAAAAGGTATTAATTGAAAAGAGTTGCAAATTAAGAGAGAGAGAGAGAGAGAGAGATAGTAATTAAAACGTTGGCACAATTGGCATATTACAATTAAGAAAAACAAAAGTAATTAAATTGGTATAAAATTGATTAGAAGTGTTGATTGTGACAAATTTGATGATTAACATACAAAAATCTAATCATTTTATCAAAATTAAACAGCCAAAGCAAAAAAATAAAATAAAACAACACAAGACACAATTGACAATTGTAATTACAATTTGTGTCTAATCATCAGCTAATTGTTGATTCGTTTAATTTGTTTTGCCTTTCTCCATGTTTAATTGATTAAGAGATTTTCAATTGTTATTTAATTGTAAGCAGAGTTTATCACTGTTTGTTTTTTCAAACTGTATTGAAACGTTAATTAAACGTTAATAACGTGATTAACGATTGAAAATCATTCAAAATTTTGGTTAATCCCAAATCGTTAATCCGTTTGAAGCGTCTTGTTGTAAAATTATATAAAAGGATTAATTATATAGTTGAGATGCCGATGATAATTATGATGATGATGATGATGATGATGATGATTATGATAATTGTTACAAGATGAAATAAATTATGATTTCTTTTTACAGGTAAAGTGTTCCCACTCGACGATTAGAGGCCACATTATTAACTAATTGCGTTAACACCATGGCACTTGAATCAGCTCCATTTGGACTTGATGAAATCCTTGGATCTGGATTCATTGATTCAAGTGAATTATTATTATCACGATTAGATGAAGATGAGATTAGGTCATTTTTTAAATCCCAGAAAAGATTACTAAATGATAATGGTCGAGATAATTTTCGAGTTTTCTTTGCCTTGGTAATATTATCACTTGGAGATTCAACTGACCGACCAGAGCCTGAGGATATTTTACCGCCAGAGGAATTGGATGAGGCCAAAGTGTTATTGGAATGATGATCATAATAACCTTTACCCGATGAAGAGGGTGAATTGGCCAACGGGGTGATAAAGTGTAAATTGGTCAATGATTTATAGCGTATATTGAATAAAGGTGATGTTGTTAGCGATCGGCTTGACCGGAAGGTCCATTTGTTATTATTATCATCGTTAACATTACCGTTACTTTTGTTACAATGATAATTGTTGTTAATTGAATTGTTCTGATGAATATAATCCTTATCAGATTCGTTGTTGTTATTGTTATAATAAGGAGCAGTGTTTTCATTACCAAGAGATAATCCTTTAGCATATCTCATCAGTTTACTTGTTTTCCGATTACCATGATGACCATTTGATGGATTACCGTTAATCAGTAGCCCATTATGAAAATTTGATGTTGGCTGATTTGATTTAATAAATAGTTTAGGTTTAACTAATGGATGATGACCGTGAGTATGTTGTTGTTGTTGTTGTTGTTGAGGATGTTGATGATGGGAAGGTTGTAGATGATGATGATGAACAGGATTAGTTGATTGTTGTGGATGCATTGGTAATCCATTGAGTGGAAGATACATTTTACCTGTACTATTGGATCTCATTGGGATTCTATGACCATGAGATGATTGTTGTTGTTGATGATGATGATGAGAAGAAGATGATGTTTGCTGATGATAATCTCGAGTTCGTAAATTTCCACTATGATATCGTTTCTCTGGGCATTTTCGTTCAACGGGAACTTTTTCATAAATATGATCAGAAGGAGAGGAGATCATCTTTTTCTCATATAAGCCCATCTTCGGGATAATCTCATGGAAAATGGTTGGATAAGATAAACGTCTAAATCCTGAAGGATAATGATGATGGGAAGATGATTGAGGATGATGAGAGGTAAGACCATGATGTCCAGGATGATGATGTGAAGGATGATGATGATTTCCTAAACTAGGAATCGTTTCAATTGGTGGAGGTTCAGGAGGTGAATCAGCTGATAAAGGTGAATCTTTTTCCTTGGTTGGTCGATGAGGTCGAAGCTTTTCCGGAAGTGGAGCAAATCCTCTTACATAATCGTAAATCTGATCAATCTCATCATAACAAGAACCATCGTCATCTTCATCTCCCTCATCATTATCATCACCATTTACCTTTCCACCATTAACCTGACCAGTTAATCCATCGATAACACCATTACTATCAACAACATTATCAACCAGAGTGGGTTCATCAATCCCCATTGAATCAGAATCACCACAATTTTTTAAATTGTCACTATTACCTGATGATTTATCTTTAACACTTTTACTATTATTATTATTATTATTGTTGTTGTTGTTGTTATTGTTGTTATTGGCAATTAGCTCAATTGAATCTGATTGAAATAAACGCTTCTTGTGATTATATTTAACTGATTCACTTGTTACCGTGATACCGCAAGTATTTGGTTGATTGTTGGCTGATTGTTCATTAACCTCAGGATTAACCTCTTTCCAATTGTTTTTAAATCCTTTACCCAGAGATGATCCTTCACAAACTAATATCCTATTGGGTAATAATGTACTAGGTGATCCAGAGGTTTTATCGTTGAAACGATTCATTAAAGTTTCATGATGCCGATGAGTTGAAAGGTAGGAACCATTTTTGGGACCGATTATTTTAAGTGAAGCCGAAATGGGAATGGTTACCACGGGAGCCGATTCTTTGGTAACTGGAAGTGCCATCAGATAATCTTCAGAAAATATTGAGAAAAGTCTCATCTCCGGTGTGAAAGATTTAAATCCCGCCGGTGGTCGGCCGAAAACTAATCTAACCATTAAAGGTAATCTTTTCGTTAAAAGTGATGATATCCTGTGGACACCGGAAATTGATTCCTCTTTAGCTATTGGACTGAAACGACCTTTACCCTCAATGGGAAGGTAAACAATATCACCTTTACCTGTAAAACATTTGATATACTTTGAGGGTGTTGATGATGAAGAGGAAACTGTTGTTGTTGTTGTTGTGGGTTGACAATGGGTTGATGGGGATAATGATTTGACTTTAAATGGTAATGATCCGGTTGTTGATGAACAGGTTGATGACATTGGCGAGGATGAGGTTGATGATGAGGAATCAGATGTTGACACTGAGGAACCAGAATTATTATTATTATTACTATTGTTGACTTGATTATCACATGGTGATGTTGATAAAGGGTCAATTGTTGTTGTTGTTGTTGCTGTTGATGTTGAGAATGACTTGTTATCTTTGTTAGTACAATTGTTACTATTTAGATGATTGTTATTTAGATTATCACTATTACTATTATTGGTATTGTTTGAATTAGATAATGTTAACACTTCACCGATGGACAATGAACGACTTTTATCACTGACGATATTTTCATTATCACTTTTGGGTAGATAAACTTTAACAGATTCACGGATAAGAACTGAATTAGTTGATGATCTTTTAACTAATTCATTGACACTTTCAATACAACGGACTGAACGACCTTCCTCAGATAATATTTCAAAGAAACCTTCATAATTATCGGGTATCGCAAGTTTAGGGCCAAAGGGAACAGGTCGAGATGTTGACAGGCCATTATAACCTCGCGACTCTTTAAATTTAACACATTGAGCGGCGACTTTAACAACTTGACCACCGTTCAACCAGAAAGCCGTTTGTCGAGATGATGGACATGATAAACTAGGAACACCGATACCTTCATAATGACCTTTAACCACACGACCCACGGTGGGTAATTTGTATTTACGAGCAAACTCCTTAAGCTGGACACCCTCTTCTGACCATTCAATTGAAGAGACATAACCATTGGCCTCTGTATTAGTTACCATTGTGTCTCTTTAGTAACGATCTATCCGTTTATAAGGTTGGACTTTTTTTACCGTTAAAAAAAGCGATTCAATCAATTGGATTCACAGGTAAATTATTTTCGATCAAATTTTCATCTAAATTGTAACAATTTTCATCTTTCTCTTTTCTATCAAGTATAATTTGATGATTTTCTCCTCTTTTTTGTTGTTGTTGATTATTGTGATTAGTGAATGAAAACTAAAAGAGATTGAAACACCAAACAATTACGATGAACAATTGATCTCACAGGGTAACAATTACTTGATTTTGCTCTCAAATAATGGGCTAATTAAAGGTTAGATATTGTGATGGGCTAATTGTCAACAATTGAAGAGATGGAAAAACAAAAGATTTTGTATTTTTTGTTTATTCCAAACCAGAAATTGAACCAGAAAATTAGAAAGAAGAGAAAAAAAATCTTCTCTTTTAAAATGTATTGGAAATCAATAGATTGAGTGATGATGATGGTGATTATAAACACTTCCAATTGTTGATTGTAAACACATACACACTTTCTGTTGATGGTGATGATTTATATCCAATTGGCATGGAATCATAAGTGACAAACAAAAGAGAATAGAAGAAAAAAAATCATCGAATTAACAATAAATGTAATAACAAAATTAAAGAGAAAATTAATCTTACCCTTTTGATTTGTTTTCCAAAATCAAGACCAATTCTCATTACCGAATTGAGAGATTATCCTTTCCAATGGATTAACGGTCAACAATTAGAATTATGATTATCTTGTCACAGAGAAAATGGCGAATAATTGATCGATAATTGTAGATAAAAAAAAGAAAACAATATCAACTCAATTAATATGGAGAAAAAAAAAACTTTGGCAATTATATTAATCAAGGGAAGGAAAATAATAATAATAATCAGCTGATTGAAGATTCCAAAATTATTTCACTTGATATCTTTTTCCTAATTGGTGTTGATTTGTAAATTGTTGTTCGTTGGTTTCTCATTGATTGAAATGTCGCTTCTTTAACAAGGTAACATTATGATAGAAGAAAGAAAAAGAAATTGGTAAAAATTGATAAATTTTCTTTAAAGATGAGGATGAAATTGGAATCGAGATGTTAGTCTGATGGAGATCAAGTCAACACTGAAACTGGTTTCTTTCGGTGATCAACTACCAACTTCTTAGAGTGGAAAAAGTTTCCACCCTGTAAACTTCCCTCCGGGAGAATGAAGCAAAATAAAAGGTAAACTTGTCTTCTCTCTCTTTCTATCTTCCTATCTTCCTATCATCCAATTCTCTCTCTCTCTCTCTCTCTCTTGTTTATCATCTTCTTTTCTTTCTCCCTTTTCTTTTTCTCATCAATCTTGTTGTCCAACCAAAAGAAAAACTTAATTTGTTATGGATTTACACTTTTACTATTGATGATTAGTGATGATTAATAAATTGTCTCTTCATCAATGATTAAATAATCAACAGATTACCTGACATTTTGTTTTTACAGTTATTTGTCACTTGGATTTATATTTATAACGGATTAGTTAATTTTATTACCTTTCTCTCAATCTTAATGTTTGTTTTGCTTTTTTTTTGAAAAATAATTTTCTTTAATCATTACGATTGCAATTAGATTTGATTGTTTCAATCAATTTGATCTAAATTATTAACTCTGGGTGTGTTTTAATTTAGTTATATGCTCTATCATTGTTGAATAATTGTTTACAATTAAAGGATTAAAGGTTTTCAAGTGATTACCAGAAAGTTATGATAATCATAATGAACAATTTAATGATCAGTGATTAGGTTTACATAACCAATCAAAAGATTAAATTGTTTCCTTAATCATTTCAATGGATTAATAATTATTATCATTATTATCAATTCTTTACCAATACCACTAATCAACTTGACAATTAACGGTATTTTGATTGCTGTTTATGGGATTCAGTTTTTAATTCACTTGATTAACTTGTAATTAGCCAACTAATCAAAGTTTCCAATAAAGAGAAGTAAAAAATTTATTCAATTAACATGTTAATCTAATGATTAAGATTTCCAATCAATTTGATTTAATCTATTTTTAATTTACTCATTAAGATTGTCAATTATCATCTTAATTGTGATGGTTGATTGTTTCAACGATTCCAATAGTTTACAATTAAAGAGAAACGTAAATCATCAATTTAAAAGTGTTAATTGTTGGTGTTAAGTTTTTTTCCTTCTAATTATTTGGTTGATTAACTGAGAATCACAATTTAAATATAAATCTATATAAATAGTATTAACTGATTAATTGATTTGATTACACAAATTTTGTTGACAATTTAAAATCAATCGCGGTTAATGGTTGATTGCTAATGGTTAGAAACAACTAAATTAACAAGTTGATTAAGAAAAGTTTTTTTTTCTTAACCAAAACAATTAAGAAAAAAAAAGTTATGAGTTGATCATCGTTATCAACGAGTGTTAATTATTGATTGTTGATTGTTGATTAGTGTGTCAATAGATTGTATAATTAACTAATTCACTGGATTGGGTTGAGTTGAAATGCTCTAAATATTATTGATAATTAAACAGTTGTAAGAGTAACAATTAACAATTTAAACTTAATAAGAATGTTAATTAATTTAGTTCTTCTTATTCTGATTCATTTTGATTAGTTAATTGTTGAGAAACAATTTCAATCATCAAGACAAATCAAGTGAAGAGAATGAAAAAAAAAATTTATCAATTGTTGAAAATTTACTTGATTAGGAAAATCAATTAATTAGCAAACATAATTAGAAACTTTTTAATTGTAAGTTTGTTTCTAATTTGATTATCAGTCAATAGTCCAATCCAATGATCACAATTGTAACAATTAATTGTTTTCATTTTAATTGAAATCATTTCTCTCATTTTGATTCTTTTGATTATAATTAATTGTTGCTGATTGTTGATCAATTGTGTTTACTTTTTTACCGCTTAATTTAATTGCCTTGAGGGTGATTAACTTTTCTTGATGTTAGTGATTCCATCTGACGTTAAACAATATAAACAATCAACTAATTGTGAACAATTTATCAGATATTTTAGTCGCAATTAACAAGTCAAAAAGGTTAATTAGTTGATTATTGTTGAAAATTAGCAAAAAATTAAATTAATTGTTAGTTAAGAGAGTTAGTATATTTATCGTTGTTATTATTTAGTAAAAAGCAATCAAAGCTTTTAGTTAACTTTAATTACTATTACAATTGATTGAGCTTTTGACAATTAAGTGTGATAAAAGGTTAAATTGTTAGTGTGTTGATTTAATTTTCTTGGAGGGAAATGATTAAAGGTGAGAGAGGTGAAAATACTAATTGTGTATTTAACAAGAAATAAAAATAGATGATTTTTGGCACAATCAACATCATTTCTTTTAATTTAATTGCAACATTTGTTTAATCTCCTTGTTATTAGATTAATTCAGTTAATTAACTTGGTTAATCTTTTGTTAATTGTTTACCATCAATAAATGTTGAGCTGCATGTTGATAATCATCTGGTAAAAGGACATTTAAAGGTAATTGTCAATCTTAATTCAGCAATTTGTCAATTGTTTAAAATCAGGATTTTAATTTCCATTGTAGTTTGTTGGGTCAAGTAATTAAGAACACAATTTAAAAATCATAACTGTTGACCTTTAGTTTGTTGGTATTGTTAATTTGATTGGATTAACTTGTGGATAATTGATGAACCAAAATAACGTCCAAAAAATCAGTTAATTGTTTGACTTTGAGAGAGATTTAAATTGACCAGAGTGAGAATTGGATTACATTTGATTTGAATAAGAAAAATGGTATCAGTGAAATCTAAAGTTGATTAGTTAATTGATTAATTGCATCCAAGGTAAAATCATATGTTCCAAATGAAAAATAATCAAATCAACTGTTTCTTTGTTGATTGTAATAGTTAAACAATTATCAGGAGTCTTTGATGAAAATATACAATTATAATTGTAAGTTGACTAATTTTAGCAATATAATATATTAATAGATTATAATTAATTAAATTGTTGGAAAATAATAAAACTGTTAATCCAATTCTATCCATAGGCTTGAAAATAGGATAACATTTGGTATAAATTACCAACCAAAGAGTCCGAAGATGTAATTAGATTTTTTTTTGTATTTATATTAATTGTTGTGAATATAAATTTCATGTCGAGATCCTGGTTCTAATTGAAATGATGAAGATGTTGATGAAGAAATTAACAAATGATATTGTCAGAAATGCTTTGATTAAGGTGAATAGGGTTAATCAGATGATTCCCGTTGATGAATAATAATAATTAATAATGGTGAAGATTTGAATGAAACAAATGAATGGTAATGAGTAAAGTCAATTCCATGTCTTTTGATTAATAAATTGTTATCATAATTTGATTAATTGTCAGATAATTTGATGATGTTCCGATAACAATAAGGTTTCATTTTGTTTGGGTCAAATTTTTGCATTTTCAAGGAAATTTGTTAAAGAGTTGAATGAATTTTGATTCAGTTGTTGATCGTTGATAATTTATATTATTCGTCCGTTGTTGATGGTAGCAACATAATCATCGATTTCATGAACGAAGCCGCTGCCAGCGCTGAAAATGGTTGCCAGTCCTTTTTTCGAGTACCATCCTTGTAATCACAAATTCCCCGGATGAAAATATATTTCTCCTTACGATTACCATGAATAGATTCAACAACCGTATCAAATTCAGAGTCGAAAGCGTAAACACCAAACTTGGTCGCGATCTCAGCTCGAACTTGATCATCACGAACAGCTGATCGACCTGAAGCAATGGCACCAAAATGAACCATTGGCATACCGGAAGCACGAGGATCATAAACTCCCTCAGGGACTTCAGGATGAATAACTTCAAGAACATCTTTCGCACCAAGAGCCATGAACAATTTATCAGTTTCAACCGGTGGTCTTTTGAAATCAGTTTCATGTGATTCTAAAGCGGTCAATCCAGTGGTCAGATAAGTTTCCCAGGTTCGCTTGGAATCACCAGTAATCCCTTCTTTCCATAACTTTTGTGACAACTCTTGTAATTCCAAATTCACTGGTCCCCATGTACGGAAAGAGAAACCATCAGCTGAATCATCTTCACCGTTCATAGCGTTGATGCCCTTTTCCTCTGCCGCTAAACTGGTCACTTTTTCACAGTGAATATAAATGTAGGGCTTGTGTGTGGGTGAATTACTGTTTGTAGGTGGAGGTATTGAAACGACAACATCACCCAATCGTACGTGTTTACTGAAATCCGTATAATGGGCAACACCACCGCCGAGTCCAACAAGGAAAACATGTTCAACATGTTGAAAGGTTCCTAATTATTAATAAAAATAGAAAAGAGAGAAAAAAAGTTTAAATAAACAATCAGAAAACAACAACAATTAACAATCAAATTATTCAACAAAGTAAATATATGATCAAGTTTGGCTTTGATTTTGTTCATCTTCACACATTAGAATAATTTAAATTGTTCCAACACCCACAAAGAAAAACCTCAAATTATCACAATTAGAATTGAAACAAGATTGAGAAAAGGTCAATCAACTGTTAATATATTAATTCAACAGGAACATAATTGATGTAACTTTCTGATTTGATTGTTGTTGATTTTTTCTCTCTCTCTAACAATCAATAAAAAGAATCAAATCAATCTCATCTATTTATAATCTTCTCTCACATCATAATCTTAAAAGATTTAGATTTGATTTTGATGAGAATGATATTTAAAAAAAAAGTGTAAATAGATTAGTGATCTTTTTACATTAATCTTATAATCATTAATGAGATTATTAATTGTTAATCAAGGTTTTATCTGTTCATCATGGTTGGCATTTTTACATTCAAAAACAAGTACACAATCATCATTAATCAACAATTAGATTGAAAGATTAACATTGATAAAAACAATCAACCTTCAATCAAACAAACAAAAAAACTGCAACTCTGATTAACATCATCAACAAACAATTAGATATCCTCACACCTTAATTGTAAACATCAAAATTGACGATTAACGGGAATAGATTATATTTATAAACATCAAAACTTTGATTCAGTTCAAGTTCACTGTAACAATCAACACAATTAATAACAATAACAATAACAAAAAATGAATATGAGTTATGAAAATTTTTAAAAAACAGATTCAATAACAATTAACAATAACAATTAACGTACAATCAATTGTCATTTTGCTTGACAAAAATTGAATACAAATCCTTGGTTAATTTATCTCTTTAAATATTCAACTATCCTTGAATTGTAATAACTAATAACAATAAACAATTTTCCTTATCCATGTAATAACATGAGATACCAGAACTTTTCTCAACAATTAACTTAATTCAATTAAATAAAAATATATACAAAGTAATTGGGAAACCATTAATTACCTAAAAGTCTTGTAGTTGTATTACCAGCGGCAATCATATCTCCTCTCGTGGTTCCTATGGTTGGTAATTTGGTTGAGACAACCCGATGTTTACCAATGGTACCCAAAGTGTAAACATTTGATTCACCTAAAATCAATGGATGGATTATAAATAAATCGTTATAAGATTATCTCCAGAGGGATTAACTTGCTTCATTTGTATATTCTGCTCACCTTCAGTCTTATATTTAACATAAGTATCTTTATCTTCAATCATTGCATCAACTGCCAATTTTTCACAATATTGAGCTGTTATGATGGCAATGGTTGGTTGCTGGGATTTTTGTACTTTAGGCATTTGTTTAACCATTTTAACTTGAGTATCATTCCGATTAACCCTGATAAAACCAAGATTATCCATGGGTTCAATGATATTTTTGGAGATAAGATCAATAATGTGAAAGTTAACCTCCTCTTCAGTTGAATTGGTTGTCCTGGAGTTTATAATAAGTTTACATAAGATTAGAAGAGAAAAATATTATTAAAATTGTATTTCTAGATGAGATTAAGGTGAAACTGGGTTAATATCATCATCATATTAGCTCACTTGACAATATCTTCAAGGGTAACTGCATTTGGATAAGAGGATTCAATTATTTCCAGGACACGGGACTGAGTTAATTCAACAATTGCTCCCAAAGCTGCTTCATCAACGGAAACTGTGAAAAAATTAACAAAGAAAAAGTTTTTATCATTAGTCTTGTTCATTAAGAAAATTTTAACGCTATTATATTAAGTAATCAGTTATTAGTATTGGTTAATTTGATTAATTGTATTTGTATATATGTATCATGCACTAAACAGGATAACAATTAAACAGTTGATAATTAATACAGTTTATGTTAGTGGGTGTAAATGTTAATATGGATAAACAAATTTCTTTATCAACAACAAATAGTAATTAAGATTTTTTTTACAATACAAAAACGATATTGTAACAAGATTATAAAAGAGAAGGCAAAGAATAAATTAATTTAATCCGATTCATCAAATGATAGAAATATTGTTCAAGATTAAACTGATTAACCTGCTGATTGTTTAATTGAACAATTAACTTATTATTAAATTAAGGTAGCAAAAGTTGTGGAGAAAGTTTTGTTTTTGTTTTGGCAAAAAAAAATCAAAATTTACAAACTTAATTAGATTGATAAATTTAGCTTAAAATGATGAAGATGATGATGATGATGATGATATTAGTACGTGAATATGATGATTAATGAGAAAACCCTTTTCTTGTTACAACAATCAACCAAATGGTTAATTAGATTTAAACTAATCATCCAAAAGAAAGTGAATATGATTAACCTTTAAAAAGTAAACTTAAATCAGTTGGAACCTAAATTATCATCACAACGTGAACGATATTGATTATGTTGATTCAATTGTAACAATTAAGATGAAGAATAAGAAAAAAGTTACAATTAGTTAGTATGATTTGGGAAGTTATTAATTTGATGGGTTTACAATAAGGAATTGATTAAAAAGTGAGAGAGAGAAAAAAGTAACAATCAATGAGATACAATTTAAATCGTTGATTAGGCAACTAAAATAATCTAGACAAACTAACAAGTGATTAACTAATTGAGGATGATTATCATCATTAAGATAAGTCTGATGGTCTAAAGAAAATTGTTAGTTAACAAAAACATGATTAGAATTGGTAAGTTAACTATCTATAATTAGATTAACTTGATTATCGTTAGTGGGTGTCATTAAATTCATCTACATCTTTATCCTTCACACCAACATCACCTCATCCTCCTTTCAACTTTAGCATCTTTTTGATAATATCTAACATCATGTTAATGATTAGTTAATATGATTGAATTAGTAAGGATGGATCAAAAATGGAAAAGTGTTAACATGGATTGAGATGAGAAATCAAATTAAATTGTGCAAGTGATTTAAGTGATTTAAGTGAGTGAGTGAGTGTAAGTGAATTAAATTGAATGGAAATAATAATAATAATGATAAATTAAAAAAAACCTTTTCCATCAAATGAAGAATCAGAATCGTTGATTGAAGAGCTATAATTTCCCGAATCATCATAATAATCAATATAATGTGACTGAGATGAGCCTGTTGATGAAGATGATTTAGCTGATGGTGATAGATTAAGATTATGATAATTAGATGAAATCAGAGGAATTGGAAGATTAAATTGACTCTTGCTATTTGTTTCATCACTAGAATCATTATTATTAACCAAACTATCCAAGTTAATTGTTGTAACTGTTTCCATTGATTCTGTTGGCAGAAAAGAGAAAAAACAAAAAAAACATAAAGGTAAACAAAAAGGTAAACAATAACAATTAAGACAAATTATAAAAAAAAATAATTAATAACAAAAACGGTAAAAATAATTGATGATATAAAAATATGATTATAAAGTGAAAAAGATTAAGATGGTTAAGAGACAAAAGTTAAATTATGAATTAATTGTTAAATATTTTGTATAATTAGGCTGATGCAGTGATGCAAAGTTGTAACAATCAACGCTTCGATGCAAGGTTAATTGTTACCATTATTACGATTGCTGTTTTGTAGTAATTATCAAGACAAAACTGTTAAATTGCAAATCATAGGAAAGTAAATATAATCATCATGATGACATTTAGATAGAAAGAAGATGAAGAGAAAAGAAAATAACTAAAAATATACTTTTTCATGCTTCTAAAGAACAGAAAAAAAGATGAAGATGGAGAAAACGAAAATGCTTAGATCATTACTATGCAGAAGATGATGTATCGATTACAGTGTAGTGATGGTTCTTCCGGAGATTTAAGATGAAAATTGCAAGAGAGAGAGAGAGAGAGAGAGAGAGAGAGAGAGAGAGAGAGAGGATGAGGATGATGAAGAAACCCTAAAATGGTAAACAAAAACTAACCATTTCAATAGCATGAAACAGAGTATAAATTTTTATATACAGAAAGTTTGTTGCTATTACTTGAATATAATTCAGCATGTGAGAAAGAAAGAAAGAGATTATGGTGGGATGATGGCGAATGAAGATAAAAGGATGATGATGATGATGATGATGAGGATAAAGAACAAGATTATCTATCTAAATGATTTATATACAATAGAACCGAATTTACAATTCAATATGAAAACTAATCTGAATCAAGTTCCAAATTGAAAGGTTTCCTTTTTTTCAATTACTTCTCATGTTATCCCTTATATTCACACTCTGGTCATGATAATGATTATCAAGATGACTATTGGATGACAGAATCAGGAGCTGATTTATATTTAAATTCATATATAAGGTAAAAATCTTATTAACGGTTTTTTTTTGGAGATCGGGTTGACCGAATGTAGTATAATGGTAAATGTGATAAGCAAAGAATTGATGAGGGTGGAAGATGATGATGATGGTAAGGTGAGAATCGAATTTACAATCAGTGAAATTGATCGATCAGAATAAAAGGAAAGGTTAGAAATTAAAAATTCAGGTGAAAAAAACCTAAAACTGGTTAGAGAGAGAGAGAGAGAGAGAAAGAGGGAAATGTTAAACCCGAAATTTGAGACACCAGAATAGAGATTAGATTACAAAGAATGAGAATTAATCTGAATTAAACTGGAAAAAAAGAAGAATTTCCAGAAGAAATACTGATTACATTGAAACAATCATCATTTAATAAATGATTAAAATTAATATAAATGATGCAACTAAAAAGAGAGAGAGAGACAATTTGTGTTAAATTGCTTTGAAATTACTCAGTAAGAGGGAAACAATTAACTACGGTTAATGTAATTGGAATTACATAAGAATGAGGTAGAAAGATAAATCTTTTCAAATGTGACAATAAAAAAAGTTAGGTAACTAATGAAGAGAAAAATTGACTAAAAAAAGAGGAAGATTGAGAGAAGGAAGAATCTTCATCATCGTCATCATCTTCTAGGAAGATGATTATATCGATGCATTAGATAAACATGAGTCACAATTTTTTCTCAATCAATTATGAGGGCTGACGAAAATTCATAGAGTATATAAAAATGAAAAAGATGGAAGAATTGATAATAACGAGAAAGAATCATTTGATGATAAAAGGATAGTAAAAGTGATAATAAAAAGGCTGAGAGAGAGAAAGGGTTGACATTGAGTCTAATGGTGGTTGGAGAAGGAGGCTCAGGGGGAGATTCGTTGGATTGGATGGTTGATGAAGTGTTTAAATCGTTTCTTGATAACATGGATCGTTGGGCGATTGTTGGAAAAGTCTTCTTGGTCTTATCATTAAATTTTTTCTTCTTCTTATTAATCTACTTGGATTCTTTTGATTACTTGTTGTTGTTTTTGTTGTTGAAGGTGATGAGCTTTTCTTTAATCTCTTACCCGGTCGACTTGGTAATTCACTTTTCTCTTCTGATTGTTTCATGTCCAATTGAATTTGTCGTATGGTTAAAAATTTACGCTGTAAAAGCTTGATAACCTTCATTATAAAACCAACATAATCACGTGGAAAATCACTTGGATTGACTAGATCACGGAAAAATTCTTGAGCCGTCATGAGTTGATCAGATTCAGTGATTCCTTCTTTAAACCAGAATTTGAGACTTCGATGTTCCTCAACATGAGCCTTGGTTGTTGTCAAGTTAACTAGGAACACTTTAAATGACAAATTAAGGTGAGCAGCTTTACCATCGAGATCACTTTTAACTAAATTGAGAGAGAGAGAGAGAGAGAGAGAGAGAGAGAAGAAGAGAATGAAAATGTAAATGTTACATCAATTTAATAATAGAGGGAAATGGAAGAGAATAGAAAAGAGAGAAAAATCAATGAGAAAACCGGTCAAAAGAAAAATAGAGGGAAAAAGATGAGAAAAAGGAGGAAACCAGTCACATTAATAATTCACCACGAGACAAGGAGAAAGGGAGACTTTAGGTTAAGGGTGGAAAATGGGTAAATCACATAGGAATCGCCTATTAGACAAGATGAAGGGCGAAAATGAGTAATCAACTTACCGGTAACACCAGGACGATTGATTATTATTCCCTTGTTATCACCACCACCCACATGCATGGCTCCATTTTCATCTAGCTGAGTAGCTGTTAACCTTTCCATTTTTAAAATTGTATGTCCAACAGCGGGACGAGTTGTGGTCATCAAAATTTTTTCTATCCATTTGCAAAAATAAAATATCCAAAGATAGAGGAGAGACACACAAAAATATAAAAATAGAAACACCAAATCCAAGGAGTAAACAAGGAAAATCCAAAAATAAGCCAAAAATCAAGACCAATAAACCGTCACAAGATTAACACGAAAGACACAAGATAAAAAAGAGAATAAGAAAAAAAACCGTTAAGAGATTAATCAATTGGATTAGATAATCACAAGAAAGAAAGAAAGAGAGAGAGAGATGAGATCACATTGAGAACAATTAAAATAAATCAACATGTTTCAGATAAAGAAAATGATTTGATTGTCAAGAAAGAAGCACAATTAAATCAACTGTCAATTTGTTCTAAAAAGAGAATAAAAATCACCGGTAATGACTCACCTTCTTCTGAATCCATTTTGAATCAAGAATTGAGATTAACTGACAGAGAGAAAAAAAGAATAGAAAAAAATTGTTCTCCTTTTTGTTTCGATTCGAAATGTAACTTGGAGATCGAATGAAGATCAAATTTGTTGTGATGATGGAGAAAAGAAAATGACTGTTACTCTAACAGTTGTAGAATAAAAATTCTCTCTCTCACCTTCTCCCTTCTGTCTCGTTCTCTCTCTTTTCTGGTTATGATGATGGAGAAAAAAAAGAAAGAGAAAAATAGAGAATAAAAGTTACTCTTTCTTTTTTTCTTTCTATTCTTTTTCTTTTCTTTTCTATTTTGTTTATGTTTTTATTTTCGTTTTATTTTTTTCTCTCTCTTGATTAGTTTTTTTTTCTTCTTCTTCTAATTAGATTAACATTCTAATTGTTGAGTTAATCTGATGATTAATTGGTGGAAATGATGATGTTCACTTTGTTATTCGTTTTCTTTTCACTTAACACAAATGTAAGTAATTTAATGATGTTTAATGAGAATCATGATGATTAGAGTTGATTGTTTGTTGAATTGTCGATTTATGTTAATGTTTATTGTTTATTTTCCAAATTAATTTACTTTTCTCTTCTTTTCTTATTCTCTTGTCACAGTTTCCATTTTGTTTATATTAACACCATGGGTTGAATTTATTGTTTCTCATTGTTTATTCATCATCATCATGGTGTTGACTCAATTCTCAATTGTTACAATTCAAATGGTTTGTATACTTTTCTGGAGCGAGTTGAATTTCCAATTGGGTGACCTTTTCTTCATGGAGAATTCATAGTTGAACAAGAGAGACTTTCTCTCTCTTTTGCTTCTTTTCATCATCATCTTTATCATCCTCATCTTCTGGAGATGGTGTTGTTTTCTTACCAGGTCAAGGACGATGCTCAGGATTGTTCAATTTAATATGGAATTTCTGGTTCTTTGATGAAAGAAAACAATTTGATATCTTATATCTTTCCCATCAATTTTATCGCTTCAATAAATGATTATATTGACATAGAATGATGATGATCCATGGTAAGGACAACCATAGTTTACAATCATAAATCAAATTGTGTTAATTATCTTTCTCTGTTGATTTAGTTTGTTGATTGTTAAGAGAAAAAGTTAAGTGGCAATTGATTATATCAATAAGATTGTTATGAGATCGATGAATTTACCTGATGGCGGTAACTCTACAATCTTATTCACTCCAATTTCTCTCTCTATCAATTTTCTTTACTCTTAGCAACCTAAATTTAGATTTTCTGTTAATTGTTGTCAACAATTTGTTAATATTATGACGACAATTAGTTGAAAAAAGCGCTAAATCTTTTAGTGATTTCACAATTATGTTTTTAGCTTCAACCTCAAGAAAATGTCTTGATTACAAAATTTTTTCCTCTCTTTTCATATTGTCAACTTGACTAACCCATTGAGCTTGTCTGTTAATTGTTACAATCAGAAAATGTCTATTCCAGTTAATAATCAAAGTGAAGATAATTTTTATGAAATTTACTTTTATTTAAAGGCCATTGGTCGATTGGATCGCGAGGATTTCTTACCGATGTTGTGCTCCGCTAATAGCACAGATTTAGGTGCGATTCGCAGTTATGAATTGGACATTTTGCCGCAAAGTGTAAAGGTGACCCTAAGCGTGACTAAGGAATTTCGTTCTCTGCTCGTTGATGAAGATATGACGATAAGTTATCTTGGATTTATGTCTCCAGTTTATGATATTGTAACAGTTGACATGTTCGAAAGACTCGGTCGTCAAGAATTACAGATCGAAGATGATCCCTTACTATCGAGATATTTGTGTCTAAAAAGAGTGTTTATCGAAGTGACAGATCATCAGCTTAGTCATAACGAGAGAACTGAACATTTCGAGGATGACAGAAAAAGATTGGAATTAATCCTTTGCAGATGATCTTAATAATCTTCCATTCAGCTGATTACCCGATTGATTTTTATCATCGATTTTGTACTTGTCCAATTTTCCATTTTGAATTTTAAATAATTTGAACTTTCTTTTGATTGTTGTTTCAACACCAATCAAATTGAAGGTCATTTCCTCTCATCTAGTGAATCAAACACCAACCAATGAATTCAAACCGTTTTCTTGCTTATATTTATAATTAATAGTAAGAAAAACTCTGATGATGTGATTATTATGATACAATGAATGTTACAAGAGAGATAATAAAACGAAAACAATCAAATTAGATTGTTAATGTTTTCTTTTTTTTGTCGGCCTATCGAAACATTGTTTCATTCCTCCAGCGATATTGGCAAATTTAGATGTTGAAACTGTTTCCGTTGCCCAAGGAGAATCAAATTTAGTCGTATCTTGATCAACCAGGTGAGTATATTTGGTCCTTCCAGAGCGACCGAAATTTTTGACCTGCATAATTTTCGGAAGGGTCGTCTTGTCGAACTGATCTTCTAACGTTGGTTCGGCGTAATTCCTCTTGAAAATGGTCTCCTCTTGGTCCATGTAAAAAGCACCACGATGATAATATTTCTGTAGATATTTGTACTTCCCTTTTGACGCTTTATTGGTAATCACTTTGGGCCTTTTCTTCAATTCTTCTAGCCTTTCCTCTTCCGTTAGATTCCTTAATCTCTCTACTTCGGCTTTTTCCTTCATTTCAGATTCTCTTTCTTCTTTGTCTCGTTTGATTCTTTTCAATTCTCTTACCTTCCATGCTTCATATTCAATCTCTTCATCTTCATCATCGTCATTACAAGCAGCCATTGACTCGATAAATTGTTCCTCTTCCTGTTTACTTTCCTCGACAATCTCTCTCTTTGTTTCATCTTCGATAATCCTTAAAGCTTCTCGTCTCCTCTCCTCTCGCTGTTTCTTTTCAATATCAATCGTTGATTCAATGTTTTCCTCTATTCGAGCCTCCCGATGCTTCTTGGAAATGAAAACAGGCTTCAATTGTGGACCAGTATCATCTTCGTCATCTGTATATTCCTCTTCGTCACTTTCATCATCATCATCGTCATCGTCATCACTATCTCTATCTTCATCATTGTCTTCACTATCGCCATCCGAATCATCGTTGTCCAATAAATCTTCCTCTTCTCTAGCTCGCCTTCTAAGAATAGCAGCATGACGATGTTCAACTTCATCTTCGTCTTCTTCCTCATCAGAATCAACGGTACGACGAGTAGGTGCTTAGAAAATGGAACAAAATCAAATCAAAAGAATATTAATCACAAACGAACAAGAAAAAAAAAGAATAAAGAATAACAATTCTTACCTTTTACTCTGTTGTTGACTGGAGATTTTTCCACTAATGTTAATTTCTTGTCCAAATCAATTTCTTTCGCTGTAAATTGTTCAACTTGTTCTTCATCACTATCAGAAGATACATTACCAGCGTAGTGGGGAATTCTACCGGCAACATATCGTCTAACTGTTTGTTTATTAGAAGACATAATTAGAACAATTAAATTAAATCTAAAAGAGAAAAAAAATTTTCTTCTCAAAACAAAATCAAAACAAAACAAGAAAATATCATATGATCTCTTTGTTTATGTTTCGGAACTCGAAAGTAACTCCATCTGGGGGTTGATAGAATTTCTGTTTTTCTCATTCATTGTTTTTCTCTGGTTCTTGTTGGTTGCAAAACAATAGTGACAATTAGAGTATCAACCTCAATTAACCATGAATTTGTTTAATCGCCTGTCAATGAACCTTGTCTTTATTCAAAATTGTTCCATTAATTAGAAAATCATTCTACTTGATTTGGTGTCAAGTGTCAATCTTTTTGGTTCTCTTCCTTTTTCTCTTTAAAATCACAATTCCCGATGGTGATGACGAAGGTATAATATTCCCATTGATGGTTTTCTTTTTGTGCCTCTGTTAATATTTGTCTTTTTCTCTCTCTGTGTTATTGTTTTCATTTTTCTCTTTGTTTTGTTCTATTCTCTATTCTCTCTTTAACTACCTTCTTCTTTTGTCAATTCTCCTCTGAAATCTCTTTCCTTTTTTCTCTCTTGTGTTTCCCTTCTTCCTCTTCCTCTTATTCTTATTATGGTAAATTCTCTTCTTTTCTCGCCACCATTTTTGTTGATTCCATTTTCATATTAGTCTCAATTCCAATCATTTTCCTCTCTCTCTCTCTTTCTCTCTAATCTCCTTCTCTCAATTAACAAGTGGGTGGTTGTCATTCTGTCACAAATACGTTCACCTTTCTGATGAAAGTTCAATCAGTATGTTTTTTCTTGTGCCTCTCAAATTAATCTCTTTCTCTTTTCATCTTATATCATCATTAGATCTTCAGAAGTAGTAACAGTGAAGAAGAAGCTCTGATCAATCGTAAACTACACAAAGAGCTACTACTTCGAATTTTCTCTTACCTCGATGTAATTTCGCTTTGCCGTTGTGCCCAAGTATCTAAGGTAATTATTTCAATTCCATTTTCGATATTATCATGTTCGACTTTCCTTCTTTCTTTCGTTCTTCGAATTTCTTTGTTTCGACATGTCTCTTTCTCTCTTTCTCTCTACCTCCCTCTAACTCTTTTCTTTGGACTGAAGATGAAAAGATTATCTATATATCAAATAATATTCTTCAAAAAAAAAATCTTTAATGGCGGAGGCGATTAATAGAATTTTCTTCATTCGGTCAATGGTCTTTTACTCATCCATTTCATACATTATGTTTTCCTTTCATTATCTTCTCTCTCATTCCCTCACGGTATTCATGTAATCATCTTGATCACCATTTTTCATTCAATTTCTATCATGTTTAAGAATCTTTATCCTCTTCTTTCCTCCATCATGATCATTGTTTCTCTAATCTTTCTCCATTGTAACATAAAACGAAACTAGTATTGGAATATTTTGGCTCTCGATGGAAGTAACTGGCAGCAGGTTGACCTTTTCAATTTCCAAACTGACATTGAAGGTCCAGTGGTCGAAAATATATCCTCAAGATGTGGAGGTTTCCTCAAGCAACTCAGCTTACGTGGTTGCAAAGCCGTCACCGATTCAGCTCTTCGTACCTTCGCTCATAATTGTAACAATATTGAAGATCTCAATCTCAATGATTGTAAATATCTCACTGATAGGTATTGTATTATTTTCCATCTTCATAATCTTCATTAATTCTCTGATTATTTTCGAATAGAATTTTCTCCATCCCATTTTCTCTCTTCTCTACTTTCTCATGAATCTTTCTCTTCCATTTTTACTTCAGTTTCTTCACTGTCATTATCATGATTGTTAGTGATTAAGATCATCTCTCTTTTCATTATATTTCTCTCTTCTTTTTGGCTTTCTCTCTTTCTCTCTTCGTTCTTTGTTTCTTGTTTCTAGCATAAAGAAAAAGATAATCTTCATTTTATGTTTATTTTATCTCTCTCATCATCTCTCTCTCTCTCTCTCTCTCTCTCTCTCTGCTCTTTTTGTTGTATCTCAGCACTTGTGCCAGCCTTAGTAAACACTGTTCAAAGTTGACCAGTTTGAACCTTGGTTCCTGTATAGAGATTACTGACCGATCCTTAGAGGCTCTGGGCGAGGGCTGCCCTCACCTCGAGAAACTTGATATCTCTTATTGTGAAAAGGTTTCACCCTATGGGGTTACTTGTATTGCCGAAGGATGTCCAAAACTTCGTGCCTTTATCGCTATTTTATGTTACAATATCAACGATGAAGCTGTCACTCGACTTGCCAACCATTGTCATAATCTACAAGTAATTAACTTGAAAGCTTGTTGTTTAATTACTGATGAAGCGATTATCAGTTTAGCGGAAAATTGTCGAGGTTTGATTTACGTTTGTTTATCCAATTGTAATCATCTCACGGACAATTCACTGGTTGCCTTGGGTCAAAGATGTCCCAAAATACGAACTCTTGAAGTTGCCCGATGTTCCCATTTTACTGATATTGGTTATCAGGCATTGGCGAGAAATTGTCGTTCCTTGGAAAATGTTGACCTTGAGGAAAATACTCTCATTACCGATAATACCTTGGCCTATTTATCGATGGGATGTCCGAAGCTTCAAAAATTGGTAACTATTACAATCTCGTGTTCATTTCGATCGTGACTTTTTATTTTAATTGATCCGATTTTTTTTCGGTTTTTCGGTCATAAACAGAGTCTTTCTCATTGTGAACTGATCACAGATGATGGAATCCGCCATTTGAGCTCCAGTGCCTGTGCTTCTAATCACTTGACAGCTCTCGATTTGGATAACTGTCCTCTAATCACTGACACTTCTCTAGATCATCTAAACACTTGTAATAAATTGCAAAGAATTGAACTCTACGACTGTCAGTTAATTACTCGAGCTGGAATCCGTCGACTTAAGGTGAGTTTTTCTTTTTCCGAGTCATTTGGAAATTATCAACTAATTGTCTTCTTTTATCTCTTTTTCCAATAATAGAGCCATTTGCCTGATCTCAAAGTCCATGCCTACTTTGCCCCAACCACTCCACCACCTTCACAAGGAGTTGGAAGACAAAGATACTGTCGCTGTTGTGCAATCTTGTGACTAAAACTGAAACAGTGTTTCTGTTGCTAAAAAAGAAACAAAATCATTGAAATCATCAACAAAAACTATCAAAATATCAATGTAACTTTTTGTACTGCGTCTAACCCTTGATCCAATTGTTAAATTGATCACAAACTTTCATCAAGTCTTAACCATTATTTCTTGGAGTTCAAGATTTAAATGATTTAAATTATCATAAATATTATTTACAATAAATGAACAACATTTGGAGATGATCCAGTTTTACCAGCATTTGATAATTTTCCCAATTCATCAGCAATTTGAGATAAATTCAAAGGTCCCAATTTAATATCAGTCGATTGTGATGAAAATGATGACGATCCTGATGAGCTTGATGACACAGAGGAAGATATTGATGCTCTCGATGACCAGAATATATTATAATCCATTGTACGATGTTTCGTCGTAACAATAAATAACAAGAATTTAAATGAACAAGCTGAGATTGAATAACAATCAGGAAGAAACAAGAAAACGAAAATTTCGTTACGAAATGTTTGCTGATCAGGTGGTAGAAAAGAAAGTAAACAAAAAGAAAAGCGCGAAACTTGAGATCTTAGATATAAGAATATCGATAATCGTAAGTATCGATACTCGATTTTTTCGTTCTAATTTTTTTAATTGTTTCGATTTACAATTTGTAATCTAGTTGACAATTTAATTGGTTGGCTATTTTTTTTAGTTGGATGGATGAGGATTTGTTTTGTATTGGTTTTCCTAGATAATCAATTGGGTTGAGGAACAAAGGAAAGTCTTTGATGAGAGAAAATTGTTTTTAAATGTGTGTTGATGTTGTCATCTTGATTTCAACAAATTAACTTGATTGTGAAGTGATTGATTTGATTAGTGAATCATTTTAGTAACAGGCTTTTGTGATAATTGATTTTCCATTCATGTAAATATAATAGACAATTGATTACGATGAGAAATAGATGATTGAAGTTTGTTTTTTCTGCTTATTTTGAAGTAGAATCCACAACAATTCTAACAATTGGGAGCTTGGAAGGATTGTTTAAGTTGATTAAGATGATGATGAGAATCTGTTTGATGAGATACGAAATTAAATTTGATTTGTTAATCAAAACTTTAAAAGCAAGAAAGACATCGACCCAAATCTCCGACCGGTGAATAAACGTTAACAGCACAAAAAGAGCAGAACTGATTTTTACATTGACCACAATTAATTAAACACGAATCACATATTGAGTGTTCACAGAAATTACATCTAATTGTAGAATCAGGTTTAAGAATTAATTTCTTTTTACAAATACGACATTTAACATCTTTATTGTTCTCCAAAGAATCCGAACAATTGACTGATGATGGTGACCATAGTTTCTTTGCTCCTTCACGAAGAATTAAACTTAAGGTAGAGACTTTGATAGAAAAGAACAAAAATTCAAAATTAATCAGTTAAAAAAGCAAATTAGATGACAATTAAATTAGTAAATCAAAATGAGAAAATAAAAACATTAAACCAAATCCAAAAGTCTTACCTGATTTTAAGGGAATTAAATTCTGATTTGTACACATTCTTTTGATTGTTAAATCACCATCATCATCTAAATATTTTCGTTTAACCATAATTGTCAAAACAAATTACAATTTAATTACAATTAAACAAAAAAAATCGTTCAAAGTGTTGATTAAATTTTCAGAATTTTTTTCTCCAAAACAACTGATTGATATTCGATACCGAGTATCAGATATTCGGGTATCCGATATTCTCATTTGATTGGATTGTGACAGTGAAAGTGACCAACATTTCAAAAAAAGTCGAACCTCGTTCAATAATAATGAGCGGGATGATGATTCCGTGTGCTCAACCATCGCCAGGTAACCTCACCCACCTCAGCAATTGTTAATAACTCAAATTTACCTGCATGGATTTACTGTACAAGATACTCGGATAGACCTTCATCAGGTAATGGTAATAATAATTGAATTTAGTTTAGGTGATCATCTCTTGGTGTTATCATTTAGTGAATTGAAAGTATTTAATATTCAACTGATAATTACCTGTGCCTTTGAATATACCAGTTGAAACTAATTTTCTCTTTATGTTTTACTTTCTCGTAAAGGTCCAAGATCGAGAAAATTAAGAAAAAAGGACAAAAAAGCCGACGAGAAAAGGCCTCGAACAGCGTTCACAGCCGAGCAATTAGCGCGATTGAAGCAAGAATTCAATGATAACAAGTAAGTAACAATTGAAACAATTTGTTTTTCCTCTTTTCTTGTTAATCTCTAAATCATCGAAACTAATTGTCAATTGATTGTCTTTCTTTCTCCATCCTTTGATGACAATTGTGTTACAGATATTTAAATGATAAACGTCGTCAAGCATTGGCACGAGATCTTAAGCTAAATGAATCTCAGATTAAAATTTGCTAGTTCCCTGTTTTATCTAAATTAAAATTTAATCATTAGATTTTCAGAATTTTTTTTCCAAAACAACTGATTGATATTCGATACCGAGTATCAGATATTCGCGTATCCGATATTCTCATGTGTTGTTTTTGTTTTTATTTTAATTTGGTGATTTAATTTACTTTTTTTTCCTTGTTGATTAATATGTAATCTTTGTAAAATGATTAAATCATCTAGATTGTTAATTAGACCATTAGGTTGGAAGATTAGACCTGAAAGTGTTCAAAGTAAACTAAATTGTCAATGTAATTTGTCATCAATTTTATTGTCACCATTTGGTTACCGGTTTCTTCATTCATCTAAATTGTTAAATGTTAAATTGTCTTCGAATTGGTTTTCATCGTCATCTAAATCAAAATATGAAAATAATCCTAATTTAAAGAAGAAAACTCGTGTTATTGAAATTTGGCAAGGAATGAAACCTAAAGATTTAGCTGAAGCAATTGGATTAACTGTTGATCAAGTTTATGAGCTGATGAATTTGTCAAACATTAAATGGATTAATTCAATTGAAGATATTAAAATTATGTTGGCTAAGCTTAATTATCGGTTTACTATTGTTAAAGCTCCAACGATTGACCTTGAACCTGAAGAAGAGAATATTCTATCTACTATTGAGAGATTAAAATCACCTAATGGTAAAGATTTTAAACCAAGACCACCGATTGTTACAATTATGGGTCATGTTGATCATGGAAAGACAACTTTATTAGATTCACTGAGGAAAAGTCAAATTGTTCAGTCAGAATTTGGTGGAATCACTCAACACATTGGTGCTTTTGCAGTTTCTTTGGGTGAGTTGTGAAAACTTTTCTCGAAAATCTTTTCCTTTCCTCAATCGTTACATTTGCATTTCCATAAACACAATCAAATATCATTTTGTTTTAATTTCTTTGCTCTTACCTTGCTGATTATCAATTCAGACGATGGTGTTACCAGAATCAATCAATACGATCCAACGATGGTGAAAAAAATAGTGACCTTTTTGGATACTCCTGGACACGCAGCGTTTTCATCCATGCGACAAAGAGGTGCTAACGCGACCGACATTGTGGTCTTAGTGGTTGCCGCTGATGATGGAGTAATGGAGCAAACAATTGAATCAATTAAATATGCTCAAAATGCCGATGTACCGATAATCGTGGCCGTTAATAAGATTGATAAAGTAGATGATGTTGATGCTACTTTGAAAAGAATTCGTATTGAACTAAATGTTCATGGTATTTTAACTGAAGCCGATGGAGGGGATTGTCAAGTTGTCACAATTTCTGCTCTTAAAGGTGAAGGATTAAGAGAATTGAAAGAGGCCATTTTAGCGCTCGCCGAAACCTTGGAATTGTCATCACCTTATGATGGCGGTGTTTATGGTACTGTCATCGAGTCTCGAATTGATCCACATCGAGGTAAAACGGCGACAATTCTAATCAAACAAGGAACGCTAACCAAAGGGTCTTACATTTTGGCCGGTGAATTAAGTTATTGTAGAGTTCGAGCCATGTTTGACGAGCAAACTCGACCCTTACCGAATACTAGTCCCGGTTTTGCGAGTCAAGTAATCGGGTGGAGGGAAGATGATCTACCCGAAGCGGGCGATACTGTCCATCAATTTCCCGATGAAAAGTCACTTCGAGAAGTAATTAAAAAAGCCAAGTCTCTTCAAAGTAAACAGAAAGCCTTTTATGACGCTGCCGCTGCGGCCGAAAAAAATGCCCTAGAACGAGATTCTTATGTGGAAAAACGTAAGGCCAACCTAGAGGCCAAAATACCCTTTTGGTACACCAAATATAAAGGTCCAAAAGTGAAAACTTTCATCGACGATCCCGATGAACCATTTAAAATACGATTATGTATAAAAGCCGATGTTCATGGAAGCACCGAAGTGCTATTAGATGTTATCGATAGTTATCCAAATGATTCGAGTAAAGTTAAACTTGACCTGATTCATTATGGTGTTGGTACCGTTACCGAAAACGACATTGAACTTGCCTCGTGTTTCAAAAACTCGGTCATCTATGCATTTAATGTTCCACTTTCGAGTAAAATTTTTAACCTTGCCAAAGAATCGGGGGTTAAAATTAAATCTTTCAATGTAATTTATCATTTTGTCGATGATTTAATCAAATCAATTAGTGATCTTATACCCGAACAAGATGCTGAAGTTTTAATTGGTGAAGCTTTGGTTCAGAAACAATTTCTTATTGATGAGAAACGCCGTTCGATACCAGTGGCCGGTTGTCGTTGTACCAAAGGTCCAATTTTAAAGGAAAATTGTTTTTATAAAATTGTTCGTGATAATAAAACAATCGTAACTGGATTAACACTTTCACAAATGAAACACCTTAAAGAAGATGTTAAAACAATCGAGGTTAATTTTGAATGTGGACTCAAATTTTCCAATTTACCGGAAAATTTTAATTTCCAACCATCGGACATTTTAATTTGTTATAAATTGAAAAAAGTTAAACCAACATGTAAATGGCGACCCCCTGGTTTCTAGTCTCAAACAATTAGCTAATCATTACAACAATTAACTCAGCCAATTGGATTTTCTATTCACATATGGATTTCTAATTATTTTTAGAGTAAAATTTGTACAAATAGACAAACATTATTACAATTAAATCTGAAACAATTTTCCAAGTTAATTATCAATTCGTTAACTTAACATCGTTAATAATAAAGCACTCGGCATAAGTATCAATTGATTAAATTAATCGTCATCACAATTAGTAAAACAATTTAAAACGCATCAACAATAAGCACAAACAAAAATCAGCAATCATTTTGTTTCAATCAAAAGTACCATTTGAAGTGATTAAAAATTAATTATCTGAACAACCATAAACAATTTGTTACCACAAGTAAATCCTCGAGTTAATTACTTAATTAATTGTATTGACCAATAGATGAGTTTCTTGACCACTAGAAATATTTATCACTTGATTGTCTTCACAGGGTATCAGTCAAAAAATTGATTCGATCTGAATTAAAAAACGTTAACTTCACACAGAAACTGAATTGCAAATAAAAACACTCAAAATTTCATCATCAATCAATTAGAAAAGCAATTAACTTAATCGTATTTTTTTTCACCGAGTGGAAAGATAAGCCAGTAGATGTCGCTACTTATGTTCTTTTTGTTTTTTCAGTTAAATTAATTCAAATGTTCATTTTGTTTCTGTGTTTAAATTACTCATTGTGAACGTTTTTAGCTTTTTAATTTATAAGAGAATTTATTTAATTATTTACTAATTGTGATTTCTAATTAATCTATTCAACTATTAAGGTTAATTAATAATCGAAATCATTTTAAAATCATGGAGGCTTTTGAAAAGATGGAGAAAATTGGTGAAGGTAAAGTAGATTGAGTAGCTTTTTTTTTCTTTTCTTTTAATTTCTTCTCCTACTTTCTTTCTGTGATTTCTTTTTTTAATTGTGTTTTTTTTTCTGTTCAACGGTTAATTCGTGTGTTAATTGATTTCTGATTAGGTACTTATGGTGTTGTTTATAAAGCTCGAGTTCGTAAATCTGATGCTGTTGTTGCTTTGAAAAAAATTCGCTTAGAAAATGAAGATGAAGGTGTCCCGCCAACTGCTATCAGAGAAATTACTCTTCTTAAAGAGTTGGTTCATCCGAATGTTGTTTAGTAAGTTTGATTAATTTCTTTTAATTTTTCTTATTCTATTTCTATAATTGACCTGTTTTCTTTTTTATTCCTTTAATTTTAAAGCTTAAAGGATGTTATCATGCAAGAGAATAGACTTTATCTTGTCTTTGAATTTTTAACTATGGACTTGAAAAAATATCTTGACAGTTTACCAGATAATAAGATGATGGACAAAATGTTGGTAAAAGTAAGTACGATGAAGATAAATTTAGATTAATTCTTTTCAATTTATTTCTATTTTTACAATTCTTTCAATTTGTTCTTTATATCTTGTTCTTCTTTCCCAGAGTTACCTTTATCAAATCATGCAAGCGCTTATGTTTTGTCACCAAAGGAGAGTGATCCATCGTGATTTAAAACCTCACAATCTTTTATTAGATTCTAAAGGAATTATTAAATTAGCAGATTTTGGATTGGCTCGTGCATTTGGTATACCTGTTCGTCCATATACTCATGAAGTAGTTACTCTTTGGTATCGGGCTCCTGAAGTTTTATTAAATTCTGAACGTTATTCTACTTCATTGGATATCTGGTCAGTCGGATGCATTTTTGCAGAAATGGCCACAAAGCGACCATTATTTAGAGGAGATTCAGAAATAGATCAACTGTTCCGAATTTTTAGGTTGGTAAACAATCAAATTAATATCTTTTTTCCATCATAATCAATGTGTTTCTTTTTCTTTTATGACAGAGTTTTGGGTACACCCACAGAATCAACATGGCCTGGAGTCTCGAAATTACCAGCATATAAAAGTCATTTCCCTTGTTGGAAAGAAAATATTCTCAACTCATTTGCACCAATGATCGGCGAAACTGGAGATGACCTTCTAAAAGTAAATTTCTTTCCATGATCTTTAATCGACTCTTAATCTCATTTTCTAATCTTGTTTTCTTATTCTCTCTCCATTTCTCTTAATCTCAGTTGATGCTTATCTATGATCCTCACAGGAGAATCTCAGCTAAAGCTTCAGTTATTCATCCCTATTTTAAAGATTTGGACATTTCGAAACTACCAGATTATACTGCCGAATATTAATTGCTGACAATTCCAGTCAAACATTCCAATTACAATCAAAACAATATTACGCAACACAACACAAAGTCACATTCATTTGATCATCATGATTAATACAATTGTCGCAGTTTTGGTAACACACACACTCACGAAAAATGGCCTTCCAACCAATTAACTTTCCCAAGTCACACAATTTTCACAATCCAATCAAATTAATAAGAAAACCACTTAAAACAAAATTATATTTAACTCCATTAATCATCTTAGATCACTTTTAGCGAAATTATAATTATTATTTTTCGAGATACCAAAGCTAGTCCATGGACCGGCCAATGGGACTGGCAATTTGTCGGAAACTTATTGGTCAGTGATGAACATAAACTGACCAACTTGTTGAGTATCTAATTGTTTTTACGTTGAAAAGACTTAAAAAAGAGCGAGACCAATTAACACTGTCAAAGATTTCCAATAAATCGGCACCAAATTAAAGCCACCAAATTAATAACTATTTTTAACTAAATTTTGTAAAACGCATTTCTTTCAATTTAACTATGGAAATTAATTGTGATACAATTTTAGTCACAATTAGTTTGCTCGATAAATAGACTCGAAATTTTTACTCTCACATTGAGTGAATTTTGTTTCCAAATTTAGATTTGGGTTTGGTTCCCATTTTAATCATTGACACAATTCATATTCTCACTAATTATTAACCATTGAATGTGTTCAGAGTTGATTGTTTTAAATCAATTCTCTACAATTAACCAATGTGATAGTTTTCTTGATTCTGTTTTGAAATTTACTTTCTTCTTCCTCTTGGTTAACCTGATAATCTTTGAATCTCCAACTCGCTTTGTTTTTTTACACGTGAACGAAACAAATATACTTGATTATCAACCAATTTTCTGTAAATTGTCGACTGTTAATCCACTACAATTAAGATGGAAGATCTTAAATCGATGCTCGAAACACTCATGGAATCCGGAATTTCAGTTGAACCTCCTGCTTGTCAATTCTCAGATTTAATTGATCCCGAATTGAAACATCACATGTCATTAGTTTATAAGTATTACATTAATGAGAAATTCAGGTAAATATTAATTGTTGTTAATTGAAGAAAACCAATTTACTGATTTACTTGATTTCCAGGGAAAATGTTACAGAAGGTTTTCTCAAGCTTCCCAATGAGATTTTCATGAAATCGGATGAACGAGCTGAACGATATCGGAAAAAAGGAAATGAACTTTACAACAAGAATAATTATCAAGAATCTCTGAGAGCATATAATGAGGTGAATTTTGGTTAGAATTTCATTTTTTTCATCTTACATATTGTTATTATCTTTATCCCCTCAGGCTGTTGCTGTGGCTTCTTGGGAATCTCGTCCATCTGATGGACTAAACACCGAACTGACCTTAGCGTTTTCGAACCGATCAATGTGCCTTCTCAAGCTTAATCGTTACCAAGAAGCTTTGGTCGATATTGACCTCGCTTTGGCTCATGTTTCCACCGAACAATTAACAAAGAAGCTAAATTACCGTCGAAATGAATGTCTGAACCATTTAAAATCGTCAACGATCATCGACAAAAAACAAGAGAGCCCATTGGTGTCCAAGATAACATGGAATGAGAAAATGACCTCCGCCGTTGCATGCGAACCATTAAATCAATTGGATTTAGTTTTTCAAGAGAATCCGGAACTTTCTCTATTGAGAAAAGATTTTTATTTTACCCGATGTTTTAATTGTTTCGAACAATTTGACTTAATTATTCCCTGTCGAGGCTGTAATCAAGTTAAATTCTGTTCGTATCAGTGTTCACTTGATTCTTGGAATTCTGGTCATCATCATTTCTGTCACTTCTTGTCTCTATTTGATCATCTAAAGAACAAGGAAATTTTCAAAATTCCTCCTCTTCTGGCCTGTCAATCAATCCTTCAATTAGACACTCGATCAACATTTAAATCTATTCGAGAAGGAAATTTACCTGAGATGATAAGAAACATTTCCATCTCCACCATTGAGGCCGATAAATTGGACAAAATGGCCGAAACAGCCGCTCATCTATTGACCTACTTCACGGTAATCAAAAGGTTACCAATCAAAAATGATTCAGTTCCATGGAGATATGATATTGAATTGTTCGGAGGTTTATTGTTAATGTATCTCAGGAAAGTTGAATTAGATGGACGATTAGTTAATTCAACTGAATTGGCTAAACCTTTTGATCCTGATGAGTTTTATTATCTCGATGATAAAGTAACTGGCTACGCAATTTACAAGCAATTAAAACAATTGCCTCATAATTGTGATCCAAATGTAACAATTGGCTTATTTAAAGGACGAACTGTTAATTTGAGAGCAATTAGACAAATTAATCAAGGTGAACCCATTCAACTGGATTATGGTGTTAATTGTAAACTGTTTACACTCAAGGAAAGGTCAAACTTTTTGACAAATTTTGGACTCAAGTGTAATTGTGATTCGTGTGTCCAACTGGTCCAGCCTCGGGCTAAGTGTTACCTGTGTCCAGTTTGTTCAGGTCCAGTTTTAATTGAAGATGAGACAAATATTTGCCTTAATTGTTCACAGGTTAATCTACTTAATCGTGATGAGATTAATATTGAACTTGATGCTTGTCTTTACAACTATCGTCAGGCTAATTTAGCTTTAATTAATCGTGAACCTGATATAATTAAAGCGGAAGATTATCTATTAGATTGTTATCGAAAATTGAGAAAAATTTGCTATCCAACTAATCACAATTTAACTAATATATTTGATCGTTTATCTTATTGTTATAAGAAATTGAGAAAATATAAATTATCATTGATTTACTCAGAAAGAGCTGTTAATTGTTTCAACGAATCTAATCATATATTAGATAGATTAAGAGTTAATTGTTTCTTTAATCTATTGGATAGACAAAGAAATTTTCTAATTTGGTGTAATAAACTAAATCAATTTGATTCCCCTGAATTTCAGGAGATTTACAATCAAACCAAACAATCAATTGAAATGAATCTAAATGAAGCTTATCGATTAATTGTCGCAATTGATTTTAAACTTGATTATTATCATTCGATAATCAACAAAATCGAAACAGATTTGAAACAATATAATCTCATTCTCTAGTGGAATAACCATCGTTTTAACCAACACAATTAACAGAAGAAAACCAAAACTAATCAATCATAACAATTAACCTTTTAAACGATAAGAAAACTTTTCAATCAATTTCTCGATCTCGATCACGAACTTTAAACAATTAAACTTCACCAACGATTCTCAATTCTTAAAATCTTCTCCAACAATCAATGTACGTGTATGTGTTTACTATTTAAAGAGAAAAAAAATAGAAAAATAAACAATCACAATTAGAATTACGATTAATTTGTTTCGATTTTTTTTTCCATTTGAAAATCAAAAATTCTGCCAAAAAGGTGAACCTCAAAGCCTTTGATCCTCAAGGTGGAGCTCAAGTGGTTAAGTCATCAAGTCGATCGGAATTGTAATTATGTGAGTTAATTATCTCGTTGTCAACAATGGTTAATTTGATTGTTTCTTTAACATTTAATTGTAATTGAAATGTGTCTTTCTTCATTGTTCATCCCTGTCTCTCATCATCATTCTCCCCATCATAATCATTCATCTTCTACCTGCCGTTTATTGTTTGTATCCAAATGTTTAAACCTACATTTAGTATTAATAAACTACATTTGATGATTGGATACATTTTGTTTTCGTTTAATAGAAGATCATGTTTTCAGCATTAAAACGTCTTGTTGGCAATCAAAATGATTCTAAACCTGGACTTGAGAATGTTTTCAATCAAGTTAATTGTCCTGGAAGAAATAATGTCCAACCAATGGGACATCATTTGCAACGAAAATTTGCCAAAGGAGTTCAGTATAACAGTAAGTAGAATTTGTTTTTTTTATTCTATTCTCTTTTCTTGTTGTTTTTGTTTTCTTCTCTCCATTTTGATGTTGGCAAAAGTGGTTTATGATTCTCCATTTTTAAACTGTCAAAATTGTTTAACCTTCTTTTTCATTTTGCTAATTGTACTAACTACACCTGAAAGAAATCAGGTTAAAAAGGTTTATCTTTTTCATTTATGATTGAATGATTTTAATTGCTTCTCCAAATTAGGGTATTGTTAATTATTATTGCATCTCATGTGAAGGTGTTGATTTTTTTTCTGATTACAATTTATCATCATCCAACCATCTCCTTCTTTTCCATTGTTTTTAATAGATAATATTACTTATTAATTCAATTGTTTTCTCTTTTACTTTTCTTTTGTTCTTCAGTGAAAATTATTCTCAAAGGTGATCGTAATGTTGGTAAAACATGTCTTTTCATGAGATTACAAGGGAAACAATTTGTTGATGAATATACACCAACGGAAGAGATTCAGGTAATTATTTATGTGATCAATTGTTCGTTCAACTGAATTAACATTTGTTTTTGTTTTCTTTTCTTTCATTAGGTTGCAAGTATCCAATGGAATTATAAAGCTACCGATGATATCGTTAAAGTTGAAGTTTGGGATATTGTTGATAAAGGGAAAAAACGAGCCCAAATTGATGGGCTTAAATTGAATAATGAAAAACCCAACGCTTCCACTGTTACAAATGAAACGGAATCATCAGCATCAGAATTAGCCTTAGATGCTGAATTTATTGATGTTTATAAGGGAACCAATGGTGTCATCATGATGCTCGATATGACCAAAGCCTGGACATTTGATTATGTTCAAAGAGAATTACCTAAAGTACCTTCTAACATTCCAGTTTTGGTTCTTTCTAATCATCGAGATATGGGTCACCATAGAGCGGTAACCGAAGATCAAGTACGAATGTTTATCAGTAATCTTGAAAGGTCCAATGGTCCAGGTCAAGTTCGATATGCTGAAGCTTCCATGAGAAATGGTTTTGGTTTAAGATTTTTGCACAAATTTTTTAATCTCCCCTTCCTTCATTTACAACGGGAAACACTATTGAAACAATTGGAAACCAATACTGAAGAAATCACCGCAACTTGTCAAGAATTAGATGTCCTACAAGAAGCCGATGAATCGGATTATGATCGTTTCCTGGACAATTTAACCAACAAGCGAAGACAAATCGCCGATCAATTATCTCAAATACCAGTTACCTCAACCAATGGTAATTATCATAATAATGTAAATGGACCACCAAGAAGTATGTCCATGCCCGCAGATCTGACCTTAAGAAAATCTCCGTCGATTGGAACTGATCTTATCCGACCAACACCAAGTATTATTATTGGAGCAACCAAACCAATAAATTTAAAAGATGGTAAAGTAATACCTCCCTCATTAAGTAAAACAAATTTAGCTGCTATGGCTGGTAAAATGAGTGCCAATGAATCAACAATTAGCAATACAAATGGAATCAAGTCAAATGAAAACAGTGAAATAATCAGTGATGAAGATCGTTTAAATTTACGAACTTTCCTCGAAGAGCAACCTCAAGATTTTAAATTACCTGATGAACTCTCTCAACTCGCCGAAGAAGATGAAAGGTAAATCCTATTCACAAATATACTCTCATTTACAATTTACTAATTGTTAATATTATTTACTATTCTCTTAATATGTTTCTAGTGATGATGATAAGGCAGCTAATCCAATGGTTTCTGGTTATCAGGCTGAACTTGATCCTGAAGATAAATTTCCAGAATCTGATAATGTCATTTTAACGGAACAAATTATTACAAAGCCAGTGACCAGTAATCATTTTAAAAAGAACGAAGAAATTGAAATTAAGATGACCAACAAAGAAATAAAAGAAGAGATTAAAGGAATACCCAAAGAATTAGAAAAGTCAAACAATCAAACAGAAGCAATTTTTGTACCTGAGAAAATTTTACCAACAATCAATCATCAGCTGAAATCACAATTAGAACCATCTAATAGTGAGATTAAATCGACAAAGAATGTAACCTCTTCATCTTCATCGAAAAACAAAAAGGTTAAAGAAAAGGTGAAAACGACGAAAGAGAAAAAGAAGATGAAAAAAAGATCGAATACATTTAATGAAGAAGATGAAGAAAATCGTCGATTGGAAGAGTTTCTCGGATCCGATTGTGATACAATTAACAGTAATCGAGCAGCAAATGAATATGAAACATTATAACCTAAAAGTTTTGGGAAAACAAAATCAAGGAAACACAATTTAACCAAAGCAATTAAATGGTTGATTCCTTTTTTCAATTGTATCTGTGATTATCTTGGATGAAAAGGATCTCGTTGAATCTAAAATCGACCATCATATTATCATCTTAAACAAATCATGGGCTAGTTTGGTTTCTATTTTAGACACTTATCATCTTCCTCTGTTTCTACTTTCTCCTCATCATTAACTACAAAAGTAACAGAAAAATCTCATCTCGTCCTTTACATAATTCAAACCAGGAAAACACCAACATCACCACCGCCATCAAAATATCATCTAAATCAATTGATTGTTTCCATTCAAATGTGAATTTTGAATCAAAACCCTGGAGCAATTGATTAGTATTCAATCAAACATGGACCATAATTACCCAGTCTTCACATCAGTAGCACCAATTGGATTAACCGTTAGTGTCCACATCGGAGTGATTGGTGTCAGTGGTGATGTCGGTGTCACAACAGTTAACAATTAGATCCCGAAAACCCACTCGAAAGTACCAAAATTAGCAGATCAAAGCTCCAATATCAATTCATCTATTAAACTGTGACAATTACCTAAGTAAATGTTTGTATCTAGATGAATGGAAATCTTTTAATTTTAATTTGTTTAATTGTGTCTCTTTAAAAGCACAAACACTCTTTTCATTTCCCATGATTTGAATTGATATTTGATTCGTTTTGCCGTTGAACTCATTAACGGCAGAGATAATTAATCACAAATTCGATCATTTGTCTCTTCATCCTCACTGGTTAATTTACTAATTTTAATTATTGATTGTAAATATTTGATCATCTTATTTACCCACCATTCAGGCGTTTTTTTCAACTTTTATTTATAGCAATTTATGGATCTAATCTCTCGCAATTAATGTTTATATAAAAGCAACAACAACAAAAGTTAATCGTGGTTAATAAACTTACCTGCAATTGTCAATCTTTTTTGACCAACAATCAAATTTAAATTGGAATCGTCAATATCATCACTCTACACAATTAATTATCCGGCACAAAAAAAACAAGAGATATTCACTCAATCAATTGGAAGGATTTTAATTTAATCTTTTTTCAAAGATACATTCAAATATTCACTTAAGGAAACCCTTGATTTGATTTCTTCACTATTTTAATCTTTACAAATGATTAATTGTTTCACCGATGTTACTGTTACAATTAAAACCGTTAGATTTTAATAGTGTTAATAATGAAATAATTGTTGAAATTTCCTTAAGTGAGCAATTGAAATGTATTAAGAGATAAAAAAAAAGTAATTAAGAAATGAGTATAAAATTGAATAGATGATCAACTGATTATCATATGGAGAGAGATAAAAACAGTAAGGGAGATACGTTGATTGTTGGAGATATAAATGGCAATTAACTAATTGTTATGAGAAAAAAAATATCATCTCTCTTGGATTTACATAATTTTGTTAAATTTGATAAGATGAGAACCATTGATTTGTTGTTTGATTTCTTGGAGGAAGAAAAAAAAATATAATTAAGAAGGGAAAAGGTAAAAATAATTTACACTCGGGGTCACAATTGGAAATTAATTAAGATAATTGTTGCAAGATAATCGTATTGGAATAAATATATTGGTTGTAACTTAATTTCTTTTTAAACTTTTTTGTTCGCTGGTTAATTTGTTGATTGTATGACATTTTCATCAACAATGGTTAACCATCTAGTCTTTGATTATGTATATTTGTGTTTATGTTTTACTTTTCAACTTTTGTTAGATGAACAATTTATTAATTTCGCAAGTCAGCCCTAAATAAAGGTTAAGAGGTTAAGGGAGATAAATCAAGGGATCATCACTATCATCAAGTTGCTCTCTTTCTTTCTTAATTAATCAGAAGATTACGTTAAAAGGAATTTATATATGAATGTAATTTATAAATTCAATTGGTGTGACCCCGAATGTGGAGGCTAGTTTAAGACAGAGTGAAGAGGAAGAGTGCAAGAGTGAGAGAGAGAGAGAGAGAGAGAGAGTGTGTGTGTGTGGTGTTTATGTGGGTGGACAAAGGTTGGATGAAATGGAGGGTGAGAGATGGTGGAGAGAAAGGGTTAAGAGATTGGTGAGAGCGGGGAAAAAGAGAAGGTGGTAAATATATTTATATATATATGGGTTTCCATTTAGTTTTGTCACCGGAATTCTTGGTAACTTGGTAGCTTTTCATTTGTGTGTGTTCAAGTTGATTGTTGATTTAATTTGTTGATTCCGCTGTGGTTTTGTTTGTGGCGGATATTATTTACTTTTAACACCGGCCTGCAGTCGATGGGTCATTAAACGATCCACAATTTCTCGGGCGTATTTAAGTCGCTGGTAAAGCTCCTTGGTGCATCCATACTTTTCGATCAAAGAGAATTTGAAAGTTCTAAATTCTCTCTTCTCGTCGACATACGTAACAGCTCCCATGTGAGGGCATAGAATTAATTTTGTATGATCTTGGAAGAAATTCATCTAATAATAACAGAGTTTATCAAAAGAAGAGAAGAAAAAAAACAAAACAAAATTAGTTGATCATCTGATTAAAAGTGAAACTTGAACAGTCTCTAGGAAGCAAATCACTTTGATTATTGTTAGAATATACTTTTTTTTATCTAATTGATTTGATTATTATTGTGGTTGATGTTAATTGTTTAGAAGGAGAACAAAATAAAATGATACTCACTTGGACTGTTCCGTTTGTTAGATGGAAGATAATTGCGTTCCTTGTTCGGAACCAATTGTTCAGGTAAGGTAATCGAGTTAATTCATCTTTCTCTTCAAGATCAATTTTTTTCTCTCCACATTTGAGCAAATGCTCTTGCATATAATTACGGAAGTATTTGAGAAGAGTTATTTTCTTCTTTAACAATTGTTCTGGATAAGATTCAAGGGTATGATAGGATTCGGATCCATCTCTTTCAATGTATTGTAAATTCATACCATCGGCTAAAAGTACCAATCGGGTAATATCATTGAACAAAATTCCAACTGAATTGTCACACAATTGATAACCAATACCATATCTATCGGTATAATCAACCCATTTACTAATCCAAACAACGGGAGTTGAAGCTGGATCTTCAGCTTCATCGGCTAATCCATCATCTTTTTCATTAGCACGAATGGCAACAACTTTATGCAATTGATCACTTAAATCCTTCAAATTGAAATCCTTTGAGAATCCAGTGTTACCCATTGGTTTGGGAATTTGAACAGCTTGATTTTCGTTATAATTATTATTGTAATTTGTGTTAAGATTATTATTATTAAGTCCAGTTTGTTGATTGTTTTGACCAGCACCGTTATTATTATTATTATTATTGGCGGTGGTAGTTGTGGTGGCAGTTGTTGTTGTTGTTGTTGTTGTTGTTGCTTTGTTGGTAGCTGAAGTGGGCTGTTGAACGCCATTGTTTTTGGCAGCAGCATTATCGTTGGCAATTTTGGCAGTGACTACTGGTAGGTCAGAATTTTTCTCACCCAATGGTCTTCTAGGTGAACCATAAAACTCTGTTGGCATGATGGAAAGACGTCCATTGTTGTACCGAGGGGCAGTAGTTAGACATGAATGTGGCAATTTGGAGGGGATGTAATTTTTCATCAAATAGGGATCAGTTAAAATATCACTCATAGATGGACGTTCGGTTGGATCTGCTTTAAGCATTTGACGGATGAATGCACGGGCATCCGGTGGAACGTAACTAGGTATCTCGTAATCGTTGTTCTTAATCTTTTTGTAAGTGTCTTTGAGATCGTTTGTCTCAAACGGAGGTTTACCAACAAACAGCGTATAAACAATACACCCAAGTGACCAGACATCAACTTCAAATCCATGGCCTTTTTTCATTAAAACTTCAGGGGCAATGTAATTTGGTGTTCCACATAGGGTTAACTTTCTATCCTTTTCGTTTGAAATTTTGGTTGCCAGTCCAAAATCACCAACTTTAACATCCATATCTTCATTGAGAAACAGGTTACCCAATTTAAGATCACGATGGACAATCTTATTTGAATGTAGGTATTGACAAGCGAGAGCAATTTGTCTAACAATATAACGAACCTCTGGTTCTGTGAAAACTTTTCTTCTTTTATGCATCTCCATAAGTGACCTTTTATTACACAATTCAAGTATAATATAGATATAATTGGAATCTTCAAAGTAGGTATGAAAAGCGACAATGTGTTTATGACTTATACCTCGATGGATCATAATTTCTTGGCTCATTTTTTGCTTCTGATCGGAAGATTTAATCTGTGATTTGGCTATCACTTTACCGGCATAAATTATCTCAGCAGGTATTTCGGTTAACTCGTAACACCGAGCAAAACCACCACGACCCAAGAATTTACCTTTACGGTAACGTTTCTTACTCAACGGATCAATAACAGTGTCAGGAAGGTCATACCGAACTTCATTTCGTTTAGTGGTCATCTTTTCTTCTTATTCTCTGTCTTGTCTTTTTCAACTGTTGAATCCTTCACTTTTCACTTTTCACTTTTCACAAAAATAAATAAACAATCAAACACACAAAAACAAAGAAAAACTAGAAACGATGGTTTCTAGATTAATTTTCAGATTAAATGTTTGGCTAATTTAACGGAAAGTTTTTCTTTACTGTTTCTAAATTCAAATTCAATCCAACAAACAATTTAAACAAAAGAATAAGTGTCTCCACCTATTGACTTGTTAAAGAGAATCGAATAAATTCACGCGGTTTTTTCGAATAAACAAAGGAAACAATTTCTAATTTAAATTATTCCAAGAAAACAATTTAATTGTTGCTTCAAATTGTCAGAAAATTAAAGACAATTGATTGGAAAATGTGAGACATTCAATTGTTTTCTACAATTTAATATCATAAAGAATTGGTATCAATCAGAGTTTGTTTATTTCTCCATTTGTGTTAACATCTATAGAGAGCATGATCTTTGTTGTGGTCGATTTAATTTAATTGTTTCTACAATTAACTGAGTGACTTTTAATTTGTTTACCAATAGACATTTAAATTTGTGTTCTTTTAAATTGGTGAGTTTAAATTAGATCTTTGTAATGTTTCATTTTTCTTCAATTAATTGTTCCTTTTTTCTTTTCACTTGTTGATTTGATTTGATTTTATTTTCGGTTCTTTATAGTGTTGATCTTTATCTCTCTCTCTCTTTGGTAATTTGTGTTGTTTTGATTTTCTATCCGTTTCTCTTTCTCTCTCTCTCTCTTTAGCCGTTAAATTGTTTGGAAAGCTGATTTTTTTATGATAAATAATTTCCAACGTTGAAACTCATTCAAATTTTATTGTTTCCATGGTTATTCTTACACCCAAGCAGTTGGAACTGAAACTTGTTTATCTTTCATTTTTTTTCGCTTCCTTCATTGCTCTTTCTTTCTTTCTCTCTTTCTTTTTCCTTTCTCTGTAATTGATGATAAACATTTTCTCTTCTCTTTTGATTACATAATAGATTCTGTTGTGATTAGTGTTTTCTATTCTTTTTCTGATTAACCATCGATTCATGTCTCAACCACCAATTTCTAATCCGGTAAGTAGTTTCTATCTAATATTTAGTATCAATTAAGAGAGTGAGAGATATGAAAAAAAAGTAATTAGATTGAATTGATAACCTTGTTTTCCATTGAATTGTTTTTGTTTTTGTTTACTCATTTTTTTTTGCTTCTTCTCTCTTTTTCTTTCTCTCTCTCAAGGTGTTGCCATTCATTGGTTCACTTAATTATGCTCATCCTGGTCTTCTATTAAGGATTCAAGGAAGAGTCAACCCTTCATCGAGATGGTAAATTATCAACAATTAAGAAAAACCATAACCACAGTAAATGAAAAAAAAAGTAGAGTCAACATAATGATTGTCAAGTAAACATTTTGGCAATTAAATGTTCCAATTTGGTCTGAATGTTTGCTCTTATTTCTTGTTAACCGTCAAGTTGATTGTCTCTCTTTTTATTCATTGCTAATTGGTGTCATCTTATAATTACTTTGCTCTTCACAATTTTAATCAGGATTTAAATGATAATATCTTCTGAAAGTTTAAAAGAACATTGGAAATTTAAAAATCAGCTGCTTCATATAATTGTGATGATGTGGAATTAATCAATTTTTTCTTCTTCTCTTCTTTTATCATTTAAAATGTTTTGATTTTTTAGTTTTGCGATTAACTTACAATGTGGCCCATCGGTAAATCCTCGAGATGATATCGCTCTGCATTTCAGTCCAGTATTTGCTCCACCACCTCGAGTTGTACGTAACTCATTGGAAAATGGCCGCTGGGGACCAGAAGAAAGTCATGGACCTTTTTTCCCGTTCGCAGTTAATGAACCTTATGAATTAATTATTCTATTCGATCATGATGGTTTTAAAATAGCAATAAATGGTGCACACTTTACAGAGTTTCGCCATAGAATATCAATGCATAGGATAAGTCACATTTCAATTGATGGTGAAACTCAAATATCTCGTATTTCATTTGAAGATAATCCAATACCCTCGGCACCTCCTCTTGAAGCTCCTTATCCTTCAGGACCCGTTGGAATGCCTCCTTATTCAGCTGGACCATCAGCTGCCAGTGCTTTACCCTATCCCACTGGACCTTCATCAGCGATGCCCCCATATCCACCTACTTCAGCACCAGCAGCTTATCCACCCGCTCCATATCCACCATCAGGTCCACCCCCTGGACCTTCACCATACCCTCAAGCAGGATATCCACCGCCGACAGCTGGTCGAGTCCAACCTATGCCAGGATCTGCACCACCAGGAGCTTACGGTCCTCCACAACCTTCACCTTATCCACCTCAGCCAACTCAAGGAGCCTATCCAACTCAAGGTGGTTATCCAGTTCAACCAGGTCAAGGATATCCAACCCAAGGAGGTTATCCCACCCAAGGGGGTTTTCCCACTCAAGGTGGTTACCCTTACCCTCCAAAAGCTTCATCAAGGTTTGATCATTGAATAGATTAAAAAAATTATCATTTCACTTACTCTTTTTTTTCTTTCTCTCTCTCTCTATCTCTTAGTGGTGGGATTTTGTCTGGAGCTGCAGCGGCACTCGGAGCGGGCTCCATGTTAGGTGCCGGGGCTAAATATCTTTCCGGTGGAGGACATCACAAGAAATCATCACCAATACCAATCGGAGGTATCGCCGCTGGACTTGGTGCTGCAGCTTTAGGAGCTGCTGTTATGCACAAACCGGTAATTAAATCATACTTCATAATCTATATTAACTCATTCACAATTAAGACATTAATGATTAATCAATTTGTTTTCTCTCCTTCTTATTTTAAAAATTTAGATGAAAAAATTGAAAAAATTATACAAACACAAATTTAAAGGACCAAAATTTTTTAAGCACAAATTTCACCACAAATTTGGTGGTTTTAAACACAAAGGATGGAGCAGCAGTTCATCTAGTGATTAAATCACAAGACTGTTTCATTCATAGCGATCAATTAATTGATCCATTTTACTTATTTCTGATTATGTTGTAAAATCAAACACACACACAGTTAATCAGTTACATTGATTCACTTAAATCTGACAATCTATTGGAAAATTACACTTGACAACAACAAACAAATTGAATAAACATCGAAAAAGGTTCAAGTATTTTTATCCATTTTTATACATATAAATATATAAGAGCGCAAATAATTTACATAATTTTATCACTTTTTTCTGCTTTTTAAAACTCACTAACAATAATATCACAAGGGTTTCATTTGTTTACAGTTGGAAAATAAGTTACAAATAAATAATTTAAATACAATTAATAATTTAAAAATATTTATACTAACTACAGATAAAAAAATTTCTAAAACCTAAATTGACTAACCTAATATTCACAGAATTGTGCTTTAGTTGCTACCTTACTAATTAACGTTCGGAATTTACGTACTACTGTATAGAAACCTGGAGTCCTTGGATCGTCACACTCATCGAAAGCACCGGAAACCAAACCCACGGCGAAATAGCGTCCACCACTTTTGTACATTAAAGCGCCACCCGAATCTCCCCTACAAGCATCACCGCCCGTTTTGGTATCTACACAGCACATATGAGTTTCATGGACTTTGGGTACATCATAATCTTTGGGCGATTGAGCGATTTGTGGATTGGTCCTCATGAAATAATCTTTAATCATTTGATTACATTTTCCATCTAAAAAGTAATAAGGACAAACGAGTAAACCATAACAATGAGAATTAACAAATTGTCATTGTTATTTGATTCCAATTGATAATTACCTTTAATATGTTCAACTTGAACGTGCATCAAAACCTTGGATGGATTTGAATTTGCACCAAGCCGACCAAATCCTGCTACTTTTAATAAGTGATATGGTTCATCGTCGCTTTTGGGTAAACAAATTGGACTAACGGTTCGAGTGAAATTAATGTGATCAGTTAATTCTAGTACTGCGATATCATTAAGTAAATTACGTCTCTTATATGTTGTTGGATAAAAAAACTTTGCCACTTTATGGGCTTTATTTAATTGGGTCAAATCACGTACACCAAGATAAACCTCTGTCGCTTCAATAGATCGTAGTTTCTGATTGCCGTCGTGAATACAATGAGCGGCGGTCACTACATGTTTCGAGTCAACTAGAAAACCACCACAAAGACCAAAGCGATCTCCTCCTACTTTCTCAAAGAATCTGTTCCAATATTGTGTGTTAATTGTCGTTAATCAATTGATGAGTTAATGTTAATTGTTTTTTGGAGACACAATCACAATTAGTATATTGTTAATATCATTTAAAGGAGGAAAGAGAGAGAGAGAGAGAGAGAGAGAGCACAAAATTTAATCATGATCACAAATCATGAATATTGATGAACACCAAATGATGATGATGAGGAAAAAAAGTTTAATTAAAACAACAATTAGTAATTTACCTATGGAAACAATTAACTTTTGATAATTACAATGACTTAAGTTTAATATGTTTTCAATGTAACAAATTGTTGATCCTTATTGAAGTTATGTTGATTAACTTTTAGTGTTACAATTTACTTGATAACATATTAGCCCATTGTCATTGTTTTATTATTTATTGTGAGTTAATTTTTTGGTTAATTGTTACGATTAAAAATTTTATTGATAATCTAAATCTAAATCTAACACAATCCTAATTTAGATGATACAAAAAATTAACTCACAATAAATTGTTTCAATTAATTGAAACAACCACATGAAAATAAATGAATTTTTGAAATAACAAAAAAAAATAACAATATTATTATTAACCAATTATCACAATTAACTATTAAATTGTCAACAATTAAACTTGAACTATTTAATTTGGGTAATTTAAAGTTACTATTATGAGGAGGGAAAAGTTTTTGATAAAATTTATATAATAAAAATTGAATAACAATCAAGGTTAATTGTTAATATCGTTTAAATGTAAACAATCAACTAAATTGGTGTTCAATTAAATAATATTAATAGTAAATTGTGAGAAATTGGTTAACAATAATAAGCCTAATCGATAATCAAGAATAAGTTAAATTGTGTGAATGAAATTTGATTGAGATATTGGGACAATTAGGATAATGAAATAGTGAGAGAAAAGTTAATAATTTAATCTGGTTAATTAGTTTGTTTCTTTTGGAAGCCTTAATGGTTAATAACTAAATTAACACATTATCACAAATCCTTACCTTTAATTGTTTTTCTTAATTCAAATCAATTCAAACATAATTCAACATATTTCAAATCCCATCACAATTGAATTAATAACAATCTTATTACAATTAGCGACCCTGCGCCTTTGGGTGGTTAAAACTTTTTTCTTAATTGTCGATTGATTGATTGATTGATTGATTGGTCGGTTGTGTGTGTGTGTGTGTATGTTGTGAGCGTGTGGATGTTGCGAGTGTTCATCTTGATAATTGTACGTGTTTGATTGCGTTGATTTATCGCCTTGATTGTGATCTCTTGGTTCTCGACGAGTCTCTATGGGGACGTAGGGGTTTTTTTCGAGGGACAAAAAAGTCATGCAAAATCATGCAAACTTTAATTATGGTCATGCATCGCCATGCACACCGTCAGGTGACCTGATTTAGGTGCTAACAGGTATTCAGCGATTTTCAAATTCATCGTAACAAAATTTACAATTTAAATTGTAAATTTGTTTCTTCTAACTAATCCAAACAAATTGTTCGCACTCACCTTAGATGGGCCATCCAAGGGTATTCGTATGAGCTAACGGCCGATCCACCATAGATTCGGGATCCGACCAGAGTTTCACTATAACCACAATCTAAATTAACGAATGTAAATAGTTAATTTAGTTTGCAATTTGTTTGGATGAGTTCAAGTTGATTGACATTGATTGTCGATTGTCAATCCGATCATTGATCTTAAAGTTGTTGATTCAATTTTGGGAATTGTTGTTGTTGAATTTGATTTAGTTTTTTCATCTTTCATTTTCATTAAATTTGATTGGAATTTAATTTTCTATTTTGGTTTCAATTAAAGTTAAATGACCTGTTGATTGTTTACTTTCAATTGATTAGTTTACAATTTACAAACTGTTTCTATTTTAATCCGATCCAATATATTGACATTATCTGCTAATTCAATGGTAACAATTAACTGATGATGGAAACTGAAATTAACACAATCGTTTTTAATCATATACCAAATGTTAATTGTTGTTGTCGTTGTTTTCATTAGAATTGGAATTGGAATTATAATTTTTTTTTGTTTTCTACTTCTTAATTGTTACAATTTAGAGTCTAAGTTCACTTGGTCAATTGGCCAAAAGTTTTCTAATCACAATTGGTTATCTTAAATGCTATCAGATTATTAATTAATTATTTGTTAGTTTTTTTGTTGTTTTCGTTTACTGATTTTGATTTTTTGATAATTTGTTCAAGTTAATTGTTGGGAATTAAAGTTAATCAACTTACCACATTGTTGGGAATTACACATTCGGAAGGTAGTGACAACGGTAACAATTATGATGACGATCATTTTTGATTGATTGATTGATTTAGATATTAATCCTTGCCAAGATAATTTAATTTAGATAACCACAATTTAATTGTTTAACTGGTCACTTTAATCAAGATTAAATTGATTATTTTAAAATGGAGATTCTCACAAAATTGTTAATCGTTAGTAGTTAAACTTAGTGATTGATTATAAGTTGATTGTTATATTTCAACTGATTAGAACGATGATCAACTCGAAACTGTTTCACTTCTGAAGGTAAAAGTTTTACAAGTGACAATCAACTAATTGTTAGAAGATTAATAGATCACAATCAAGAACTAATTTGTTGTTCTTAAACTTTTCTTTCTCACTTGCTCTCCAATTGAACTTAATTGTTACAACATTTTCATCACAATTTAGTAAACTTTTTTTTTCTTTTTCTTAATCATCATCTTCATCATTTAATCAAAATCGATCAACTTGAATGTAGGTAAGTAGATTAGTTAAGTTAATGAGACAATAAAACAATCAATTTAAAGTTTTCAGTTAAATTAAATAATCAAATTTTCATTACAATTAATTGATTGTAAGTAATAGTTTTCATTTTTCACTCAAATAATCAATAAATTAACTTTACTCCAACTCGATCATTAATAGTTAAAGGTTATACAATTTATCAACAATAACAATTAACTTTAACCTTGATTGATTTTCCCATTTAATTAGCTTTAATCAACTAATTGATTTTGATTGAGATTAAATTGTCTAAATATTTTAAATATCACAAAGAAAATTTAATTCTGGATTGTAATTGAAATGAGAAAAACCCAAAATAATATGACAACAATTAAGAATAAATTTCAATAATAATCTATTGATTAACTTACAATTGATTCGAGTTGGTTGTTGATTACTTGTTTTTTTTTCTTGCTTAATTGTTCATCATTACTGTTAGTTGATTGTTAATCAAACTTTTCAATTAAAACCCAACTCAATTAGTATCATGACGGAAGAGAGGGAATCATTTTAATCATTTTACCAAATTGAGTGTTAATTAAAAAGATGTGACAACAATTTAGCAAAGAGAAAAGGATAAGAAGAAAAAAAATTTTCGCTTTCTTGATTAACAATCTAATTGTTACAACCAAATTAAAGGTAAACAGTTAATAGTGTTGACAATTTGTTGGCCCTCTAAATCATTTGATTAACTTGATCATTTGATTTTAATTGAGGTCAAAGTAAAAGGATTTCAATCAATTGAACAGGATCAACAAATTGATCAAATTTTAATCATCTTGCTTGATTTAATTGTCTCAAGATTTTTCATCAATCATCAAAAATACAATTTTAATTGTAAAATTAGAATCAAGAAATTCAATATTTTCCTTTTCCATTGATACAATCAACTTAATCATTTAAAATGCATCAAGTTTTAATCAACAATTTAAGATGAAATAAATAATCAAATCCAATATTGAACAATCAACAATTGCCTAATTGTTTGTTTGTCTCATATACTTTCATGTATACAATTTAATATCCTGCTTAATCATCATGAATTGTTGATTCTCCAATGGTTAATTGTTTCTTCTTCCTCCCAATGTCAATTTAATAACTAAATTGGTTGTAATTTAATTTCAACAAATAACGATAATGATAATAATTTTTTTGTTTCTTCTTCCACTCAAAACAATTACAACTCATTCAATAGCTGAAACAATCAACATAGTACATGATAAAAGAACAGATAAATCTACATAATAGCTGTTAAATTGTTAACAATTCACATTGTTATGAATAAACAATTAAGAGAGAGAGAGAAAAGAAAAGTTAAATCATCGCAACAATTAAATTAAAGAACTTCGATTGTAGCGCCATCAAGTGAATTCGAATTCAACTTATCTCATATTCTTTTCTTTTCTGTTGTTTTGTTCTGTTCATTTGGTGTCTTAATCTCTTACCAACAAATTGCCTTTTTTGATAAAATATGATTGGATTTGTTTCTTAATTTGGTTATTATTTTGTCGCTTTTTTTAATTAATTATTTTACTCTCTTGATTGTTAATTACTATTTTCACCTCTGTGATATTCATCTCGTACCAAAATGATGAGTAAAACGGGTTACACTTGCATTAGACGGAGTCTTTGTCTATTTAATTTTATTTTTTGGGTAAGTTTATTGGCTCTTATTTTCCCCTTTACTTTTTATCGATAAGTTTTTTATTCTATTCTTTTTTCTTATTTTTTCTTTAAAAATCAACGTTGACTTTTCTTTAATTTTCTTTAATTTTCATAGTTTTTATCTATTTACCTTTTCTTCTCTGGTTCTTGTTCTTGTTCTTTTTCTTGGTCTTTTCTTCTTTCTCCCTTTGATTTTGTTCTTTCCAAATATTAGAAATTTTTGTTCTTTCCTTTGTATATTTTATTTCTTTGGTATTTATTTTCTTTTATTCTTTTTTTTTTCTTCTTCTTCTCCTTCTTTTACAGGTTAGTGGTGCTGTTCTCTTTGCCTTTGGTCTCTGGTTAAACTTGTCTCTTAATAGTTATTCTAGAGTCTTAAGTCCTTACCATCTTCTCTCAGCCGGTAACTTGATGATTGCTATTGGTTTTCTGGTTTTTTCAGTTTCTCTTTGTGGCTTATGTGGCTCCTGGTTTCAAAATAAATGGCTTCTTGGAGCTTTTCTTTTCACCATTGTGCTTATAATGGCTTTAGAGGTTGTCACCGCCACTTTGGGCTATGTTATCAGAGATTCAATTAGGGATACCCTTCAAGATGAACTACTTGTTGGTATTAAAAGCAAGTATAACTTAAATGATACCAATGGATTAGTTTCTTTCTGGGATACAGTTCAAACCAACCTTGACTGTTGTGGTGTTAATTCACATAAAGATTGGTTCCAAATTGATGCCTGGAAAACCGAGACAAAAGTACCTGAATCATGTTGTAATCGTGAGATAAATATAACCAACATGTACTGTGCTGAAGGTGATCTCCGTGACCATGGTTGTTACATCAAATTGAAACGAGCTCTTCTTGAAAATTTACATTGGGTCGCAATTACATGTGTCATCTTTGCATTTGTCCAATTCTTTTCAGTTGTATCCTCCCTCCTAATGATCTGTACCGTTGACCATAGAAGAAACTATCGTCCAGTGAAAAATAATCGCTCACCAACCTACAACAGAGTACCAACCCTGTGAACAAAGCACAAAGCAAAGGAAACTAAAAGGATTAAGAAAATTCACCATTTCCACAATACAAGAAACATTAATTAAAAGAAAACAAAAAGAAATCAACAACCTTCATTGGAGGAAGATGAAAATTAATGAGACATATTACCCGATGCCTTAAGATATTACGTCCAAAACTTGTTAACGTTCTTGCTCATCTCAATTTTTTCAACGATCTTTTTTTTGTCAATCATCATTGCCATTTATCATCTCACATCTTCATACCCAACATTTTTCAATCAAATTGCTAATCAAAGGGATACCTCCTCCTTTTCAAATTGCCTCAAGCTATAAACTAGTTTATTGGTACGATTTATATGTGTAAAAAAAAAGATTAACGAAACAGAATCTCTCCAGAATCAACCTAGGACAGGTTTGTGTGTGTCTCTACCCAACAATTTAAATTAACAATTAATTATGATTCTTCTAAATTCAATATTTAGATTAAGAACTTTTCCCAACTTCCAATTGTATTTGTCTTCTTCCACCCACCCCACCCACTTGAAATTTCCACCATGTAATCTTAATGTTCATCGTACCAAAAGACAATTAACTTTGCCTTTTCTTTTTTTGTTTCTCTTCCAAAAACCAAACAAAAAAAACAACAACAACGAATGCATTTATTTATATCAATTATGTAAATTCATTAATTGTAATAATCAATGCAGTTAATTTGATCTAACACAAAAACTAATCCAACCAAAAGACTAACAATTTAAAAATAAACCAATTCTTGATTTCAGTTGATTCTTTTTTTCTTACACATAAGAAGAAAAAAAAATAGTTGATTATACATAAAATCTAATTAATTGATATCAATGGTTTAGATCAATACAATTAAGTCAATCATTAATGTAGCATCATGATTGATATGAAAAAATCATCAAGGTAATTGCAGTCAATACTGATTGTAATCTATTTAACCAATAAAACGTTTTCCTGATTGTTAACTTATATATTAATATGAGCGCAAACAACAAGCAAGAAAATTAACTTAATCATTGATTGACAATGTTGATTATTTAACTTTTAATTTAAAGGTCAAACAAATTAAAAGTTATTCATCTACGCGAAGGTCATTGAAATGATGACCAGAGAGAGAGAGAGAGAGAGAGAGAGAGAGAGAGAGAGAGAGAAATGAAACTTGACCATATCTTTGTTGAATCTTTGATTTATTTATATTCCGCTTATCGTATTGGTCAGTTTAGTATTATTTCAGCTGACCATTTGACTTCCGCCTTCTAGTGTATATGTAACTGGGAAAGTTGAAAATACTGTCCAGTTTATCCTTGACCTTTAGTGGTCAGTTTACAAAATGATCATCAATATGTTACAAGAATTTACTTTGATTGTTTTCTTATTATTTTCCTCATCAACTGGACATGTATTCAGACTTGGTGATTGTCCAGAAGTTGAAGTTATGCCAAATTTTAAAATGGACAAGGTAAGTTGATTAAGTTAATTGTTTCAACCTTTTTAATTGTGTTTACAATTTACGCATTTTCTTGTATAATGTCCAGTTTCTTGGTAAATGGTTTGTATTGCAAAAGTTTCGGACAATGAGTAATTGTATGGTGGAGGAGATAAGTAAAGATGACCAAGGTGATTATCATATTAGTGAGTATCTTGCCCCATTAGGATTTGAAATGTAAGTTGTTTTTGTTAACAATTAACTAATTGTTGAGATGATGAAACAGCAAAAGAAAACAATTGAAATTATTTTCTTTAGACATCAACAGGGTAAAGTTGAAATTTCACCAAACAATTCAAAGTCAATGATGAGAATTGATTATCCAATCAGTAAGTTTAAAAGAATTAGTTTTACGTCATCAATTAAATTGTACTAATTTACTTTGTTAATTGTTCTATGTTATTAGCCAGTCCTTTAGGTCATCAAAATTATTGGATAATTGATACTGATTATAAATCATTTGCTGCTGTTTGGTCTTGTCAGAAATTATTGTTCGGACATCGACAATCAGCCCAGATAATGAGTCGAACCACTGACCTTCCATTGGATAAGATTAGACAATTAAGGCAACAATTTGAATCATTTGGTATCAATCAGCATGATTTAAGTTTCATTGATCAGAAAAATTGTAATTTAAACAATCAAACCAAAAGATCCGATGAAATTGATTGTGATCGTCCACCAATTAAAAGTTCAAATTTAGCAATTAAACTTGGACCAGTTCATATATTGACCAAACGACGACGGAGACGTTGATCAATTTACCAAACAATTTACTTAACAACAATTAACTTTTGTTCAAGAAGGAGAAACAAATTTCTTTTTAACAACAATTGATTCACTTAATAATAAATTAGTTAATTTAACTGTAACGTAATATACTTACAACTAGAATCATCATAATTAATGTAACTTCATGAATGATTTTGTAAAATCTCAAGGTGATTTAAATCAGCAACAATCAACCCTGATCAGGAATTAAAGTAAATCATGATTAGGTTTCTGTGTCTGAATAAATACAATTAGTGGAAATTGATAATGATAAAAATTATTTTGTTTTGTAAACAACTTTTTTTCCGTTTTATTATTATTATTATTATCATCATCATTGCTACAATTTGATGATTTAGTTATGGGTTAGTATTATGTGTGTGTTTAGGTTAAATTGTTGATTATTGTAGAAACGAAAAATTAACATTTATAATTTTGATTGAGATTTCAAGGATCAATCGGGTTAAAATTGTTTCAGTAAACATGTTTCATGTTACACTTTTAGTGGTCTCATTGCTTTTGTTTACCAATAATCACTCAACTTAGATGTTAATTGTTGTAAGTGAACAGTAATGATAATAAAACAATGGTAATGACGCTAATAATAATAATAATAATAATAATAGTAAATTTGTTAAATCAATATATAGAATGAGAGAGAGAGAGAGACCAATGATTTGTAGTAATTGTAGTAACTAATTGATGAGTTTGATTGATAATAAACAGGCAGCAAAAGTGTAGATGAAAACATTTGGTGAAACTTGATTAACCAATTGGCGGATTAATGGTAATAACCAAGAGTAATTTGATTCGGTTAATTTAAGTGGATTACGTTGTTTTAAATGGATTCCGGATCCTTCTAAATATTTTGAAATGGTTTCTTTATCCACTGGTGGTAAATACATTTTGTTAAATTCTCGTTTCCACCAAGTACCGGTGATACTTTTTTCCGTTGAATTTGTATAATGGTAAAGATATTTTTTCACTCGTACATGTTTAACTCCGGATGGATATGGTAATTGTTTAGAATCGATAAGATTTATGACACTTTTCTCATTGGTAATCAATCGGTAAATAAAACTTAAAAGCCAAGGATTATTTTCGTATTCACTTAGTGAGGCGAACCACATTTGCCAATCAAGACGAGGTTGATGAGGAACTGTAAGCAAATTAATAACAAAAGAATATAAGAATAATTATGTTATGATAATATCAATTTAATTGTCGCAACTCATATAATACTTACTTAAAAATTTGGGGGCTTCGTTTAGTTTTCCTGGTTTATAAAGAAAATGATATTCTTTCCAACCTGTTTCAAGATTATTTGACCCTTCGATAATCAACTCAGGTCGGCCATCGACACCGGTCATTTGACGGAAAAGTCCATAGCTGTTGGTTATTATTAAAGGATTGCTTTTCTGGTGCCATTCATGGGCAATGGGTGAGATGTTTTTGTAAATATTCTTGTCAAGTTGACCAGCAAATGGAATTAAACTAATGGTGAAAATGGAGAAAGCAATTAAACCATAGAAAATAACATTAAGTATTCGACAGAATTGAGTGAAAAGAGATCCTTTTTGAATTGCTCGGTAAATTGAACGAATTATAACAAAGCCAAGTGAGAATAGACCAACAGTGATTGATGCATGAACTGATTTTGTGATGAACAATTTAAATTCAGATTCATTAAAGTTCACTTTAGATGATATCCAAGATGAATTTTCAATCTTCAAGTTAAACAATTTAACTGTCCAGAAAAATAGGAAACAAAGGGATGAACTTAAAACCATTAAATCAGTTGAACTTCGTTTAGCAGGTCGAACTCGCCATGATCGCCGCATGAATTTAGGAAAATCAGAATCTTGCAGTAAAGGTAAACAAAGTACAATTGTGAGAAGATTGAAGAAGTTGTAATTTCCAGTTAATATGATGAAGAATTGAAATAAAATCTAAAATATGATAGATGAAGAAAAAAATTAGTATATTAACATCAAATTTTATATTCTCATAAACATAAGATTAAGAGGAATTGGATTAAAGGGAGGAAATTGTTACCTGAGACCAGAAACTAATCCTTCTCATCATTGAGGGTCCAAAAAATAGGAATGGCATCGCTATTTCAACAAGATAAGTTCCAACAACACCTAATTTCAAAAACCATCCAGGTAATTGATGAGCATACCAAGCAAGTGGAGTTGGTAAACATTGACTTTCAAAGTGATGATTAAGAGCAGTTAAACCCCACCAGGTAGGACATTTAGAGGTTAACTTGACCAATCCTGAGCTGAACATTAAACGAAACAGTAGCCACTTGACAAGCCATAAAGCAATTGGATCTCGAGAGAGAGAATGATTGAAATAATTACTAAATGGAGCAATTATGATGCAAAGAAATCCAGCTTCAAGAAGAAGAATATCCCATTGGAACCAAAGAAATTCTTGACCAACCTTTTTGGTGATTTAGAAGAAGAAAATATAAATATAAATGTTACTTAATTGTTACAAAAAGAAAATTAGAACAAAGAAAGTTACATCTTTTTCCCGTTCTTATTAAATGCTATTCTTTACCTGGTACAATGAAAAGTACAAAATGTAAAGAGCACCAAATAGTATTGGATTAGCGGCTTTCTTTGAGATAATGACCAAAGATGAGATGAGTATTCCAGTGAGAGCAATTAAGTCCATCATATAATCAAATGAAAGGCCCAATTTAGGAGCAAACCAAACAAGACTCGGCTTAGAATTGATAACTTCATCTAAAACTGATAAACCTCGTTTGTTTAATTGAGCAAAACTATGTACAGGTAGGATACCATTGTCACCGATTAAACCTGCAAACAAAAATAGGATTTAAATTGTTACCAACAAAAAAAGGTTGACACATCGACACTTTTGGTTATAGTGATTATATAAATTATTAGATTAAGACAAATTACCTGGTAATTGATGATAAAGGGAAGTGAATGCAAACAGGTAAATAAATCCCATACAGGTAAGAAAAAAATCTCTCGTATTGATGACACTTGACATTGTTTTCTCAGCTTTTTTCTTACCCATAATGAATAATCCAGCAGAGTGTTTAATTGGAAACAATAATTTAAACACAATCTAAATGTAGAATATTGAAAAATAGAAAAGAAAAATAAATTAATTAGAAAAGAATATTAGAAACAAAAAGAATAGAAAAAAAACAAAAGGAAACAGATGAGAATCTCTATTGTCTATGTGTATAGAAAATGTTATTCTAAAGATTAACTCGACATTAGATTAGTTTAAATGTGATGACAACATTAATTGTAGAGATAAAATTAATTAGTGACTGGCATCGTTAATGGTGATAATTAATAATTAGTTGGATATTTACCTGATTAGGAATAAAGGAAAGATGAAAATGACACAAACACCTCGTGTCAGTTGATCTTCAATTTGGTTTAACCGGTTTGCCTTTTGCTCTCATGCTCATATCTTATGGTTTTGCTTGCTACCAAATTCAAATTGGACAAATTGATTAACAGCAACAATTAACTCGACAATTTAATCCATTGGAACAATTAACAGGATGGAGTAGATTAAACATTTCACTTGAGAGAAGAGATTAAAGTGACTTTGGTTTGTAGCGAGAAAACAAAAGGCCAATCCATCAATTGGAATATTTTTTTTTCCTGGTCAACTCAAAATTCTTAATTATTGTTGATACATTAATTGTCCTTTTCGTGGTTAATGAGTATTCATCTTAATTGATTAAATTGGCGATCAAATTTTGAACAGGATTTCCTTACCAATAGAAAGTCAGGAAATTTAATATTAATTAATTTCTTGGAATCATTTCCACTGATGATGATTAACTTTTCCAATAACATTTAGATTATCCCATGAATCCTTTTACATAATCTTAATTGGAATGAGATAATTTCTTTCAAAATTATTTGGAAATTACAATTTGTAATTCTTTTCTGGAAAAATTAACACTTGGTAATTAGTTTTCTCACCAATTAACTAATCAATCACAATCAATTCAGAGAGAGGAAAGTTAACAAAATTAAATTTTCTATTAACTTTTTAGAGAAAAATAAATTAACATAACAATCAACAAACTCTAATTCTCGATCAATAAAACATTAGAATAAATTCTAATTCTTCACAAATCAAAAGACAATCAAAGTTACCGACATTTTCCAATCTCGCAATTAAACAAAACAATTAAAAATTTAATTTCTTTCGTTAATTGAATCAAATTAAATTTAATTCCAAGGGGCCATTTGTAATTACGCTTCTTTCTCATGTAAACAAAGAGCGCAAGTGTATTGACTCATTTAAACATTTTCTTTTCTCAATTGTCTTTGTCTCTCCTAATTAGATTATCTTTTGATTGTGATTTAATTTTTATCCTTTAATTGTAATTAATGTCTCTGTGGTTTATTGGTTAGATCATCAATTTGAAACTGATCATTTGATGATCTCTAGTGATCATCAACACCTACGCTTCACTTGTTACCAATGAGGTTTGTTTACATTTTCATTTTCTTTGTTGAAAAAAATTTTCTTTTTCTTTTTAATTGTTCCACCATCTTAATTAACGCCATTTTGTTTTATTTTCTCTCTTATTTTATCTAATTACTTTATCAGTTTAGTTGTCTATGTACATGGAAAATAACTTGTCAATTTTGATGGAAAAGTCAATAGATTATCACAAAGGTTGAAACAATAACAACAACAACTAAACCAAAAGCAATATAACATAACAAGTGCGAAAATATTTTCATTTGATTGATAACATTTTGTTTACTATTATCAAATTAAATCCAGTTGGTTGTTTTTAATTTTATCTATTGTGTTTAATGTGTGTATGTGTATGTGTCAACTGAGATCGTCATGAATAAATCGTCAACAATTTATCAGCAACTTTGTGGAGACCAACAGTTGAATATATTCAATCCTGATGGATCTTCACTTTCTTATTGTTTCCTTCAAATGTTCATTGAGATTCCGATTCATTTTATCGTTGCTCTCATCTCAACTTTATTATTATCAGTTCACCGGGTTCCTGATAGTATTCATGTTACACAAAACTGGATCAAATGGATGACCCATGTTTTCAGATGGACTTTAGCTTTAACTGTGATATGTTTTACTTTCCTTGAATATTGGTCACTACCCGATGGTAAACATCCCCCTGACATTGTCTATATTACCATGGGAATTAAAGTAATATCCTGGCTTATGGTCTCAATTGTTACTTACAAAATAATCAAATATTCACCTTTAACCAGATTCAACAATCTTTCATCTCTCATGTTACTCATGCTTTCAGCTTTCATCTCAAATGGACTTCACCTTGAATGGGTTATTCGAGGATCTTCATCTCTTTTCTCATCTTCACCTTCCCCTTACCTTTTGTTTATCGTCTCATATAATGTAATCGCCAATCTATTATTCACCTTAACTTTATTACCTCGATTCAATCGATGGTCAATATTTAAAGGTCAACTATTCGATACTGATTTACAAAATCTTCTCTCTCAATCCCAACCGATGTCAACATCATTCTCAGCCCATTGTAACCTTGATAATCACGAAACAACCAACATCTTAAGTCACTCCTTCTTCTCATGGGTTAATCCACTATTAACCAAAGGATTTAATCAAAAAATTAAGACTTCCAATGATCTATTTCCCTTACCAAACAGTTTAACTGCTAATATATCATACGAGAAATTGTTCAATTCAGCTGTAACCATTTCTCCGGATACTTATTCCAATAATGAATTTAACTTGGTCCTTTGGAGATCTTTGTTCAAAGCTTTCGGACGATCTGCCCTGATCACTGCAATTTACAAGATAATTGCCGATATATTTTATTTTGGTGGACCTTTGGTATTGGAAAAATTGATTATCTATATTGAAGATGAAAATTCAACCCGAAGCAATGAAGGTTTCTATTATTGTGCCTTCCTCTTGGGTTCAACTTTAATCTCTTCAATAAGTAATAGTCTTTACAATTTTCAATCGGCTAACATTTCACTTAAAATTACCAGTGGAATTACCAATTTAATTTATCGAAAATTGTTAAACGTTCGTAGTGATTCAATGGCATCAACTTTCAGCTCTGGAGAGATAATTAATTTCATCAGTACCGATGCTGGTAGAGTGACAAACTTTTACCCATCAATTGTTGCCTTTTTAACTTTACCCTTGCAACTTACAGTTACACTTTATTTACTTTACCGTCAACTTGGTCTTGCTTTTCTGGCCGGACTTTTACTGACCCTCATCATTATCCCGATAAACAAAGTGATCTGTGATAAGATTGGTTCCCTTAACAGTTCCCTACTTCATTGGAAGGATAATAGGATCAAACTTATGTCGGAAATGTTATCAGCAATTCGATTGGTGAAAATGCAAGCCTGGGAGAGAGTATTTGAAATACGCATTGGAATAATTAGAGAAATGGAAATGAAATATATGAAAAAGATCAAATATTTCGACGCTCTTTGTGTCTATTTCTGGGCAACAACTCCCGTTCTCATTTCGATATCTACATTTACCACTTATGTCCTTCTTGGAAATGAATTGACCGCTGCCAAAGTGTTCACCAGTTTAGCTTTATTCAATATGCTGATTAATCCTCTGAACGCATTTCCCTGGGTTCTCAGTGGTATAATTGAAGCTCGAATCTCCGAGAGAAGGATTCAAAAATTTCTCAACCTAAAAGAAATGTATCCACGTTCACATTACACTGGCTGCCTTAAGGGGGAAATTAAACTTAACAGTGTTGGAAGTTTCTTCAAAAGAGATGCATTAGTTGACCATCGATTTACTCTTGGACCTATTGATTTGATGGTTAAATCGGGTGACTATGTTGGTATTGTGGGTTCTGTTGGTTCGGGGAAAAGTTCACTTTTCAGTGCGATTATTGGTGAAATGAGTCGAACCTCTGGAACTTTTCAAATAAACGATCATGACCTAATCAAAGGAATTGGTTATGTACCTCAAGATCCATGGATACAAAATACAACAGTAAAAGATAATATTCTTTTCGGTCAAATCTTTGACCCATCTAAATACAATTCTGTGATTGATGCTTGTGCTCTTAACGAAGATCTCAAGGTAAATTAATAATATTTCTATTTTTTTTTTCTCTACTCGTTTCAATTTATTCTAATTTTGATAATTTTCTCCTTTTCTTTTCTTTTCTTCTTTTTAGATGCTTCCAAATGGCGATGCTACGATGGTTGGTGATCGAGGATTCACTTTAAGCGGCGGTCAAAAGGCTCGAATCGCTTTGGCTCGAGCTGTTTATCAAGATTTTGATATTTATCTTCTAGATGATCCATATTCAAGTGTTGATGCTCATGTTGCTGAACACATCAGAATCCATTGTATCAATGGTTTATTATCTTCCAAGACTAAATTGGTGTCAACTCATCATACAGAATATTTAACCAATGCCCAGTTAGTTATCGTTATGGACAATGGATTGATGATTGAAAAAGGCAACACTGATATACTTTCATATGTTAAACCCAAAGAAACAACTAATTTAGTTACTGAAGATAAAGAAATCGTTGAATCGACTCATGAAACAGAAAAATCGTTGGAAGAAGCTGTTGAAAAGGGTCAAGTTAAACTTGACATTTACCTTAATTATTGGAAATCAATTGGTCATTGGCTTGCATCGTTAACTCTTATACTTTTCACTTGCATGCAAATATCTCGAACTGCGTCAGATTGGTGGTTAAGTCATTGGACAACCTCAATTAAGGAGAGAAACTCATCAAGCTTAAATGATGCCGAAAACTATTTAGGTGTTTTCGCTGGAATTGCAATAATCAATTCACTGTTTACTTTATTTCGAGCGTTTTTCTTTGCATTTGGTGGTATCACCGCTTCCATATCCATTCATTCAATTTTGCTCAAAAGCACTTTATCATCAACGATTTCCTTTTTCGACACAACTGCATTTGGTCGTATAATTAATCGCTTCTCATCAGATATAACAAACATCGATGATCGATTACCATTCAATTTGAATATCCTTCTAACCCAAATTTTCAGCTTAGCGGCTTCGCTATTTGTTACAATTTACGGAATCCCTTGGACGGCCGTTGCGGTCGTACCTTTATTCATTCCTTATTTTTTCATTCAGGTAAAAAATTGTCACTACAAAATAATATTTCGATTTCATTGATTATCTTTTTCGTTTCCACATAGAAATACTATCGATGGACCTCCCGGGATATTAAACGACTTTGTGCTGTTAGTCTTTCGCCAATTTATTCACAATTAGCAGAAACAATCAATGGAATCAGTGTTATCCGTTCGTTTGCTGCAACCAACAGGTAAATGATAATAAATTGTTTGATTTGATGGAATTGGCTGCTAATTGAAGTGAGCTTTTTTTCATCTCTCTTTTTTTCAGATTCATAACTGATTTCGTTGATAAAATTGACATTTCAAATACTTGTCAATATGCATTTTCGGCGGCTTCTCAATGGTTAAACATTCGTCTTCAAGTTCTTGGTGTGATCTTTTCCTGTGGTGTTGCTTTAACTGCAGTTATCTTACATTATTTTTCACTGGTCCAAGTAAACGCTGGTCTTGTAGGTCTTGCTTTGGCCTATTCATTAACGATAACTGGTCTACTTAATGGTTTTATTCAAGTATTTTCATCGGTTGAGGTTGACATGATTTCAGTGGAAAGGATTCAACAATTTGTTAAATCAATTGACAAAGAGATTAATGATGGTTATCATCCAGAAAATTGGCCTAGTAGTGGACTTGTTATCTTTGATCAAGTTTCTCTTCGATATAAACACGATTCACCCTTAGCATTAGACAAAGTTAGCATTACAATTGAACCTAATCAACACATTGGAATTGTTGGTCGAACCGGATCAGGAAAATCAACTCTTCTTCAAACTTTATTCAGACTACAAGAACTTGAAAGTGGTCGCATTTTCATTGATGGAATTGACATAAGTTCAATTAACGTTCAGCATCTAAGGTAAATTTTTCAATCACCCAAACTTGAAAATTTCCTCTACTATTTAATTAATTGATTTCTAATGACAATTGTATCTTAATTTTCTCACAGATCTTCATTGTTCATTGTACCTCAAGATTGTTGCTTATTTAGTGGATCCATACGATATAATCTCGACCCTCTATGTGACCATTCAGATGAACAAATTTGGAAAGCACTGAGACAATGTCAGGCCGATTCGTTGATTCTAAGCTTGGGAAGTCTTAATGCAACAATCAGTGAAAATGGACGTGATTTAAGTTTCGGACAGCGACAGTTAATTTGTTTAACTCGTGCACTTCTCAGCCAAGCAAAGATAATCTGTTTCGATGAGATAACATCTTCGATTGATCGTGAAACCGATCAACTTTTGGAGAAAACAATTCGAACCAATTTTAAACATTCCACCATATTAACTGTGGCCCATAAAATTGAAACAATCCTTCATTGTGATCGAGTGTTAATCATGGAGGAAGGAAGAATAGTTGAAGATGGAAATCCTCAGCAATTAAAGATGAATTTAAATTCTAAATTTTATAAACTATGGTCATCAATGAGCACCAATACCAAATGAACATAAAATTAGTGATTAACTTTTTTTTCTCACTCTCTCTCTCCCACCAATTAACTTTGTACTCTCTTTAAACTTTAATCAACAATTTCCCATGATAATTATTATGATTAATGATTTTTCTCCTTCTTCTTTGTAATACAATTAGCTAAAATTCTAATCCAATTTATATTTTTGTTGCCAAAATTTACCAATCAAAAAGATAATAGAAATAAATTAAGTCTGATTAGACAAAAGAATCACTTTTATTAATCTCAGAACAAATTTTTCGATGGATTCAAATTGCGCGCAATTCGTTGCTTCCTCCTGATTGGATTAGAATTTTTCTCTTTCTTTTTTTCTCTTTCATTTTCTCAAAATAAAACAATTCAAATTCTCAATGAAAATTATTAGATTAATAATTTAATCACCTAGAGAATTGAATATTAATTGTTTTGTTAATTTGTACTTTTAATTAATTTATTGGTTGGTTTGATTTGCTCTTTGAATTGGAAAAGTTTGTCCAACTCTAATTGTTCAAATATTTTTGGAAAAGAAAAGAAAATATTTAATCACATGATCACTTTGTTTATTTTTTTTTCTTTTGTTAACATTTTTGTTCATTTGCGAGAAGAAAAAGTAATTACCATGTTTTCTATTTAATTGTGAGTTAATTTTATTCTTTTTTTCATTATAGATAAGTGTATCTTTGTGGGATTGTGGTGACTAACTGTGATCTTTTTAAATATAATCTTTAAATTAGTGTTGAATGAGTTTCAACTCTTGGTTTTGTTTTCTTTGTTCATTTCTCATTTTGTGAGTCAAGAATTTTTCTCTGTCCATGAAGCTTTGGTCCTGGTTAACATCTTCATGGTTTCCATCAATGTTCCCCTTAGCTAATCAACAAAGTTTACCTAATAAACGAGATTCATCTGAATCTAGTGATAGTGACGATGATTATTTCAACTTTTGGCCTCTCTGTAGTGTCCCTTTTGTTTACCATGAAATTGAATGTAGAAGTGAGTTACTAATTCATTTGGAAATTGTTTTTTTTTCAATTATTCTCTTTATTGGTCAATTTGTTAACCTACTCTTCTATTTTCTCTTATTAGACACTTTAATACCTCGTCCTAGAAGTGGCCATAGAATCGTTGCTGATTCAAATGGTAATATCTACTGCCTTGGTGGTTATAATCCTGAAGGATTAGCACGAGAGGATAGTCCTAATGCTTTGTTTAAAGAACTCTGGAAGTTTAATATAAGCACACTAATTTGGACCAAAATAAACATGTCTGGTGATCCACCACGTTTACTATGTTCATTTGGTGCTCTTTGTATTGATGACATGCTTTTTGTCCAAGGAGGTACCGGTGTACCTTTCGGTCGGGCAGGTTCCAATAAGCTTTATGTTTGCCAATTGTCAACTGGTTTTTGGAGAAAGTATAGTCTCAAAACGGATAATTATGATGTTCCTCCCAAATTTTATGGTCAAGCTTTGGTTTTTGATCCAGATGAGATGGCGATCTATTCAGTTGGTGGAACCTGTGGGCACGCTTATCACACAGGGGTCACCAAAATTAATCTAAGAAACGGGAGTGCTGAGCTTATCTATTCATATAATAATCATGAGAATACTGGTAGCTATCGACATGAGATTGCCTTACATAACAAACGAATCTACCAATTTGGTGGAGGAACTCAAGAAATTGATATTGGTTTCGAAAAGGTTAAAACTTGAAAAAGAAAAAATTTCCACCACAAATAATAATAGCATATAAATAATTGTATTTTATTTTCCGTTGGCAGGTATTTTATTTTGATCTATCAGGTAAATGCTGGAGGTTTGTGAAAACTTTTCCTGATCCAACTCATGGTTATCCAATTGCTCGTAAATTTCATGGTTTGGTTACTCTGGACAATTTCGTTTTCATTATTGGAGGTGGTTATATTAATCCAACCGGAATACCCGTTGGTATAGACGATATTTGGAAATTTAATTTGGATACTTTTGAATGGACCTTAATTTGTAAATTATCTCGACCCATTTATTTCCATTCAGCAGCAATTTCCCCAAATGGTTTATTAACCGTTTTCGGTGGTGTCCAATCAATTCAACAAGGAAATTCATTTAGGACCCAAAGGACAAACTCATTGTGCACAATTTGGCTACAAGTGCCTAAATTAGGTGAAATTGCGTGGATTGCATTTTTAAACAATTGTGCTGATGTAACCAAAATATCACAATCACAATTAATTGACATCGGTGTACCACCTTCCTATGTAAACCGATTAATCAGTTAACCATGATAATGAACGATAAATCAACATAAACACACACACACAACAATCAATGAGAGAGAAAGAGTGAGCTAAACATATGACTGTAATTAACTTGGAATCAATTCACACTCAAAAAAAGAGTCAATTATGTTACCTAATCAATTAATGATCAACAACATCAACATAATTCAACATCATTATCATCAACCATCAATCATCAATCATCACACTGATGATTTTGTATCACAATTAATTTTCCGATCAGTTAGCAATCTTTTTTTTTCTTCCCTTTTCTCAATGTATTTTCTGTTTAATTAATTCTACTGACCTGATCATCGAAAGTTAATTAAATGGTGATCAAGAGCACATCTTTTTTCTTCTCCTCTTTCTCTCTCACCTTCTCATTAATTGTAATTAACGATGATGATGATGATGATGATACTTTTTGTCTCCATTATATTGGGACAATAAAAAACGATAACAAGTCCACTTGACTTAATTTTCTTTAATCTTAATCACCATATATAAAGATGATGATTAATTTAAAATTAACTCGATGATTGAGAAAATGAAACAATCATTTTAAATTGTTGAAGAAAAAACAAACTTCAACAAATTTACTAATTACAATTAAATGGAAAACAAGTTCATGTTCATGTAAACATTTAATTCCCAGATGATTAAATGATGAAACAATTTCCCTGATGATGATTCTTGATCTTAATCAATGTTGAATCAATCAATTGATTACAATTAATAACATTTTAAAGGGAAGCAAAAAATTAACTCTTAATTGTTATCAGTTAATTTGATTTTTTTAAAACTTAATGTTTACCTTTTTTTTTGTTGTTCAAATTAATAATATCACTTTTTGTTGATAATATCCACTAATTGTGAGCTTAACAATTAACTAGTAAAAACTTTCAACAATCAACAACAATTTATAAATCAATAAGTTTTACTATTATGATCAAATTTATTTACTGATTGTAACATTAAATCACCTCAACCATTAAATCATCAATTGAATTCAATTAAGCACAAAACTTACAAATTACTTCCGATTGCTAAACATAAACAGAGTTAATTTAATAAAACTATTAAACTAATTTGATAGAAAAATTTTCCGTTTCAATTAAAAGTTAATTATCATTAATTAAAGTGATCAATTTATAAATTGCACATAATTATCGTTGACAATCAATGAGAAATTAAAGTTCACAATCAAAACTAAATAAAAACAAAAAGGTCAGATTGTGTCCTTGGATAATTGACCAGAAACTAATTGACAACAATTAATATCAATCTGACAATGATAACAATTAACTAATCACAATAAGAAACAAAAAAAAAATGATAAATAATTTATTTTAAATTGTAAATCAAGTTTGAAATTAGTTGAACCAAAATAAAACAATAACTAAAAAGTTAATGATGAAAAAAAAAGTACTAATCACAAAATGACAATTAGTGTTGGTTGATTGTTGTGATTAGTGAATTTATTTTACTGTTTACCATCAAACACAATCAAGACTAATTATTATCATTAAAGATTTTTAAATATTCATAATTTGGTTAAATTATTACAACAATTAAAGAGCCAAATGTAAACAAATATAACAATATATTCACTAAACTGTGGCTTATCTTTCAACACAATTTAATTTATGTGGTACCACAATCAAGTTAATCACTTGAAAACATATTGTAAACATAACTAATTATGTGTACTACCAGTTAATGAGAGGAATTTATATTTATAAAAAACTGATGATAATCAAATAATAATAAGAAAACGATAACAATCAGTTAATCCGATAATCAACTTTTCTTGATTCTTGGTGCACTTTCAATCAACTCCACCACCACCACCACCTCCCGATTGATCATCTATTTTTTACTAATCACCTTAAATCATGATAATTATGATGATGATCAACTAACACCACCAACCTCATCAACAACATCACATTTTTTTTTAATCATCGCATTAACTTTTTTTTTCACTTAACCAACTGATACTAATTAACTTATTAGTATCACTGATTATATAATAATTTACTGATTCGACCTTTAAAAATCAACTTCCTCTCATTTGGGTGTTGACTTTGTAGTCGCAAATTGTTGAGTATATAAACATTATTCTGGACAATTTAGAAATCACAATTTCAACTTTCACCAATCAAACAACAACAACAACAACAACAATTAACCAAACAGTTTTAAAGTTTTTAGTGTTAACCGTTAATCCACAATAATAATGACAAAGGTTAGTGTTTTTCGGATTAATATATGAAACTTTCATCGTAATCCTTAGTTTCGTTACAACGATCAACTTAATTTAACTGTTTCTTTTTTTTTCTCGTCTCGAATCAAATTGTTGATTAGATTATTTATTTAGCTGCTTCACTCTTAATTGTTGGAGTAATTTCCAGTGCTCAAGCTAAAGGATGGTCGCATGGCCATGGACATGGTCATCATGGTGGTCACTCAAACACCTACAGAAAGCAAGATGTAAGTGATTAAGGATTAAAATTTGTTAACGATGATCACCATTTTTACGGATAATTTAGCTTTACCAAATTGGATTAAATTGTTTAATCTTGGGGGAATTGTTTTTTGCTCTCTTTGCTTTAGGCTTGGGGTAATTACAAGTTCGGTTATGATATTGCCGATGGATGGGGAGCTAAAAATTCACGACACGAAGAAGGTGACGCCTGGGGCAACAAACACGGAGAATACACTTTGAAAGATGTTGATGGTCGAGAGCGAAAGGTTCAATATGTTGCCGATAAGAAAGGTTTCCGTGCGAAAATCAAGACCAACGAACCTGGAACTGGTTCAGTTGACGCTGCTGATGCTATTTACAATGGTGCTGATCCTCATGGACACAGGTAAAGTTTAAGTTTCTTTTAGTCAATTAATACAATTGATTTCTAACATTTTAGATGAGAATTTGTTTCTCGAATATGTTATTCTAATAACTTATTTCGATTTGTTTTCACAGTCACACTCATGTTCCATCAGGATGGAAGGGTGGTCACCATGGATGGGGACACCATGACTCTCACCACGATTCCCACCATGGTCATCATGGTCATCACGATCATGGTCATCATGGACACCACGGACACCATGGTTGGGGTCATCATGATTCTCACCATGATTCTCATCACGGACATCACGGTCATCATGGTCATCATGGTCATCATTAAGTATCCTGAATTCATCGCCTCCATTTCCAGAATAACAAAACCAAAAATCAGTATCATCCAACCATTAAATTGTTAACCATTAAATTAATCAACTCTCATCCAATTAATTGTTGTACTTTTCCTATTTCGTTTTCTAATGTAAAAATGAAACAACAAGAGATTTTATATAAAAAAAAACATGTACAGTTTAGTTAAATTATTTGTGTTGATTTGATTGTTTACCTGAAATTTCAAAAAAAAACCACAAATTGACAGATTTAAACAATCAAATTAAAAAAAATCAGTTAGACTTTTTTTTTCTTTCTATCAACATAAAATTAATTTAAAAATAAAAACCTAATAATTTCAATTGCCATCATTTGTTATTTACCTTGTTATTAATTTTGATGATGATGAGTTGATTATTTGCTGATTGTGATTGGCTGTTGATCAACAGTTGAAATTAAATTAAATGCAAGATCATTCGCCATAAAGTAATCATTAAAATGATTGTAATCCAACAGTTAACAACAATTAGAATTGATCATTTGTTTTGACTTTGAGTTAGTCTTTGAATTATTGAGGTTGTGATAATATTGTTTTCCAGAATTAATTTGATTCAATTTTATATAGATAATTTTCTTTTTTGATTGTGATCCCAAAGAGTTAATTAAGTTATGGGTGTTCCACTTATCTCGGAAACCAATAAGAATAAGGAATTGTTATTGGAAATTGATTCTATTGTGCCGGACACTAATGGTCATCATCTTGCAGATATTTCCTTGTCTTCCAATGATTCTTTGAGCCGAAGTCGGAGAAGATGGAAGTTGATTAAGATAATCAGTAAAATGAATCCTTCTTTCCAAGGTAAATCGAAGAAATTAATTTTCTACCAATCACTTAGTGCGATTCTTTCAATGATATTAACTGGAATCATGATCTATTGGTTGGTAAAGTTACAATCGACATCAAATTCATCTGAATTGTTGCCATCATCTTCATTCCTTGTTTCATCTCAATCTCAATCTTCATCATCATCTTCATTATCACCATCATCATCTACACAATCACCGCCATCAAAACCGGAACCTACGATAACTTTAGGATGGCCTGGAAATTATGATCCCGCTGATTACGAAACATTCAGTGTAATGGATAATCCAGTTCTCAGATTAACGGAGAATTCAAATAATACCAATGGTAATGATGATGTTGAGACTTTAAAGGTTACTGATTCGATTTCCGATAAATCAGGTGAAGATGGTGAAGAGAAAAGCGAAGATGAAGACAATTCATTGAGAAAATTTCCACCACCATTACCTTTTCCACCTTTTCAATCATTTCCATCGAATTGGTTTCAAGGTCCATTTAATGGGCCACTTTTTTTACCTCCTTTTTTCCCACCTTCTTCTCCTCCTTCACAACCGCCATTCCAAATGATGGATCCATTTGAATCAGATGAATCATCAAATCCGATTGCCGATCAATTTTTTGATCATTTTACACCACCGACCTTCAATTTGGCCAAAATTAAATCATCGGCACAAAAATTACATGCATCCGCTGTTGGAGCATTAGATGAATTGATGAAAAAGCTCAAGGGCAGCGGCTCTTTGGTTGACTTTCTAGTGACCAATAATGAAGATGAACAAATGGATCCCGAACTGGTAGTCCGATCGGAAGATGATCAAGATCAAGCATCCGATTTAATGGAAACTTTCAATGATACCGATCAGCTCGATGATACAGTTGATAATCTGTTCAATTTGATTAAGAAAATTGTCTTTTAATCAAACCAGCAAAAGAAAACCACACCCATGAAATCCTAATTGGGCTAATAATCATCACCGTTACAATTTACATCCATAGAAATTGAATCGAATTTTTTATGTTCCATTTATATATAAATTTTAAAACAATCAATCATTACCATTTTTTTTGCTTATTCGTCGATACCAATCGTTGATTATTAGTTCCAATCAAATTTTGCCAAACCATTAAGGGAGATATAAACACTTATGAAAAGTCCTGTAGAGATGAAAACAAAATAAACTGTTACTCTCAATGAAGCGACCATTTTTATTAATTTTTGTAGTTGTCACTGATTAACCAATAATTGTCCTAATTGACAACAATCAGAAAAGTTAATTATGTATGTTAAAAGTTAATGAAAAAGTTAATTAGTCAAATGTAAATTGGTTAAAATTGGTCATGTGTTAGTTGGGTCAAATTTAATGTCTATACAAACCTCAATTAAATTGTTGTGGTTGATGATCACTTTTTGTTGTTTGCATTGATTAAAATCAATCAATTGGTTCATTAGTTAATTCCCGAAGTTGTAATCATCATCATCATCTTCATCTTCAGTAAACAATTAGATTTAATAGTCACTCAGATAACAACGAAAATAAAGTCAAGTTGATTGTTCCATTTGAACAAAACAAAAGAAAAAAAAATTTTCTATTCTAATTTTCTTATCTCTGTTACCATAGAAGCGAAATCAAAACAAAGATTTCCCGCTTATCTTTTTTCATTGTTTTCTTTGTTAATTGTTTTCTCTCTCTCTCTCTCTAATTGTAGTTTAATTAATTTTTATTCTAATTAACAATCAGTTTATTACTTCTCTCTGGTTAACTGTGATCATCAAAAATACTCTCGTTTCAATTATGTTTCGTTTAATTGTCGCTTCAATTTTCTTCTCACTTGTGTCAACCTTTTCAACGCCAATTCCAGCAAATTACACAGTCTTTTGGTACCAACAGAAAGTAAGTGACAATTAATTTCCAATCAATTTAATTAAATCATCTTTAATTTAATACATCGTATTGTTAACAAGTAAATTGTCATAATTTTCTCCATCTAAATGACTTGATACAAATACAAATTGAAAGTTTCCCAAGTAAATGAAATTATTATCAATCGTCTTTTTGTTTCTGTATATGTTTTGAGATTAGATTTTTCCTAATTGTCTTTATCTCACCAATTAGTATATTATATGATTAGATTACAAAATTTTCTTAATTGCAAATTAAATGTTGTTTAGTTTAAATTGTCCATTTTTCGTTTTAATTAATATTAAACTAATTCATTGGAATCACTATTACAACAAATACTCATTTAACTTTGAGGTTTGACTTTATGTTGATTGGGCTAAAGTGATTTAGTTTTTGCTTCATTAATGCTAATTAATTCAATAATAATAATTATTATACATTTCTAATTATGTTATTACCTAATTTGAATTAAGTTAATCACTGTCTAACCTAATAGAGCTTGACAAATGATCACAATTAAATTAAAATCGTTTTTCCGTAAGTAAACATTTTCATTGGAAATGAAAACAAAAATATCCAAATGATTTAGTTTTTTTTTTCTCGTAACCAACAATTTAATATATACAGTTAACAAGATTAATCTCCAATAATTACCAATCAAAATCACTAAACTAATCAATAAATAGTTAATATTAACAATTAACCTTTACTTTTACCAACTTACATAATTACAATTAAAATAATTATTCCATTAATCGGTTAACAATTAAGAGGATAGACAATTAAATTTGTATCATTCGCTCCTTGGACTCTAACCAAATTGTAACCAGAAAAAAGCATTATAATGATCCATTCATATTATTAATCAATATCAATTCTAATCATAGATGATGATGATGATGAACAGATAATTAAGTAATCACAATTACAATTAATTACATTTCCTTATTACTCCAACAACAACAGAATCAAATAAAACCCAATGATTTGATTCTTTGGGCTTTGATTGTTTATCTTAATACTTTAAAACCATTAAATGGTTGCCATATAAATTAATTGAATTTCTTCAACAATTTACTACCAATATTTAAGTAGGAAGAATCAACAATTAAATGATTAACTTTAATAATAAATTGTTTTAATAGTTTGATGATAAAAAAAAATTACCTCTAAAAAAGGTAATAAGAAATAGAGGAAGATGTAATCAAGGAAGATGAAAATAATATCATACAATTAACCATTTTAATATCAATCGGAATGATTATTGATTGTCAACGATTAAATTAACTGTTTATTGATTTTTCAGGTTGATCATTTCAATTACAACAATAATGACACTTATCAACAGCGAGTGATCATCTCAACGGACCATTGGTGTACCGATGGTTGTCCCATATTTTTTTACGCGGGTAACGAAGGCGATGTTTTCTCATTTGCAAACAACACGGGATTCATGTGGGAAAATGCACCGAGATTTAAGGCCATGGTCATTTTTGCCGAACATCGTTATTATGGTGAATCCTTACCTTACGGTGATAAAGCATTTTCAGTGAGTTTCTCTAAATAATTGTAGATTGTAACGATTAACTGATTCCGGAGTTTTATGGTCAATTGTTTGAAATTTTTTATCCTTTCTAGAGTTTGGATAAGGTTGGATTCTTATCGGTTGAACAAGCGTTAGCTGATTTTGCTGAACTTATTCAGGAAATTAAAAGTTCTTACCCTGCAGCTCGTCAAAGTCCCGTTGTAATGTTTGGTGGTTCCTATGGTGGGATGTTGGCTGCTTGGTTCAGGATGAAATATCCTCATCTAATTGTTGGGTAACTTGATTTAACCCTTTCAATAATCATTGTCATGATAATTGTTGTGATTTATCATGGAAAATGATGATTTCAATCATCATCGTTATCTCAGCATTTTATTTTCTTTCCAGGGCATTAGCTGCATCAGCACCGATCCTTCAATTTCCTGGTTTATATGAGTGCAATGGTTATAATAGTATTGTCACCAAAAGTTTCCGTTCCTACTCTGAGCAATGTTACCTTTCAATCAAAAATTCATGGGAAGCGATTGATCGTATTGGTGCCAATGAAGATGGTCTTAAGTGGCTATCAAGCACCTTTGGGCTTTGTAAACCTTTGACCTCAGCCGATGATCTTACTGCCTTTTCTGGCTGGTTACAAGATACTTTTGGCTCATTAGCCATGATAGATTATCCTAATCCAGCTGATTTCTTGGAACCACTTCCAGCTTATCCAATTGGGGTAACATGATTTAACTAATCTTTCCGGAAAAACAAACGAGAATCAATTTATTGTATTATTTATATACAATCAGATTGATTGTGATTAGTTTTTCTCTTGATCATTATATCAATGATCTTGAAAATCAAATGATTAACTAATCAAGGAAACAATAGATGTTCAATCAGTAACATTTACCATCAAAACAATTAATTGATTCAATTTATATCTAATTTTTTCTGCAATAATCAACAATGATTATTACATTGAAAGGGTTAATTATCTCTTAATTGTCTTAAAGGTTTTTGTCTTTTTTCATGCTTCAAGATGAACAATTAACTGATTGATAAGATTTTCTTTATGATATTAATTAACTCTTAAAAAAATCAGCAAAGCATTGCCACCTTTAATATGATCACTTAATTAGTGATTTAATTGTAATAACTAACCATCAAGATGTTACATCAAGTACAATTGTTAACTAATCGTTAACAATATCCTTGTTTCAAACAAACAATTAATCACTAATTAATCACTAATCTGTTGATTAATTTTCTTCTCCCTTTTCTAATTAGGTTTTATGCTCTAAATTACAAGATTCAACTAAACAAGATAAACCCTTAATTGTGGACATTTTCAATGCTGTTTCAGTTTATTACAATTACTCAGGACAAAGATCATGTTTTGATTATAAGGATGATTCAGAAGGAGGTAAGACTTTGACAATTAATTAACTAATTACCATTTATTTGTATTACAGAGATTGTCAGATATTGTGATGACAATTTGTAAAATGAGAGCAATTAAAGTCAACCATCATCACAATCAATGATTGATAACATTTTCAATGTGAATGAAAAACGATTACATTGATTGTAAATTCCATTTAAAGTTCACCCTTTCCTCATAAGTTGATTAGTCAATTAAAAGTCAATCAAATCAGTTTTATTATATGAAAATCAAGTTAATCATTTAGGTAAAAAAAAACATTAATTTACTTCCCCAAATAAAAAAGTGATTATACTGATTGATTAAACTAATTACTATGCAAATTGAATTAATCATAATCTTTCAGTTAATATGATTATGCAAACACACAAACACACACATTCACAATTAACAATATCATTGATTTAAATTGAATATAACATTTGATTGTGTGTTTCGATTGATTTTATAATCAAATCAACAAATTGTTATATGAAATTATATCAAGAATTAAGAGAAAAGTAATTGGTTGTAAAAAAAACAACCAAAATTGCTTAGTAAAATATAATTAGAAATTGAATTAACTTGATTTATATAAATTTCTATTGATTTTATAACAAGTATTTTAATTGTATTTTAATAAAAAAAAATTGATTAACTTGAGAAGGATTATTGAAACAAAGGGAAGAGATAAAAAATAACAACATTGATGATTAATTTAATTATTTCTGTTCTAATAACAAAGAGACACCAACAATTAGTATTTTGTGTGTATTAGAATCAATCAATGGATTATCCGATTTTCATTGATCAAAATGTTGATAGTTTTCCTTGATAATAGAATTGATTTTTTCTGTTCTTTCTCAATATTATCTCTGTTTTCTCAGGTCGATTAGGTGGTAATGGTTGGGGATTCCAATCATGCACTGAAATGGTTCTGCCAGTTTGTACAACTCTGAACGATTCAATGTTCCCCCTGCAACCCTGGGATTTGGTCCAAGTGAAAGCTGATTGTTTGAAAAACTTTGGTGTCTCACCGGAGGAATTAAAAGCTCGATGGTTATTTGGAGGAACCAATATCTCAACTGCATCTAATATCATCTTCTCAAATGGACAACGTGACCCCTGGTCAGCTGGAGGTGTATTGCAAACCTATGCTCCCTCCCTTCCGGCCATTATAATTGAAGGAGCTTGTCATCATGAAGATTTAAGGTCAACCGGACCAAATGATCCAATCCCATTGATCCGAGCACGACAAAAGGAAATCATGATAATTAAGGATTGGATTGATCAATATTATCAAGCAATTAACCATTTACCAAATGAATGGGCCAGAGATTCAAATCTAATTTAATGAGGAAAAACAAAAACAATCAAATCTGTTTTCAAACTTTGTTAAAACTTTTATCCTATCAAACTTTAATTACGTTGATTAACAGTCACTTATCATAATATTGACATGATACAATTTTATTTGATACAATTGAATGTAAACTAATATTATATATTCAATTACAGAAATAGTTATGATAACTGGTTCATATCAAATAATCATAATCAGGTCGTTGTAACAATTAAATCGTATTGCAAACTCATGGTGATTATCATGGTAATTACGATTTTCTCAGTGAAATCTCAGCTATTATATTGATTGTTGGAAATTTATTCAAACTATTTTTACTGTTATCACATTTAGTAAATCAAGGTTACCTTTATCTTGACCTGGCAAAGTTTCACAAAATCAGTTCAGCTCATGATGTTTATTAGATTTTAAATGGTTCATGATGATATTTAGCAGACACACAGAAACAGGAGATCAGTGAAGAGGCTTTCAATCAGATGAATGATGAAAATTCTTGGAAGAAAAGAAGAAGACAAGAAAGAGTATATTGAAAAAGATGAAGAAGATGAAGAAGATGATCAGGAAGACAAGGGGAAGAAAACAGAGATAGATGAGAGAAAAAGAAGAAAAAAAAAGTTTTTCGACTAGAACTTAATCTTTCCCTCTTTGATCCTATTCTCCACCATCATCATCACCAGAATCTATTAGATAAACTTGTTAAAAATTCATCTGAATAACCTAAATACTTACACTGAATTTTTTCATCCTCATCATCTTTTATCTTCCTACTCATCTTGATCCTCATTTATTCAATTCTATCATCAGTAAATTATTGAGATTTAACTTCAACATGGAAAAGAAAATTATTGTTCTAATCGAGTTTTTTTCTCCAAAAACTCGAACATTTCTTATACTCACTTGTCTCTCGCCTCAAGTATTCATTGTGATTGGATTTCTCTCGTCATGATGATAATCATGATGAATGAATCTCGAACATGGTGCAACAAACATTTCATCATCTTCTGTTGGCATTACAAGAAATCATGATGAATTTGAGTGAAAACGAACCGAGAGAGAAAGACGAAAACTATGAACATGATGAAATCTGAGGGATGATAAAGAGATGATGGTAAAAAGATGCAAGATGATATTCGAGGAAAAAAATTTAGGTTCTATCCTAAAATTAGCTGATTGCACTAAGTTCTGATCATGAGTTCTAATCTTAAATTGTCAGGATGGAATCTTATTCATATACTATTAATGATCTAAAGATGATGAGAGGGAGGAAGAAGAAGATGATGATGATGATGATGATGGAAAATATCAAAGGATAAACATACAAACATGTAAACAATTTCAATCTGTTTTTATCTCAATGATAATATTACATTGAATTCAATTGATTGTTTGTTTATAACTTGATGACAATTTAAACTAATCGTTGGAAACTTTTTTGTTTCAAAGTGAAAGTGATTTTTTGTTATTATTAATTGTCCAATTAAAGTGATTATTTCTCAATAGAATATTTTTTTTACAATATAACATTTATCTCTTTCCAACTGACCAACTGAACTTTTTAAAAGTTCATATCATCAGAATCAATGGAAACTGTCAACGGAATCACAACAACAACAACAACAACATCGACAACAGATAATAACAGAATCGATAATAACGATTCTGATGATGAAACTTATGAATATGTTTCTTTAGCTGAAAGAATTTCGAGTTACCAAAAGAAACTCGAAGCTGAACAAAGGAAACTCGAGAAACCATGTCGAACTAAATCTGAGTAAGTTCTAACAAAATTTTCGAACAAAAAAAGTTTTCTTTTTACTCTCTCGTTCTAATCTCAACCTTTTAGCTTCAAATTTGATTTTCCTTGTTAAACTTTTTTTTCTCTTCCTCATCCTTAATCATCCTACTTACCCATCACTCTCATCCTCATCTTCATCTTCATCTTGGTGATAAAATTACAGAAAAAAAATCTAACATCAATAGTAACTCGTTGCAAAGAAGTTGTTTTTTTTTGGTTAATCTATTTTCACATTTACCTGAGCTTTCAGGTTTTTATCATGAATTGAGAGCAACAATTTAATAATCAACTTTGCTTTTATTTGTCTAAATTTATTCAACACTAAATCAAACTTGATACATTGATTGTGACACTTTTAAAATCAGGTTACAATTAACTCATTTGTTTACTTACAATTGCCTAATTGTTGACAGTTAAACTTGAACATCATGTTAATCAAATTGATAGGTTATCATCTTGGATTATGAAGATAATCCTAAAGATTATCATTAGAATGTTTCAAATATGTAAATATTTTGTATTCTCAAGTTCAATTTTCTTCTATCATGATTATCTGATTTAACGGTTTCATGAGATTTGGAACTTTTTTCAACTTCTTCTTCGTCTCCTTCTGTCACTTTCAATGGTAATGTCAACCTCTAAATCTGACAATTTAGCTCAGAACTAAGTAAGAAGATGAGTTTCTCTTTCCTTGTCATCCTTGTAATCATCATCAATCTTAACGGTTTTCCATCATCCTCATCATCATCATAATCCTGAAAAGATGAAGAGGAAATGAAAGAAAATGATTCATTGAAACTCCATGGAAAAGTTATGAATGAATGAAGAAAATAATTGCATTTTCTTCAAAATCAGTTAATATTAATTGAATAATTTAATTTCTCATGTAATAATAATAATCTACTAAATCAACAAAAGTAATTAATCATTGACTTACATCATTATAATTACCGTTTTATACCAACAAGTAAATATATTGATACATGGAAAACTTTTCGTAATTGTTAATCTTAATTATTTTTACAATTTCGACGATTAAATTATTGCAACCAAACTAATTGTCTCTTTAATTTGTTGTTGATTATGTTTAATAGCTATGGAAGACCCTTGGAGGGATCGCAAACACAATTAAGAGGAATCAAGGCTTACGATACAATCGCCCAAGAGATTAGGGATTTATGTTCATTCATTGAAACAAATGGAACCAAAAATGAGGACAATCAAGTGACAATTACATTTGGTCAATTGTTCGAGGTAAATTAACATCAAATCAGTTGATTATCGTCCCTTAAAATCAACTGATACAATGTTCACAATCAAATGGGTGGGAAAACTTTTCGTAAACTTTTATAACGTTCAAAAGTTCAACAATTGAATTAGATTGAATTAAATTTAGCATGATAACAATTAGATTCAATTGGTGAACATAATCACGGGGAAAAAGTTTCCACCATGAGTTATAATTAGAGTTAATTGTTTCGCTATTAAATCAGATTGAAGGGTTCGAATATAAAAGAAACTATTTCCTTTGGGAAATAGTAGGTGACCCAAATAAGTAATTTCGATCTAAAATTGAATGTCGAACCAGTTAAAGGTCGGAAAAAAAGATGAACTTTCGAGGAAATTTCGAACAAAAAAAGAAATGAATTAAATTAATTGTTGCTCTTCAATGAGTTTTACACCTTTTTGTAATTCAATGATTAAACTTGAGAATGATTAACAGTTAGTATTAGTGAAAATCTCCGAGAAATTTGAATCAAAATTCTGAGAAAAAAAAACTTTTGTGGTTACCTGATAATTGAATATTCAACTTGGTGATTATCATCACAATCTCATTGGTCTTATGTAAATATATACACATGAACTTTCACCGAGTTCACCAAACATGAAATCCTTTGTAACCAGAATATATTTCACTCTGATCATTATCATCTTCATATTAATTCATCTTCCTCAATTCTTAAAGTTTATCATGCTCATCTTCATGATAATGGGATAAGAAAATAGCATACATTCAATTGATTGCAAGGTAACAATTAATTTATGCTTCAACGATAATTAAAGGAAGACAAGGTGAGTGTATTAATCATTTCCATCATCTTAATCATGATTAAGATGATGTTCATTGTCTCGAGTCATTAGTTTACCATGATAATGATAATAATATATTACAAATATGATTAGACAATTTCAATGATAATCAAACCTAAATAATCAAGTTAATCAGAAATTGTCTTTGATTGTTAATCATTTTTAATCATATTATCTTGATAACGATTATCCTATGATGATGATGAAATGTTTTTTCATCCTGATTTGATTAAGATTAATCATTAATAATGAGTGTTAGTTAATCCTCTCTGATATTGTAACAATTAAATCAATACAATTTGTATCATTGTTAAGCTTTTATTATTCACCAATACAATTAATGATGAAATGGAAACATAATCAAATAGATGAGTTAATTGTGATAATGATTAACTCATGATGAGACTTATAATCATAATTAACTGAAACATATTCCAACACCTTTAAGGGTTTAATGATTGAATCAACAATCAATTAATTGGTGTTTATGGAAAGTTTTTCTTTCGCTGTAGTTGTTGTTGAATTAATTATTAATTTAATCATAAGAATATGAATACAAATATAATTATCGTGATTAACATTAATCAATGAATTTAACTCACTTATTAAATTAGTTACCATTGAATTTACTCAATTCTCTGGATGATTTTTATCATTGTGACTTTATCATCATCATCATCATCATGTGTGTGTGTGTGAGTGAGTTTATATTATCATGAATGAACCTCAATAAAAAAGGTAAGAAGAGGCAGAAAAAAAAGTTCATCGGTGATCATTTCGTGATCAGAATTGATATTATCATGAAATGAAGACTATTGTATATCCTCAGTTGAATTGTTTTCCCCAATCCATTATTATTTCACTGATTCTGATTCATTGGACTTCATGATAATCATCATGATTTCCAGTCCATTTTGTCTGATCAACATCATGAGCTAAATTATCATGGTACACATACAGAACCAGGACTATAATCAGAAATGAATAATAATATTTACATGGAAGTGAAACTAAAGTAAATAAAAGCCAGAGAGAGAGAGAGAGAGAGAGAGAGAGAGAGAGATAAAGTTGAAATTGGAATTTTCGATTTTCTCTTTCGACGATTAGAACTTTTTTTTTCTTCTTTTATCTTTTTCCTAATGTTTTCTTCGGTAAATAAAATGTATTATATTGAACAATGTCCACAAAATTCATCAATATAAATTGTTGTTTGATTGTCCAAAACGATGGAAACAATTGATAAAATCATATTCAAGTTCATCTCATGATATTTGAGTAATCACCCTGTTGACATGGTTTAGAAAAAAAGAGAGAAGAAAAAAATTGTCGAACTCGATTTTGGATTTAGAACTTTTACTTTTTTTTCTCTTCGATTTTTTTCTTCTGCTTCGATCTCAATCAATATTCAATGTTTTTGATCGAATGATCTGATTTTGGAAAAGTTTTTTTTCGTCTTTTTTTTGCTTCGACAAAACTTTTTATCTTTACCTGACAATTTCAATCATGATGAATTGATGATTATGTTGATGATGATGATGATGATGATGATGATGATGATTGGGAACATGGAGGATGAAACATTGAGAATATAAAGTTAACGAGAATTGAAAATGTTCATCTCATCATGGTGATGATTTCATGATGATGATGATGATGATGAGATGATGTTGAACATATTTCACTTTTCGCCATGTTTATCATATTCAAAGTGTTAATAGTTGAATGATTTCTTAAGGTTGATTATCATGATCATGTCTCTGAACATTGAACATTATAATAGCTATTTTTTTAAGATTCTCATCAGAAGTTCATCAGAAAAAAAGGAGTAAAAAGAAAAACTTCAAGAAAGAACATTTTTTCTCTCTTACAATTCATCATGAACATGATGAAAATTCATTTAGATTATTCAGACAATGGAAACAAAATTTTCTATTGGAAACTTTTATTCTGATTACATACATTTTCATGATGTAACCAAAGGGAATCAACTGATTGAAATATTGAAAATTCAATGAGAGTTTGAACATTGTATCAATTGAGAACTGAATTAAAATTACCAACTTCATTTTCCACAATTTAATCAACTAATTGTTTACATTTTCCTAATTTTTTTCTTATTCATCTTTTAATGCTCACCAATCGTTCTCGAAATCGGATTTTTGGTTGTAATGAAATTGGACATTTTGTATTGGAACAATTTACAACGACAATGGAAACAATTTACAATTGATCTTTAATTGTTTGGACTTAATTGTTGACAGTCTTATGAAATGTTATCAAATAAATTAGTTGGAATCTTATTGAGAGCTTGTAAACAAGGATTCGTTCATTTCGTCGGTGAAATTTTGTACCAACGACGAGATGAAAATGTCGTTATAACGTTGATTAAAATGCCACCGGAAGATTTTAAATTAACTTATTAACCAAAGCAATCAAATTAAATTGGAGAAAATTATATGAAATAAATGAATCAATCACGTTAATTGTGTAAAATTAAATTGCAAACAATTACACAAATACAATTGTTACATGATATAATTACATTGTTTTAATGGAAAGAGAAACAAAGAGGAAAAAAAATAAAAGTTTATCAAATTGTTAAATTGTTACCTAATTGCTTACCTAATTGTCTGTGTGTATATATTATGTATCAACTAATTACTTTAAAAATAATACAAATTAAATACAATTAAAACGCGAACAACATTCAAACAAATTGAGTTTTCAATCACAATCTATTTGTATGATAATAATTTGAATTGAAGTGTCTCAATTGATGACAATATTAAAATTAAATTGTTATTATCAAGTTAATTATCATTATGATTGATATAAAAACTATTAAAAATGATTAGTTGATTGTTGAGAATTGGATAAAAGTAAAAAATAATAATAATGAATAATAACCTTTACATGATGATAATGATGAAGATAAAGTTTCATATGATATTATAACAGTTTCCATGGAGTGAGTGTATTTATATAAGTATAACCTTCACTCCCAGTAAGTTTTTCATCATCATCGTCATCATAATCTTCATTATAATCATCATTTTATCTTCCTTATTTATCTTCTCTCCCTGTGTTACCTAAAATCCTCATGATGATTCTCATGATAAAAACTTGAATGTGAATACTAACCAAGGATTTTGCGTATATTTATCTTTCTATCATCATCTTATCATCTTAGTCTTTCCTTTTTTCTTTCTTTTTCCTCTCTCTCTCCCTCTCTTTCTCTTTCTCTCTCTCTCCCTTTGTGTGTATGTGACATTTACACATGAGATTATTTCCAGGGAAAGTATTCAGAGTAACATGGAGTGAAACATTTCCACCTGAACTTTTCACTGGGAGGAAGGAAATAGAAGAGTAAAAGTCGAAAATTAAGAACATTTTTTCCTCATCTTCTTTCAGCATTTTATCATCATTTTCTTCATTGTTTTTACCTTTTAGTCTGTAAAATTTTCTCATCATCATCATCATCATACCTTGGACAATAAGTTGAACATTATCTTCATCATCAGAATCTAAGTTGACTGAAGTAAATCAAACGAATGAAAATCTTTTTTCCTTTTTTCGGAATTTTTTTTCTCTCTCTGAGTTTTTTTCCTCTTCACTATTTGGAATCTTATCTTTTTCTTTCCTCTTCAATACCTTTGTGATATCCTTTTGTTTATCATCCATATCATCATCATCATTATCATCAGTGTTTGTGTGTGTGTGCCTTCAAGTTGCATTCATTAACAATTTATGGTTTGTTAACTTGATGATAATCAAGTCTGAGTGTTGATTTCAAGCTTCACCATTGGAAGTCAATGTAACTACAGAAGCAAAAAGATATAAACAAACATTTCCTGTTGTAAAAAAAATCCTTTTGTGTACTTGTTTGTTTATCATCATCATCATCTTCTTCATCTTCATCCTCATCTAAATTATCATCCGGTGAGTTTACTTTCATCAGAGATGAGGAAGCAGAAAGTGTATATTACATCATGTCAACTTGTTCCAGTTAAAGTGTAAAATAGTAAAAGGAAAAAGAAGATTGAAAAAATTGTTCCAAACAAAATCGAGCATCTCAAAAGCAGAATGGATTATCCTCCCTCATCAACTATTGGAACTTCCTCATCTCGACTTAGTCCCCGTCGAGCGACACTTCACTATGAAAGGTCAAGTCCAACGGTCAGTACAATGACCACTGGACGTCGATCACCTTCACTCGTTTACCTCGATTCGATCAACTCATTTTATCCTCCATTACCTTCATCATCATCACCGTCATCGGCTAATTCACCTTCAACTGGCCCTCCTTTAACCCTTTCCTTACCTTCATCTCATCAACAACAATCAACTTCATATGATATCTCACCTCATCATCATCCACAACACTACCAACAACAACAACAACAACAACAACATTATTACAATCAACAGCAGTCAACAAAATCTTCACCATCAAATTCAAAGGTAAACTCATTGTCTCCTGTTCGTACTAATCGTTCACCAAGCGTATCACCAGTTCGTGAAAATGACCTACCAACGGGCTATATTAACCAACGACGAAACACTTTACCTAAACATTCAAGTTCCCAATATTTATCACCCGATAGTCGATCGTCAAATGTTCAAGAATCAACGACAACCTCTTCACCCTTTTCTCGATCTCGTTCCAGTTCATATTTCAATCGTTCACCAAGTCACCATCGTCGTCGTCGCAGCTTCAAGGAACCAAGAGTGACCTCAGCAAATACTTCACCCTCTTCAACTGCCGCTGCAATCGTCGGGCTAATGTCATCTAATCATCATCAACAACGGAGACTTTCACCCTTCGATCAAGACTCTTGGGACTCTTATTCAGCGCTAATGAAGTTAAGGTCAGATCGTCGGAAAATGTCATTACCCGTTTCTGAGTCAATCTCACCAAATTCAATGGTAATTAGCAAAAGTTTAAACGTAATCATTGTCGGTGATACTAATGTCGGTAAATACAGTTTAGTCCGTCATTTGATTGACAATGATTCAGATGATTGTAATCACACAATTAACACCAATCAAAATCAATCATCAACTAATGACAATAATCAACTGAATGACCGTTCACCTTGTCAACGATTTAACTCAATTAATTCATCAATTGATAAGAGTGTTAATTGTCACCGATTAGCTTTCCCTCTTTATGACAATCACATTGAAATTATATTTGAATATTATCAAAATGTTAACAAAATAATGGAAACAATTAACGAAAATGGTTCAAAGGTAATTAACTTTTTCCTTTTCTCATTAACAATCAACTAATATCACATATGGAGTTTTAATCAATCATTTTATTATTAATTGTTTACCTTATTTATTTTTTTTGCTTTAATCATAAATTAAAAACAATTTGTTAATTATCATTAATATTATCATCAGAGCAATTCACCCAACTGATTAACGTGATTAACAGTCAACAATAAAAAATTAAATATTGACGTTAATCATGATTAAAGATGATTAATGTAAACACCAAAGGAAAAAGGTTAAATTATCATCTTCAAGTGTCAAGTGTAATCAATTGATTGCTGTTAAACAAATCATCTTAATGATTAACATTTATAACCCAGAAGCTATTATCAAGATAATCAAGCTAATAGATAACAATTTAATATCATCAAGTTAGCAATTTAATTGACAGTTGGTTAATTTTGATAACCTTTAATTTTATATTGACTATTACATTCATATAACTTTATTTATAATCAAAAGTAATTTAAATCAGACTAATCAATGGATAATAATAAACAGTAATCAACTAAATTATCAGACAATCAAGTCATTAATTAAATTAGGAAACAAAATAAAAACAATTTGAACATTTTAATCAATGATTTGATTGAAATTGAAAGACAATCAAGTTTTTTGTTATATTGTTACTCAGAATCATTGATTAAATTTCAACAATAATCAATCAATAAAAAATGTTTTGTTTTGAAAAATTGATTGTTATAAATATGAAAATCAATATTAATTGTTACTCACCTCAACCAATTGTAACAATTGATTGTTACAGTTTGTGTCAACTAATATGTTAACTAAATTAAACTATCAATTAGATTGTTATTATCACTATTAGATTAGCAATTAACATTTTCCTCAATCAATAAGAAACAATTTGTTTTAATAATATCAAAAGTTATTATCATTTGTCACTCATGATATTATTATATGAGTGATCATTATTATCATGAAACTTTTTCTTGTTTTCAGAATAGTTTTGTTATTTTTTTGTTCATATAATCTCATGATAATGAGTTTCATGGACAAATTCATGATGATTCTGATAATGATGACTACATGATATTCATCATCACAATTTAAATACAGTTGAAAGTTCAGTCTACTGATTCCAAGTAACAAGTGTTCATATTTAAATCCCCATAAGATTTTGAGCATTTTTTTTTGCGAAAAAAAGTTCACTAAAGTAGAAAGTTAATCAAAATGATAACTATTAATAAATTGTTGTTATTTAAAGTTAATTATAATTAATAATAAATATAATATCTTGAGTGAAATCTTTCACTTGAGATGGTTATTAAAAAAATACTCAGCTTAGAGATTGTTATTGTAATTATCATGAAAATCTCGGAAAACTTTTTTTTTAAATTGAAATTAGATTTGATTGTTTTTCTTTCACTGATGATTAACTATTTCCTGTTGATATTAAATTGTTCAATCAATCAATCAATCAATCATTACGTCCCATAGGAAGAGAGGAAGAAAAAAGTAATAGGAAACTTGGAGTTCCAACTCGAACTTGTTAGAAAGTCGATAAAAACAATCCAACGATTGGTAAAAATCGTTAAACCATCGTAACCATGAAAATGAATTATAATCAAATCAGTGGATTGGTTTGGTTAACAATTAAAGCCCATGAATACATGAATCTAGAATTCTGATTAACATGAACAAATAACTGAACATATTGTTTCATGATTGTAATCATTTCTTTGGTGTATTAGTAAATAATCAACAACAACATAAGTGATTATATTTATGATGAACAATCAAGATAATCAGGTAACTCATATTAACCTTGATGAGAAAATAAAACAATGATAATAATAGGAATTAACTTTATGGATTAAGTTAGGATAAGTCAAGAATTTTGTTTTTTTTACCTCAATAGCAAACTATTGGTTCATCATCAGTTGATGATGATGATGATGATGATTATAATAACATCAATTGAATGTTAAACCTTGGGACACACAAAGTGTTGATCATCATCATCATACTGAACTACATTAGTTTAAGGTAAAAATATCCAACGTTAATCATGAGTCTAATTCATCTTGAGATGTTGAGTTAACTTTGTTTGTTTAGGTTACCTTATTTGTTGTATTGATTGGTGATTCAAGAAAGTGATGTTAAATGATCATGAAAAGATTCATGATGATGAGGATGATAACTGTATGAAGGAAGATGAGATTAACTGTATTAGTTGTATCCACCTTGATAAATCCCTTGGTGAACATTTTTTTTTTACTTCTGTTAACTTTCATTAACAAGAATTGAGGATCAACATTGAAGGATGAAGATGAAGATGAAGATGAAGATGAGGATGAGGATGGAGATGGAGATGAGTAGATAGATGGGATCCTATGGAAATAAGAATAAATTTTCCTCTCCATCTTTTTGTGACTCTTATTGAAATCACTTGAATACAAACTTTGATTTCATGATGATTTTCATGAATTCCGATTAATTCAACTGAATGAAAATAATGACTCTTACATGTAAAGAGACCCAGGAAAAAGTTGATCATCCTAATTACTCATTTACCTTAAGATACATACTCATTAAATGACACACACACACATGCACATAATTGGTTTCAATTAATTGTACTATTAATAACAATTAGACCATAATAACAACCATGATTAACTTTTGATATATCAATTCTGATCACATTTTTTTGTATACTATTAGATAAATTATCATATATTATCATCTTATCAATCCCTGGAATCAATTTAATTTAAGTTTCCCAAATGATTTAAACTGATTCACAATCAGTTTATTAAATGTTGAAAGTTAAATTGTCATTTTCTCGTGTTGATTTTGTCATGAAATCACAATCAAATTTAATATCAAACTTTGGTTTGTAAACATGTTACCATGAGTACGATGAAATTAATATCATGAGGAAAAATAGTCTTTTCCATTATTATGAATAATTTGAATTATCATTACAAATTCGAGGGATGAATAAGTAGAAAAAAGTTCTAATATGAACTTTCGAATTTCAATTTCAATTTCAATGAAAATTTTCTTCATATTTCTCTCTTTCTCTTCTTTATATTGCTTTCCTTCAGGTTCGAAGTATGGACATTCTTATTGTAATGTATTCGGTAACCGATCGTCGATCCTTTGAAATGTCCGCTCAATACTTGACCAATGCTGTGTTCACCTGTAAAAAGGATAACCCTGGTCTGTCCATCGCTTTGGTCGCCAATAAAACTGACCTGGTCCGGGTGAGATCAGTTTCCACCGAGGAAGGAGCTTCCCTTGCCGATAAGTTTGAGGTTCCTTTCATGGAGGTTTCAATTGAACTTGATGATAGATTTGAATTGATTGTCGAATGGTTAACAAATGTGATCAAGGAGAAATTGAAAATCGGTCCGTCAACTTTATCTTCATCAACTCGATCATCTTCAAGTGGCCTTGATCCAAGTTCGATTGGAGGTTCAAACTGTTCAGAAGGCTCATCTTCCATCCTAAAGAAACCAGCGACACTCTCAGAACGAGCGTTCAAGTTTATAAAAAAGATCATTTTAAATCGTCGAAGTTCAAAATCTAAATCATGTGATAATATAAATCTAATGTAAATAACAGTAATTAGTTGATCGTAATCAAAAATATTATCAATCCAAATGTAACACTAATATCAAATTTAATTTATCGCAACGAATTCAAATAAACCAATTTAATCGAGCAATTTTATATTTGTAATTCTGATTCTTCAATTCAATTAGTATTGATTTAATTTAAGGATAAATGATGAGCCAAATTAAAATTGATTCAGTTTGAAAATATCAAGAAAATGAATCAGTTGAAATTGTTGTTTTCCTATTGAGTTGTTGGTGGTAGTGGAGGAGGAGGATGAGGATGAGGATGAGGATGAGGATGAGGAGGTGAGATAAATTGTTGTCTGGGATGATGATAATTACTTGATTGTAATCAGTATTATGATTGTTAATCATGTTGATTAGTTGGTTGGTGGGCCGATAATTTTCTGCACAGTTATCTCACTGATTCTGCAATTTAAATGCAATTAAGGTTATTATTGATTCTCAACTTGGGAGGTTCAGTTTATTTGCACCATTATAATTGCCCTATGGAGTCAAATGCTTTTACCCTCTCCCACCGCATCTTTATCCTCCTCCTACTACTTCACCATCACCACCCTGTTCAAATTAAACATTAAGACTCTATCATTGGCCTATCATGATGATAATCATCATCAAATTATCTTCATCTTCATCTTTACATCATCTTACTTGCAATATTTACAAATGAAAATCCATCATGAGAGAGAGAGATTTCTCAATCTGAGAAAATAACAAGATGATAGCCAAGAAAAACAGATGATAAGGAAGATGAAGATGATGATAAAAAAGGGATGATATGGAAGAGAAAGATGAAGATGATGAGAATGATAAAAGATTGAGAGAGAAGAGCAAAAAGGCCGAAGAACGAACTTAAAGTAACCAGAAGCTCAATCTTAAGCTTCTGTTTAGTTTGGTGAGTGTTTTTTTCTGTAAGAAAACATGAAGATGGGGGAGAAGATGAAGATGATGATAGAGATGATAGAGAGATGATGATGATCCGAGTAATTAGTTGAACACAAGGTTTGAGATGTTACATAGAGAGAGAGAAGATGAAAAATTTTCTATGGGCAAATGTATAAGTTGGTGTTCGGCTCTTAAAACGATCCTTCATCACTTTCTGATCTTCCTCATCCTCCTCCTTCTCCTCCTCGTTATCATCCTCATCTCTCTCTCTCTCTCTCTCTCTCTCTCTCTCTCTCTCTCTCTCTCTGTCAATTTGAAGAAAATCCTATAATGAAGATAAAGAGAAAAACTTTTTCTTCTCATCCCGATCATCATCTTCATCTTTTGCATATTCATCTTCATAATCATCATCATCATTGCCCACTGATGATGAGAGAGACAAGGAAAAAAAACTTTCCAATATAATCAGCTAATCAACTTAAATCATCAGTAACAATTAAATACTCAGAAAAAAATTGACTTTTGTTTTACTTTTGCAAGAAAAAAAAAGTTGTTTATGTTTACATATCGAGAGGAAAAATTGTTTGCAATTAAAAACAAATCTCAACAATTAACTCGTTGTATTGTGTGTGTGATGTAAATTGGTTAACTTTGATTAAATACAACAAATAGTTAATTAATTTAACAAATTTCTCAAAGAAAAAACAATCAACAATCATCATCAATATGGATCAATTAGTTTCAACTACATCAAACTTATCAACAATCAACTCAATCACCACCAGTCAACATCAAACAAATATTAACAACAACAACAACAATTTAATCAACTCATCATCTTTATTATTATCATCTAATTGTAATAAATTAACAGGTAATAACAGTAATAACAATGGCTCTCGAAAGATGGACAAACCTCCGTTATCTTATATTTGTCTAATTGTGATGGCGATTCAAAACTCGGACAATAAACGGGCCACTTTGGCGGAAATTTATTCGTACCTACAATCAAAGTTTCCGTGTTTTCGAGGTGATTACAAGGGATGGAAGAATTCAATTCGTCACAATTTATCCCTTAACGAGTGTTTCATTAAACTACCAAAGAACATCGGTAAACCGGGTAAAGGTCATTACTGGACAATTGACCCTTCGTCCGAGTGTATCTTTGAAGAGGGTTCATTCAGACGGAGACCTCGAGGTTTCCGTCGGAAAAAAGGTCTACATGGTTGTTTCTCTGGAAACCAATCGAATCATCATCTCGAAGGCAATGGACATTATCATTCACACGAAAGTGACCACAGACTAATATCTTCCTCATCCACTCCCACCTCGACAACAACAACACCATCGACAACAGTAACAACCACAAACTCAACACCAAGTTCATCTTCATCATCAACAACAACGACAATTCCTATTGATTTACTTGCTCCCCCTTTACCACCACCACCTCATCATCATCATCATCCTCCTTCTCATCCTAATCATCTTACACTTCCTCTTACACCTTTACCCTCATTTCAACCTCCCCCCTCATCACCCTCATCATCTTTATCATCATTAACGGTATCTAATCACTACTCAAATCATCAATCTTATTTAACTCCTCAACAATCAACACCTTCATTTACTAATCATCTTCATCATCCACAATCTCATCCTCATCATCATCTGGATTATACTAATTTCTATTCAAATGTTAACAGTTATGTTGGATTACCAGTTGAAGTGACCACTAGTTCATCCTCATCATCAACAACAACACTTACAACAACCACAAGTCCACCAATAATTAAACCTTTAAGCTCAAACGGATTAATTTGCCAATCAAGTTATTCAAATGAAATTAAAACTGATCAACAACAACAACAACAACAACTTGATCATCATCATGGGCCAATAACAGTAACAACAACATCTTCATCTTCATCATCTTCCTCATCTTTTTCATCCTCATCCTCATCATCGTCACCATCAACACCCAACACACGTAACGTTAATACACCGACAATTAAACAATCAACTAATTTAATCACCAACAATCAACTTATTGATTCATCTGGATCACAATTAACTCCAACATTTGATTACTCCAACAATAATAATAATCAAATCAATTCTAATTCTAATGGTAATCTTATTTATCATCCTCATCTTCATCATCCTTCAATACAAGATTATCCATCATCATCACCATTTACTAATGATTATACAAGTTGGTTAATTGTCTCAAATAATCACCATCAACCCCAATCAACAATTCAATCAAATCAAACTTGTTTAAATTATTTTCCTCATATAACTGAATCATTTTGATTGTAATCATAGTAAATCAAACATGTAGTTTCAAAGTCAACAATCAAAGTTTTCAATTAAATCGTAATTTAAATTCAACTAGATTTTTTGTTTTCATCTTCGATACAATTAGCAATTTATTTCACTTTAATATTATTTACAAAAAAAAATCCTCATTCCAATTAATTGAATTGATGATCTTGTGCTGATGATTAAATCAATCAGTGACAATGGAAACAATTAGATTAACAAAATTTCAACAGTAAATCTGAACACTTTTCAAAATTATGTAACAGTAGTTTTGATGTATTATAATGGGAGCGATTGTGATGGTTATACTAACTAAATCAACTGAATTGTTGTTAATTTTTTTGTTGTCTGAGACTCATTTTGATTAATTATGTTCCATGAATTAGAAAATCACGTGACATTAGTGGATCTGTGGATAGTGATGATGAAGATAAAGATGATTAAGATGATAATATGTTCTATCTTGTAACCATTTTCTTCATCTTTTGATAGTTAGTTAGTAAAGATGAATGATCCATACTGTTAATTTAACATGTTTAACTGCCTTTCACTGGCAAATCAATCGCTCTTAATGATCTATTTAACTTGGATAATATTCAAACATTTTTCCAACTGTAAACACAGTTTTATCATCATCTAGTGAGATGATTAAAAAAGAGAGAGAGAGAGAAGATGGTTACAAGGGATAGAAAATAATATCATCAATTCTCATCATCATCTTATCAACAGTACAATTTTCATCACATTGATGGAATTGGTTGTTGCTCTTTCGCTTTCTTCCATCTTTTATCATCCTGGTTTTTTTTCTGATGGTGGATCTGGAAAGTGTATGGATTCCGTTAATTATAGTTATTAAACTGGATGGTAACATGAAAGATTATTATTCACATAGGAGGAAAACTGGTTCTAATCTGGTTAACTTTAGATTCTTTTTAGTTAATTAATTGTGATCCTATTTGCTGTTGAGTAATTTGTTTTTTACGCTGCTGCCTGATTGCTGTGTTTCCTTGTTGTAGTTCATCACTTGGGCACAAAAAGGTATGTATATATACATCTAGATATGATTTAGATGGTAAGGGAAATAGGTTTACTTGAAATCCTCTAAGGTTAAAGTTGATTATTATATAATAAATTTAATTCATAAATAACTAATTAATTAATCATATCATCTGCCGATGTAATTCCTCTTCTAATGTATTGGCTCCCATTCGCTTGATAACAAATTCCATTGCTTGACGACCCTGGAAAGAGAAAGAGAGAAAAGAAAGACAATTTAGAGAGAGGTAACATTTAATTTGATTCTTGTAAGAACGTAGTAGATGACTAGAGAATGGAATAAAAGTGAAATTAAGCAACTAATTAAGGAATTTTAGGAACATTCGGAACACTCGGAATTTACCTTTTGAGCATTAGATGAGATTGTCGACGAAATGAAATTTTCAAAGTAACTACTCAAGGGGATTCCATGGACGGTAATTATAGCCTCTTGTTTAAGGAGAGTGGCATCAGGTTTACTTGGATGAGGCAGATATGTTAATTTTTCCTCTATTGAAACTTCATTAGAAAAAGAAATCTAAAAAATCACATGAAAAAACGAAGATTAAAAAAAAAGGTTAGATAAAATTAGAGCGTCATAAGATTGAAGGAAAGAAATTCCCATGATTCGTTTTTTTGTAGATCGATTCAATTGATCGAAGACAATTCAAGAGAATTCAATTGAAAGATGAAAATATTTGTATCGTTACAATTGGAATTTTCTCAAATTTAACCTGGATAATCAATCGTATCTATTGTATCTATACACACACAATCACTTTCTAGATAATAATCAAGTATCAATACCCTATGATATTAGATAATAGAAAGAGTTGACAAAGCAGCAAAATTAAATCAACTAATTGAGATAATATGAAAGCTTAAGAAAATGTAACTGTTTCTATGCTTGTGTGTATAGATACAACCTTGAAAATCAACATGTTATGACATTTTCTTACATTTTTTGAAACTAAGGTCATGGATTTATGTTTAGGGTCAACTTCTGAATGTTCTACAGCATAAGATATTTTATCTCCTCCTAAAATACTACAGGCCCATTGAGGCATACCCCATTCGGTACTAATTAATCTTTGACTTTTAAGAATTCCATTTGAAACATTCCTATCGATAACATCTATTCCAACCACCGCTGGATTCAATGGATTTGGATATTTACGCCAAGTGGCCGTCACAACCTTTTCCCATGGATAACTGTAGGCAAGAGCACAAGGAAAAAAAAAGAAAAGGAAAATTAGAAATTTACCTAAAAGGTTAAATTAAACAATAGCAGTAATAGTTAACCTGCCAATCAAATTTTTCCATCATAAGGAAAAAAAAAGATTCACTTTTTCTGGAACAAGCAAATGTGGAAATAGAAAAAACCAAAGCCTCACCTGAAAACATGCTCTGAGGTCCAGATTTTCATTATTTCTAAAGTATAAAACCACTGGTGGATTAAACAATCACTTATAAAGTAAAAGATTAAATTTAAATAGACTTTAAATTGTAGTAAATTAGGTAAAAATTGTTAACAATTAGATAAACAATTTCTATAAGCGACTAGAATGTTGTCCTTTTGATCCTTTGAACGATTAACCAAATCGATTAGAATTTAACTCAACCGATACATCGATTTATCAATCGATCTTTTTTCTTTCTTTTAGATTTTTAATCTAATTGATTGTGTGTTGATTATCATGTGTTGATGTTGTGATTGATTTAGTAATTAACCCTAAGTGACTTTACCTTTTTTTATTAATCAATCAATTAGATATAGAATCTTATCTTAATCTGAACCTCTTGAGTTTTATCATATTTCTTTTATCTTTTTCGATCTTCGTTGGTATAAAAATCAATCAAAATGATTCTACAAATTAATGGTCGTTTGTCTTTTAATTGTATTAGAAGATTTTGTTTAACTCGAACCATCATGTCCGATAAATTTCGAGTTGAAAGTGACACTATGGGTGAGGTCAAAGTGCCCGCTGATAGGTTATATGGAGCACAAACTCAAAGATCGAGGAATAATTTCAAAATTGGTGAGTTCTTTTCTCTCTCATGATAGAATTTGTTTTTTTTGTTCTATTCTCTTTTTATCGGTTATTCTTTTTTTTCTGATTGATTAATTTGTTTTTCTTTGTTCTTTTTTATTTATTCCAATTTGATAGGTATGTCTCGTCCAGAAGATGCCACTTGGAGTGGTGAACAAATGCCACTTGCAGTGATAAAAGCGTTCGCCATTTTAAAGAAATCATGTTGTATTGTTAATGCAAATCAGTCAAATATTGAGAAGAAAACAGCGACCGCCATTATGAAGGCCTGTGATGATGTTCTAGCGGGTGTTAATATCGATCTCCAAAAAGAATTTCCTTTAGTTATTTGGCAAACAGGTAGTGGAACGCAATCTAATATGAACTGTAATGAAGTGATTGCAAATCGAGCAATTGAAATTTTAGGTGAGAAAATTTAGTCAAAAGGTTTAAATCACATTTATTTATTCTAATTGACCTTATCCTTTTCTTTTGGTTCTATTTGTTTTCTCTCGCTCTCATTAATCAGGCGGCCAAAGAGGTGATAAAACTACAGTTCACCCAAATGATCATGTCAACAAAGGTCAATCATCAAATGATACTTTTCCAACTGCAATGCACATCGCTGCAGCCATTGAAACCAAAAGCAGATTAATTCCTGCCCTCGAAGGATTATTAGAATCATTGAAGAGAAAAGAAAAAGAATTCGAACATATTATCAAAATCGGTCGAACTCATTGTCAAGATGCTGTACCGTTAACCTTGGGGCAAGAATTTTCTGCCTATGCTTGTCAAGTAGAGTTTGGTATTGAAAGAATCAAATCTGCTTTGGAACCTCGAATGTACTACCTTGCAATCGGTGGTACCGCTGTTGGAACTGGATTAAATACTAAGGTGGGCTGGGATAAAGCAGTTTCATCGGAAATCGCCTCTCTAACTGGTCTCCCATTCCGTCCAGCACCAAACAAATTTGAAGCTCTTGCTTCTCATGATGCATGTATCGAACTTTCCGGTGCATTGAATACAATTGCTGCTTCTCTAATGAAAATCGCTAATGATATACGTTTACTCGCTTCTGGACCTCGATGTGGCCTGGGTGAGCTTAGTCTCCCCGAATTGGAACCAGGATCATCAATCATGCCCGGAAAGGTCAATCCAACTCAATGTGAAGCATTGACTATGGTTTGTGCTCAAGTGATTGGTAATCATGTTGCCGTGACCATCGGTGGATCCAATGGCCACTTTGAATTGAACGTTTTCAAGCCAATGATAATTGCAAATGTCCTAAGGTCAACTACTTTACTTGCTGATGCATCCAATTCATTTACCAATAATTGTGTTAACGGAATCAAAGCAAATGAGTCTCGAATTGATCAACTGTTGAATGAATCTTTGATGTTAGTAACTGCTCTCAATCCCCATATTGGTTATGATAAATCAGCGGCAATCGCCAAATTAGCCCATAAGGAAGGTTCAACCTTGAAAGCGGCAGCAATTAAAAGTGGCTTCCTGACCGAAAGTCAATTTGATGAATGGGTTAAACCTGCAAACATGATTGGTCCCAAAAAGTAATCATTTTAATAATTTACAATCACCATAAATTAGGAATGAAAGAATGAAGAAACAAAAAATCAACCAAATATTAATATAAATGTTAAATATCTTATCAATTAAATGAAAATTATTAATAATAAGATCAAATTGCAATAATTTGAAACTTTCCAATGGATTACAATTAATCTGATGACGATTAATTGAAGATGAGAAACAATTTCCATACCATTGAGATACTTGATCATAATTATTACCTGATTTTGGTTCATTTTCCTGAAACAATTAACAATCAATTAGCTGAATTTCTGGTTATTAAGACTTTTGTTTTCCCCTAAAATCCATTGGACTGTGAAGGTTACAATTAACTTTATTTACTTGATTAGTGCCCGAAAATGTGATTATCTAATGTCATTAAGTATTCATCATTTTCGTTACCAAAGTTTAGTCCGAAATCAATGGTCATTGACCTGGTCAAGTTTCCGATTCCTGAGATGATTGATCGCGAAAAAAACAAAACTTGAACTTTAGACAAATTGATAAACTTGATAATGTTTCTGGACGATAAAATTACAATAATTATCCAAACAAAACGGTAAATCATAACAATTGGATCAATTTTCTGATGACTGTCATTAAAAGTAAAACCTATCAGATGATTGATCATTTTGATAAATAACGGTAAAGGTTTTGATCTTAATCGATTCTTTTTTAATAACAATTTATCCAATATTGTCCTTGACGATTTATACAAATGATAAATTAGTTTAATTACGATGATGATGATGATGATTAAACTTTTCTGAAAACACGCAATGTAAATTGTGATAGAAAAGTGTGAACATATTTAAGGAGGAAAATTTCACTTTCAACTAATCATTTGATCACAATCAAGTAAACATTTTGTTTGGATTGAGGAAAAAAAAATTCTAGGCAATCAAATGAAGTTGTTAATTGTTAGTCTACTCGTACTTTCATCAATCTGGATACAAGGTTAGTATTGAAAACAATTAAGTTAATTTGATATTAATTTTGTGTCTCCTCTTGTTTTATCAAATTTCTAGTTAATTGTCAACCAGAAGATGATGAAGGTGAATCAAGTGATGACAGTGATAATGTGGTGAAACAATCAACGACAAGTGAAACTGAAAGTAAATCAACAATTAAGTCAAATGGTGATTCAAATAGGAAAAGTAAAACTGCTAAATTGTTACAAAATTTGGACACAATTAAAGATCGTCTAGATAAAAGTCGTCAAGTGATCAAGGGAATCATTGATTCATTTATGGGTCGAGGTGATGAAGTTGATGATGAAAAATTGGAATCAGCGTTAACTAAATACGATGAAATTATCGAGGATCTTGAGGCCGATTTCACGAAAGCTAAAATAGGACTTGGCCTACGATTAGAAGGTAACATTCAACAGATTAATGCTACACTCGATTCGTTGATGGAAAATTTTAGAGACCTTAATCCGGATTTCGTTGATTGGGCTCGAACAAAACGAATCAATTTCTCCAATACACTTAAAAGTCGAGTTTTCCGTTTAAATGATCTGCTTGGTCGGGGTGTTGAACGATTACTCGAAGTATCGGAAATGGGAAAATCGACACTTCGAAAGTTACATAAACGACGATATGAGAAACGAGAGAAATTAAGTCAAGTGTTACTTGGAACTCCAAAGTCAAAGAAAAATTCTGATCAAGAAGAGTGAAACTCTTTAAAATATTGAAAACATTATTCTGATGATTAACTTATTTATGTAAAAATATCACAATTAAATTAAATTTATGTATAATAAGTAAAAAAAATGTTGTATAAAAAAAAGACACTCATACAAACTTTGTGACATTGATTGTTTAAAGTTTCTCAGATTAAATTTTATCAACAATTAAACACTAATCACTTGTGTAATCTTCAGACATTTCAGTTGATTTAGTATCACGAATAGTTGACTCATCTAATTGCCAGGCTGGAATTGAAGCATCGGCGGCCGGTTTAACGGCAATTGAATTTTTACTCAATATGAGCGCTTTTACCGATGAGATTTCAGTCTTTAATTCATTGATTGCGTGAATTTCCGCTACATTGGGTCGGGTTGTTTTCATCATCACCATTTGAATATTTTGTTGAAGTTTATCTGATGACGTTTCATTTTCCAATTTTTTAACAGTGTCCATCATATTGTCCAGTTTCCTTTCAATTGAATCAAGTCTATCACTAAAATAACGTAAAATCCTTGGTTGAATGTATCTTTTAAACAATTGATAACCACCATAACAAATGCCACTTAGAAAAACAGTTGAGAAGGAAAATTTAACAAGAGATGACCAACCAGAGGATTTTTGAGATAAATAAATTTCATTGAAAGAATCAAAATCAGGTGAAGATGAGAAACCCGATTGATTAAAAGCCAATACAATTTCCTCTTCATTTAAACCTTTTGAACGGAGAAAATTTTTCTTCTTTTCCACCGAACTACCAGCAACTTTGGGTATTCTCAGAAAATCAACTGCAGTTTTAACCAGATCATCTCTTATTTGAACAGGTTCTTGGTGAAGATTAATTTCTTCATCGTCAACAATTGAAACCATTGTGAGCCAAACTTACAAAAGACAAACACAAATGATTCAAATTAAAGTTAATTCGAAAGATAAGGAGACAAAATAGAATAGAATTAGTAATAAATTCTAAGAACTTAAATTAGATATTAACAAAAACAAAGAGAGAACATGAAAAACAAAAGAAAACAATTAACTTAATCAGATGAGGAAAAATTGACAATTGGATGAAAATGTTTACATGGAAAAAGATGAAGCGTTACCATGGAAACGACAAGTAACCATGATGATGAACGCGGGCAATTTAAAGAGTGAAAATGAGAAAAGTTTTCAAGTTGAAAGTGAAAAATATATTGATTGATTTACTTTCATTTTCTCTTGTTGTTGTTGTTTTTTTTTCTTAACCAATTTGATAGGTTTGATAGCGGGAGAATTTACAAAAAAGGAATAGTAATAATTAAAATGTTTACATGAGAAAGAGAAGGAAAAAAAAGTTGTGTCTTAAACCATAGATCGATGAGAATCACCACCCAAAGCATCAGCAATCTTACTGATTATGGGAAGATTTAAAATTGTACCAATTACGGGTATTCTACGTACAAAAGAAACAGCTACCGGAAGGAATCCTCTAAATAAAAGTATAAATCCATACATTTCAACAATCATACCAACAAAGGGCCAACCTAAGAAAACAATTGTTAGCCCAATGAAAAAAGCTGAAGATCCTTTCCATTTGTGACGTTGAAAGAAAAAGAAAAATGTTCTCTGAAAACCAATGATAAACGTTAATCCAGAAAGGAATAGAATCTATAATCAATAGAAAATCCAATAAATATCGAATTAGAATCATTTGTGTTAACAATTTAAACGAAAACCACTAATCAAATCAAATTGACAGATGAAACAAAATTAACCAGAAAAAAAATGTGAAAAAAACAATCACAGTTAACATACATTTCCAATGGCAAGTAAACCTTTATCAAATAATAAGAAAACACCTAAGACCAGAAAGGAAAGACCAAACATCGCCAATCCCAGGCCGATTTTTTGTAAATCATTTAAATCCAACATGATTGGAATTTAATTGTAATTAAATAAATTAATAAATAGAAAAATGAAAACTTGGTGATTTGTTAAATTGAAGAGAAAACATTTAACTCTGGATTCGAATCCCAAACAATCGAATCAAGTATCATGATACTAATCAGATATTCTTTTTAAATTTTCTTTTCTCTTTTTTTCAATTCAAAACAAATTTTCATCTTCTTAATTGTTTAATTACTTTCAATTCCATTAGTTGAAAATTAATTACTCTATTTTTGGTGAAATTTACTGGACACAAACATTAAGAAAGAATAAGAATTTAGTGATTTTCTATTTTGGAAAAAGAAAACGTCAAATGTGACAGGTTGTTATTCGAAGATGTTCCCCTTTAGGGTGTCAACAATTTTTTCTCTCTCAGTTTGTATTATTCATCACAATTGAATTCTCATTTAAACAAATTAACTCCTCAATCAAAATTTGATTAATTTCTTAACATAACTAAGTTATTTTACAATTAATATCTTTTTTTGGTTGTTGTAATTGTATTAATTTAATTCAAGATGAACCCTGAATAGTAAGTATTGTTAATCTGTAAAAATGTTTTCTCTCTCAAGTGTTGATACAATTTTTACCTTTTAAATTTTCTCTCTCTCTCTCTTTCTCTCTGTCTTTACTTGGTTTTCCTCTTTCTTTTCTCTCTTCCTCTTTTTTTTCTATCTCTCTCCTTGTGATGTGTAATTTTTTTTTCTTCTTTTTTAGCTTCTCACTTTCTCACTCTTTCTATTTGACTATTTTCTTTCTTTCTCTCTTTTTTTTCTTCTCCTTCTTCTTGTAGATTTGTTCTGTTATAAGAACAATATATTTTCTACATTTTCACTTGTTCTAGAAGTGTAATCATGTTTCATTTTTCATCATTGAAAAGGAGAAGAAGGAAAGAGAAAAACCAAAAGTCAATTGAATGAGAATTGTGGCAGAGAAACAGCTTGAAGATTTAAAAGTCACTTGTCTCTTTAATCTTTTCGATATTCACTAGATTAGCTATAATTAGAATGAATTGAGAGAGAAAAATCTAGTGGCGACTCACTTGACTTTAATTTCTCTCCTCCAAAATGTATTACATTGTTCAATATTAACCTCCTCTTTTCTTGTCTTTCCATTTTTTTTCTCTTCTCTCTGTCTATCTCTCTGTCTCTGTCTCTGTCTTTCTCCTATTCTAGTGATTACTTATTCAAATTGCTGCTGATTGGAGACTCAGGTGTTGGAAAATCATGTTTACTTCTTAGATTTGCTGATGACACTTATACAGAATCATATATTTCAACTATTGGTGTTGATTTCAAGATAAGAACCATAGAATTGGATAATAAAACAATTAAATTACAAATCTGGGATACAGCAGGACAAGAAAGGTTGGCATTTGTTTATTATTATTTACTAACATACAAAAATTAATCTCCCATCATTCAAATTATCACAAGGCCGTGAATACCACCTCCTTTTTGTTATCCAAATTGAATTGGATGATTAATCAGAGTGTTGTTTTAGTCATCAACCTCATCATTACATGTTCACTTCAAGTTGACTCTTTTTTTTATTCTTCTACAAAAACCTAAAAAAAAAGAAACATTATTTATCTTGTTGTATCTTTTGCTCTTCTCTTTTGTCTCATTATTTTTGATTAATTTTAACTTTTTCTCTCTTGTACTGACTCATAAATATCTAGATTTCGCACTATTACATCTTCTTATTATCGTGGGGCCCATGGAATTATCGTTGTTTACGATGTAACAGATTTGGAGTCATTCAATAATGTGAAACAATGGTTACATGAGATAGATCGTTATGCTTGTGATAATGTAAACAAGTTGTTGGTTGGTAACAAATGTGACCTAACCTCTAAAAAAGTGGTTGATTATACAACAGCTAAAGAATTTGCTGAGCAACTTTCAATTCCTTTCCTGGAAACTTCGGCAAAAAATTCTACCAATGTAGAGCAAGCCTTTCTAACCATGGCTGCTGAAATTAAGAACAGAATGGGTCCAGGGTCAGGTGGAATGGCTGGACAAGCTGCCGGGTCCAATGTCCTCGGTTCCATCAACCCCTCATCCACTCCGGTCAAAACCCAGTCAAACTGTTGCTAAATCGGAGAGAGAGAGAGACACTTATCAAGAGGGGAGGTGTTTCTGTCTTTATCTATTCTCTCTCGTTCTTTTTTTCTCTTGATTTTCTCTATTCTCTCTCTTCCATTCCTCTCTTTTCTCTCACACACAAATACACACATACATACACACACACTCTCTCTCTCTCTTTTCCTCTCTAACTTTCTCTTTCACTCTCTCTCTCTCACTCTGTCTCTTCTCGTTCTCCCTCCCTCCTTCCCTTTCTCTTTCTATCCATCTAAAAGTATCTGTCTCCATATCTGCTCCTTGATATCCGAAAAAAAAACAAACACCAAACAAAAATCATTCAGTAAGATTAATTAAAACATGATAAACTTTATACAAATTTAATCATCTTAATATAAAAAAAAACTCTTGTTTTGCTTTTCTCAATCGGGAAAAAGACCAGACTAGTAACTCCATCTGGTGGAATTCCAATTAAAACGAAATAAATTCAATGGCGAGAGCCAACTTTTTTCGCTCCTGATAAATTTTAATTTAATTAACTTTACCTGTGAATTTAAATTTAAATTTTGTGTTACTAATGTTCATCTCATCACAAGGATCAAGTTGATACCAAAATTATGATAGATCAACAGTTACTTTAGTTGTTTTTCTTTGTTACCCTTAAAACTGAGCTATTATTGCGTAGTAATAACTTCAACCATTTTGTATTGGTAAGTTTTGTTAAATTGATGCGACTTAATTTCTCTATCTCAAACTTAATTTTTTGAAAAGATTGAATTTCTAATTTTATTTTATTTTATTCTTTTCTTTATGACAAACCTAATGAGTTAAACTATTTTTGGACCTGCAAACAAACGGCACCCATTTCAACTTTACCAAACATGAAATCAAACTAATGAAATCAAACTAATGACATCAAACTAATGAAATCAAACTAATGAAATCAAACTAATGAAATTAAACTCAAACAATTAACTCATCAAGACAAAATTCACACAGATCTAACTAACAATACAAAAAATATAATCCTTGTAAACTGACAATACAAAAAAATATAATTATTGTAAACTGAACGGTTAGTTCAGTGTCCGTAAGGACCTTCAGGTAATCCCGCTTCAGGATTCCTGAAGAATAATGTATAATGCATTCACCAGATGGTGTCAATAAACGGAAATTCTATTCTCTTTTTCTTTTATTCGTTTTTCTTTTTGAACTTCCAGTTGATTCTATCGGTTGATGAGTAGAACATGAAAACGATACATGAATTTACTTTCTTTTTTTCTTAATTCTCTTAATTGTTGTGATAAAAATGTCTAAATAAGAAAAGTGAAAAAATGATTAACCCTTTTAATCGAAATGTTTTTTGAAAGAAAATTAATTTTCTTCTCGGTTTAGAAAAAAGAAAAGAAATTCTTTTCTTTGGTGATACAAAATGATAATTTAAAAGTGTAAGAGAAAAAGAGTCAATTAAATGACATAATCAACTTGGACCATGTTCTGCTCGCCAAGTCAATCAATTATTGTCTATTACAATTTATCATCATCAGTATCATCGTCATCAGTTTATCTTTTTTTAAATCTTCTCGTTTCTCTGTTAATCTCTGATTATAGTTTGATAACTGCAACAGAATTACTTTCATCTTCATTACCATCTTTGTCCTTACAGCCACTTTCATCTTCAAGCTTATTAATATCATCATCATCCTCCTCATCTTCGCCCTCAGTCTCATCTTTAGTGTCTCCTTTATCTACTAATTTACCATCATCAACTATAGAGCAAATATCGGTGCCTACTTTGTTGACCATCTTTGATGAATTAATTGTTGATCCAGGTAAAAGTGTAAACCTTAAATGTGAATCTAGTGGATCACCAATGCCAACAATTAGCTGGAAACTTGATGGCTCTCCCATCAACAACAGTGATACATTTACTGTGGCAGATTTTGTTACCTCACTATCATCGTCCGGTTTAAAAAAATTGACCAGTTTTCTCAATGTTACCTCGATTAGTTTAAACACCGGTGGGTTATATTCATGTATAGCCACTAATCGAGTAGCCAGTGCCTCTCACAGTGCTCGTCTCCATGTTAAAGGTGATCCCTTAGTAAAACCAATAAAGGATATCCATGTAACCAGTGGATCAACTGTTATCATTAATTGCCCCTATTCAGGTTATCCAATTGAAAAAATATTCTGGTCAAAGGGTAAGTGTTAATCTCTCTTTTCTTGCATAACATTACCTTTCTCATTCACGTTCAATGTCCCTGGATCATGAATGGATTCATGAAAGAATATGAGAAGAAACAAATTGAAACATTAAAATTTGTTTATTTCTAAAGAAACGAGAAACAAAATTACTTCAAACTAGCCCAGTTTTCTTGCTTAATTATTAAATTAATTAATCATCTGATGATCATAAGGCTTGTCTGTTTTTCTCTGAAAATTTTTCTTCTTCAGGTCCAATACGTTTACCAAGCAATAGAAGACAAGAGATATTTTTAAATGGCTCCTTGGTTATCAATAGTGTCCAAAAATCAGTTGACGATGGTTCATATTCTTGTCATGTATCCAATGGAATTAAAACTTCTGCTCAACAATTTAAATTACTTGTTACAGGTAAGAAAGAAAAAAACTCAATCAATTTAACTAATTCGATTAACCAAAGTTTATCAAACCTTCCAAATTCCCATAATAGTTACTCAGAAAAAAAACCCGAGAGTTAACCTTACATTTTCATTCCTATCGTTTCAAATGCTCGTAAATATTATCACTATTTCTCACCTTTCCACTATCAATTTCTATTCCATTTACCTACCTTTCTATTTTATCTGTCTATTTATCTATTTGTTTACTTGTTAGTCTCTCATCCCATCAGAATTTATAGATATACTCAATATCGATCGCTATTTCCATGTTATTATTTTTCACTTATATTCTTATAAGGAATTTAGTTGCTAAATCCTCCAAGTTATTCACAATTTTTATCATCAACTCGTAATATTAGTAGATTAACTCATTTTGATTCGTTAACATGGTTAAAGTTCACAACAATTTTTCATGGTTACATGGAAAGTATAACAAGCCTATCCCTCCAATTCCCAAGAATACGTGATCTTTTCTGATCATTTAATTGTTTACACCAAAGAAGAAGAAAAGTCGATTGATACTAACGATGAGAGAACAGATTTTTGTTTTCTTCTCAAATCATTTAACTAATTGTAAACTCTATTCATCTCCATTGATTATCAACAACAAACAAATCATGTTACTAAACCATAATCAAGCATCCCGATCATCATCATCATCATCATCATCATTATCCATTCTCAGAGTTACTATTAGTAATCACTATCATTATCATAATCATCATTAACTAATGACGATGATAAAGATTGAATTGCATTTTAAATCAAATAGTTTGCTGATAGTTTTAACATTGAATATCAAAATAAAAGGAAACCAATTTATTATAAATAAAGATCACTCTTGTTAATTGTTATTATGTAAACAACAATTAAATTTAAACCCAAGGTTGAATAGGATTTTCCCATTTTAACTGTACCATTTAAATTTAGTTTTTGATTAATAATAGGGACTAATTGTAATAATAAACAATTGTATTCATTAATAATCAAAGAAATCACTTATATAAGAATTGATTGTTTTACCTAATGATGATAATAATTTGCTTCTAGCAAGTTAACAATCATGATAATTATAATAATACATTGATTAACAAGTCACATTTTCCATCTCATTGTAATTCACTGTTAGTGGTAAATTATAATTCATTACAGTGATGTTAATTATGATAACAATTTATAAACGAAACGCCTTCTCAAACCACTTGACTGTTAATTAATATTAATTGGTAGTTAGATTATGTATTTGGTAAAAGTGTAAGAAAAAAAAAATTAAATCAAAACAATTAATAATTACAGTTACTCGATTATATTGACTATATGAGCATTTCTATTTGCTTTCTATCAACATTTTTACTTAACAAGTTTCATTGATTTAGATGATATATTAATAATGTGAATAGTAACTGACCAATGGTCAGCTTTTTAATTTTAACTTTAGTCCTAATTTGATTAAACTTGGAATAGCAATTTGATTTAAGCAGAAACAAAAATTACAATAACAAATCAAATCAAAGTAAATGATATTATTGTTTTATCGTTTGTTTATCATTAAAAGGTAACAACAAAACAACAATAACATTACAAGAGTAAACAAAAACAATCAGACAAACCTTTAACCTCTTCCCTTTTTCATCTTATCCATTCATCCCTTATCATCCATCCACTTCATTTCCATCATCATCAACGACAACCGGAAAAAGGAAGTTACCACTTTATCACCTCTAATCTATAAACTCCCCTTTATCTAACATTATCTTTATCATCATTATCCATTACCGTTCTTATATGTTTGGATTCCTTTTCCTGTATTTCTTTTTTTTTATCTCATTTGCCTTTCACTTTTCGTGGTCCATCATCATTATCATGGTCATTCAATCTAATCCATTAACATCCGCTGTTGGTTAATCTCAAATAGCGGGTCCAATGATCGATCCATTCAAATTTCCAGAAAGTATCCAAGAAGGTATGAGAGCCCGATTAGTTTGTACAGTTATACAAGGTGATCCACCTTTTGTCTTCCAATGGTACAAAAATGAGGAGCTAATTGAATCACCGATTAACGGAATTGGTATTAGGACGGATGATTTTTCTTCTGACCTAACCTTTAATCGAGTCTCACCTCGGCATAATGGTAACTATACTTGCATTGTAAGCAACTCGGCTGCATCCGATTCTCATACGGCAACATTGAATGTAGATGGTGAGTACGATTAATAGCCAAATTTCATCATTACTATCATGTCAAAATCGTATTTACAAAGAATAGTAATTTTTCCTCTCTCTCTCTCTTTCTCTTCCTTCATCTCACTAAATTTGATTGAATGAAAATAATTAATCCTCAAGAGATGATGTGTTTCAATTTTAATACTGATCATTTGCTGATCATGAACCTTTTTAATCAACATCAAATCAGTTAGAGTAAGAAAATAATATCTTAAGGTCTGTTCAGATCAACATTATCATTTCAATCATGCTCATGATTATCTTCTTCATCTCCATCATTTTTTTTCCAAGACACTTTCTCTCTCTCTCTCCTTTCTCTTTCAAACTGTATCGATTCAGTTCATGTTATCAGATAATATTATCATGCGAGTAGATGAAGAATTTTTTCCCTCTCTTTTTTATCCCTTTATCATGAAATACCCAAAACATGAGAAAACTGAACAATGCCCTCAGGTAACATCAAATTTTTTCAGTCAAGTAGGATTGTTACTCCAAATCTAAAACAGTAATAATATCATGAAGGGAATCATGTTTATTAATATATTTAGTTTAATAATAATATGAGAATAACAAAATTGATTGAAATATTTTGAACCAATTTTTTTTTTGCATAAGGAAATCAAAACAATTTAATTTAAAACTATATCATTTTAATCATCACCAAGTGTTGATCTTGATTATCTAAAACTCCCATAGTGATTTGCAACATTTAATGTGTCATGAATCCTCATTATTTCAATCAATTTACCTTTTCAAATTCTATCGATTTTCACTTAATACATTTTCACCATTTCAATGATCATGTTAGATAATAAATGTAATCTGTAATTATGTCTGATTATCGTTATTAATAATACATAATCTGTTGATAGGCCGGGGAGAGAGAGAGAGTAACAAAAAAATCAATGAAAGTTAATCTCATAATCGTAATTTGTATTGTTATTATCAATCATAATCAATAACCACAAAAGTGTAATAATCAATTGTCAATATGATTGATAATGATGATTAATTTTTTCCTATATAAATCATCACAACACTTTAATCTTCATCTCAATTTCAATTTAATTAACTCATTTATTTAATTTTCTTTTTCTAATTTAGTTCCACCTTTTTGGAAAGTTGAACCAATTGATGTATCAATTGTTTCAGGTAAAAATATAATGATTGACTGTCTCGCTGAAGGATCACCTTCACCAATAATTACCTGGGAACGAGGATCAGGTAAGTTGATCCATCCAAGAAAAAAAAACTCCAACCTTACGATTTACTATAAGCCAACAATTAACTTGATTCTCTTTCTCTCTACCTATCACAATTAGCAACTCCCAGAAGCTTTACCACAATAGCAAGTGGACCTCATTTCGAGGTATATGCTAATGGCTCTCTACTAATTAAAACAGTTGAACCTGAGGACGGTGGACTTTACCTGTGCCAAGCAAGTAATTCAATCGGCCCAGGATTAAGTAAAGTGATTACCTTGACCGTTCATAGTGAGTTGAATCATTTATTTCACAATCTTAGTAACTTTAAATTGCAATCAATCAAGTAGCGAAAAAATTACCAAAACTTTTGGCATAAATAATCAAGTTTATCAATTTAAAAAGCCCAATTAATAACAGTATATTTACTTTTGTTTTCCGCCGGTTAAATAATATATATTTTCATCGAGAAACTTTCAGCATTTATCATGTTATTATTTACCTCGTGCCATTTATTACGATAACACTGAATCCCAAATAGATGAAATCACATCTAATACTAGTATAATATTGGCAAAGTTACATGATAATAATAATAACAAAATAATAATAATGATGATCATGATATCATATTGTTATTAAGTTTGAACTTTTTTTTTTACTAATAGTAGCAAGAAAAATGAACCTCAAATCAAAATAAACATTGAAACATTTTTCATGTTGGCGATTCCTATTCCTGTCAGAATGGAAATTGTATAAACCAGGATAACATACAGAATATATACTCACTGAGTATAACTGTACAAAGGATATATATATATTTATATATGCATAGATTATTATATGGATACATATTATTCTGACTGAAAATATTATTATTATTACATCGAGATGAAGTTCATGACTACTGAGTATGTGTATCTACATGATATTGTTATTTTATGCATATGCATATGTATCTGACAGAATCTCTGTTTCCATTTTTATTGTACTTATTCCGATAGATATGAAGTATTCAATGTTAGCATGATGATAACAACAACTGAATCTGAATACTTCTCTTTCACTTGCATTCACTAATTCACCAGAAGATTGAGGAACGTGATTTGATGACCAAATTTTCTGTTGTAATACTTACCTGTTTCAAATTGAGAAAGAAAAAAAAAACTTGAAACTTTTTCTTGTTATTCAAATCGTTGATCCTGTTTTCCATTCCCATGTAATATTATTATTGTTTGCAATTTTCTTCATCATCTTCATCTTTCGTGCTTTTGCCCTATTATGAAGCTCCACTCGTTGCAAAAATTTCCGTTAAAATTCCTTTATCTTTATTCTGAATTTCCCTGAAATATGATTGAATTGAATTTATGTTGAGGTTGACAAGTATGAAGAGACAGAGATAGGAAGAGAAAGTGAAATATGTAAATGATTATCAAGTTTTGAATGTTCAGTTTAAAGTCAATCATTAAATTGCATTTGCAAGGGAAAAAAGTTTAGGCATTCACGTTATATGAATGAACTTTTTGTAACCCGGAACATAAAAAGTCAATAAATTTTTTCTGGTTCATCTTGTTTTCTTTTCTAAATCAAGAATTTTCATGATAATCATTTTTTATCTTCTCATGATTCCGATGATCATGATCTTGATCATGATGATAATTTAATATTTCAGCTATAATTGTAAAGAAATAAAAAGAAAGTGAGAAAGTTAAAGCTCAAATTTGATGCTTGAAATGAGCTTTTCTTATATACGTTTCGCTTGAAATTTTATCCTTCGCCATTGTTATAACCATTGTTGTAGATGTGATAAATAATAATAGTGGTAATCATAATCATCACCACCTCCATGATGATGATCATCATAATGCTGATGATAAACAACATCCCCTTGATTTACCGATTTTTACATTTGTTGATTTGCTAATAGTTAACACCAATGCTTTCAATGTCCAATATCAGGTCATTATTTTGTCCTCAATTTTGTTCAGTTCAATGAATTTTATCTTACGCTTCATTTTTCATTGCAATTTTTTTCTTTTTTATCTTTTACATTACTCTGTCAGAATTCTGATGATGATGATTATGAAGATAATAGTAATGATAATTTTTCAGCTTTTTCATACAATTTTATCAGTTCTAATATAATCTTGCCTTTGAAAATTGTGGTTGGTAATATTGTTCATCATTATCATCTTTACCAACTCTCTCTCTCTCTCAGTCTAAACCTGACAAAGTATAATATTTGAAATTCAATCAACTGAGTAACATTTTCTGATAATAACAATGAATTTCAACGCAGATGAAAAGAGTTGATAGTTAAGAGAGAAAAAAGTTTCGTTTCCTTCATCATCGTGATTATCATCTTTCTCCTCCTTCTACCCTGAAATCTAAGGTGAATAACATGGGAAATTTATATCTATTTGCTTTGTTCTAAATTCTATTCGATTTTCTCAAACTCTCAATTCGAATCATTATTTTCTCATCCTCCCCTTATTACTATTGTTGAGATAAGTTTGTAAATATTAAGCTTATCGTTAACATTTTTTTCTCTCTTTTAGTATATTATGAAAATGCTCAAATCAATTTACAGAATTCTGATCATTGGAACTGAGCAAATATTGAGAAGAAAATTGTTGAGTGAAAAGAATTTTTTTTTCTGCACTTTCTTTAACCATTTAAAAAGTAAATTTGATCTTCTCATGCAAAAATATTCATCTGAATATTTCTCTTATTTTGGATAAAATTTCAGAACTTTTCCAAAATGATTCAGAAAAGGGAAATAAACTCGAGGTTCCCATGCAAATTGAACAGCTCATTATTTCCGATTATCATCATCATGATGTTTTTAGATGTCTGTTGAATTGTATTGTACTGATTAACAGTTAATTAGAAATGCTAATCAATATAAATAACAACAATTTGCCAGCTAATGATAAGCATTATTTTCACCTAAATTATAGTATTGATAATGATTGAATTGAATTCCATTGAAACAATTACTTTGATTATATAATTGATTGAAAAAAAGAGATCTCAGTAATTAGATTCTTAATTGATGAAACTTGAAACAATTTAAACACTGTAGTCAGATGATTGCTATTGTGTAATTATTATTTTTTGATTAATTGTCATTGTCATTGCCTTCATCATCATGAATGAGTTGATGGTAATTTATCATCTTATTTATATTTGTTTTGTTAATAGTGTGTGAGAGATAATTGATTCTGATCAATAACAATCAACAATTTTCTTTGCAAATCCAGCACAGTTTTTTCATCTTCATCCTTTATCTTACATCTTTCTTTATCTTCCCGAAGAAAATTGTTCACTTGAACACATTTTCATCGAACCTCAGAAAGTGTTCGAAATATTTTTGTTTCCTTCTCTCTCTCGTCGTTTCGCTTCTTTTTTCATCATTTTCTCATCACCAACAACATTCTATTCAATTCTATTCTCATTTTGAATCATGATTAATGAACTATTCTCTCAGAATATTCTGTATGTTGAATTCAATGGTTGACTGGTGTGAATCCTCCCTTGGAAGCCTCTTGAAATCTCATACCCAAACCCTTTGATTCCCTTTCATCATCATCATTATCAAGCTCAACTCCCTCAACTTGAAAAACTGATCAACTATTCAATGTTTATGTCCAATAAACCTTATCCTCAATCATCTTTTTCCATGCTTTCTCTTCCTCATCACTCTGATCACGAAGAAATAATAAGAATGCTCATCAATGGCTTCAAGTTACATATTTTTTTTTCTATTTTCTTTTGCTTTTTTTTCCTGAGCATTCGAATGATTATTTCTATTGTTATTATTATTTCATCTTCGTCTTCATCATTCTCATCTCATTTTCATCCTTTTTCTCATTGATAAGAAAAGATGCCAACAGAAGTATAGAAATGTTTCATCATCATCTCGCTAATACATATTACTCTTGTTATCTTCTTTCTATGTCGTTCGGAGCTTTATTCACACAATCTTCCTTTCATCATCATCATCATCATCATTTCTCCCTCGTTTATACAAGTTTCCTTTCGTATTCAATATTACCCATTTTTAAGCCTTTCTCTGGGCTTCAAACTCTCTTGCATCATCTTCAGTCTTTCAAGTTTCTCTTTTGGTCTTCATCATTTCTCCCTCATCATCATGGTGAAGAAGAAGCAAATAATAATAACAGAATAGTGAAGATAAAAAAACTAAACTTGACGAAAATCAATCGATAAATATAAAAATATTTTCTAAAACTTTGCCTGTCAGCTAACATGATAAAGTGCTTACTATGTGTGAAAACGACTATAACTAAAAAGGATTAGAAAAATAATTTTCATTAAAGGGACTCTACAAATTGAGGAATATGGATTTGTAGAAAGCTCTGAATCTATTTTACAACTTTTTCTATTAACCTTTTGTTTCAAATGAAAACTAGAATATTGCTCCTTAGAATTTTCTATCAAGTTTAGTTACTTACTTACCTTTATTCTCTCAACTTTATGCTTCTCTCTATTTATTGGATGATAACATTTACTTGAAATAAGTTCTGAAACTTTACATTCGAAAATGAAATTTGAACATTTGACAAATTGACATTTGATTATTGTACCAAATTGTATCATTATTTTCATATTATATTACCAAGTGTCTCTATGATAAGAAATATTTATATAATAGATTCCAATCATGTTGTGAATTGATGTGAAGAGACTTGTTAAAAAAAATAAGTTCTAATAAAAATTCTGATTCAATTTAGTGAAACTTTATCGTTGGAAATGGATATTGGATGCTGTTAATTTCTTCTGATAAATTAACTATCCAAGAGAATTGTGATTCACCAAGTTAATCAATCATTACACTTATGTTAATCTAATTTATCGGAATGAATTTTTATCATCTCCCATGATGATCATCAATTTAATCATGATTGCAAATCTAATTGAATATTTGATTCCATTGATCTGATGTGCAAGAAAAAGGATTTATATTCAATGTATTTTTCAAGTATTCACATTGAGTTATTAATTTATCCTTTTTTTTCAATGATGATCATCATCTTCATGAGATGATAATAATTTCAATAGCAAGATAAAATTCTGAAGTTGATCAGATTGTATATTTTTCATTCTCTGCTGTTCTTGGCAGTCTAGTTATCAGTTTCTTGCTGAATTATCTCTCTCTTTCTTTTTTTCTTTCAGTATTATAATTCCAGGGGATTCTGAACTGAATTCTCTCTTTCTTTTTCTCTATCTCTGACTGTTTTTTTCTCTGTCTCTCTTTCTTTCTGTAAACC